CACATGTGGATTGTAAAATAGTGGTGAGTCACCAGCAACATCAAACTTTTTCTCAAGATTTTGTAACATTATCCAGGACTTAAAAACATCTATCCAAAATTTATTTTTTAATGTTTTTAAAAAAGTTGAAGTATATTCAATTCCACAACTTATAAATTTGTTCAAATTAAATTTAGGAATGAGGTTTTCCAACCCTCTATTTGTAAAATTTAGATGTCTTATCCAAAATAATTTCATGGAGGCTATAAAAGATGTCAGATTTAACATTTTTAAACCCCCCTCTTCATATTTTTTTACAATTACTTCTTTCTTAACCCTATGGGTTGAATTATTCCATATAAATGAAAAAAAACATTTTTTCCAATTCCTTACAGAACGATTCAGAAGGATTTGGGATGGACATTAAAATATGATTTAGTAATGGTAGAACTAATGTTTTAATAACAGTAATTTTCCCTATGGGAGTTAAAAACCTTTTCTCCCATTGTTTAAGTATTGATTTAATATGTACCAGTTTTGGTTCATAATTTAATGGTAGCATTTTATCCAATTCTACATCAAAATGTATTCCAAGAAGAGTAAATCTGGTACTTCCCCAGTTAAGTTTGTAATTTGGAAGCAAAATTTCGTCACTAAACTTTTTTTGAGCCTATCCACACTATGTGAGTTTTGGAATAATTAATATGTAATCCCGACATTTCTGAAAATGTCTTAAGTGTTTGCAGTGTTTCTGTGAGTGACGTTTTACTACCATCAAGAATAATTGATGTATCATCCGCTAACTGAGAAATCTTTTTTTCAGTATTGCTTATAGAAATACCTTTAATATTTTTATTTAATCTAATTTGGATTGCTAAAATTTCTGCACATATAATGAATATATATGGTGACAAAGGATCGCCTTGCCTACAGCCCCTCTGAATGTTAATTCTATCAGAAAGGTTACCACCTTGGTTTATTGCAGATGTAATATCTGTATTAAAAAGGGATACCCACTTCTTGATTGAGGGTCCAAAGTTAAAAAAGTTAAGTGCGCCTTGTATAAAGTTCCATGAAAGTGTATCAAAAGCTTTTTCAAAGTCAATAAGTAGCAATAATCCAGGTATATTTTCTTCCTCAGTGTAATGCATTATGTCATAAATTAACCTGGTGTTTTCTCCTATATATCTATTGGAGATGAAGCCTGTTTGATCTTCATTAATTATTTTATCTAAATAGCATTTTACTCTGTTTGCAATGGATCCAGATGCAATTTTATATACTGTATTTAGTAAAGTAATAGGTCGCCAATTCTTTAAGAATTGTCTAGGTTTATCACCTTTTGGTAACAAAGTAATGATACCATGTTTTTGTGTAATAGATAGACTGTTATGCTTATATCCATAATTAATAGATCTAACTACAAAAAACCCAATATATTTCCAAAACATCTTGAAGAATTCTGCAGAGAAACCATCTGAGCCAGGGGATTTATTTGATTTCATTTTGTAAAGTGTAGAAGAGGCTTCTTCCATAGTAATTTCGCCTTCTATAGATTCTGATTCTTTGTATGAAAGCTTAGGAATTTCTTTATTTCTTAACTCTTTAAATATATCAGTATTTATAGTATCTGTACTTTTTGTATATAACTGTTCATAAAAACATTTTGCTTCTCTTAAAATTTCTGTTTGGTCATAAATAACATTTCCATTATCATCTTCTAATCTTGGTATTATCTTGCTTGTAAAGTTTCTTGATTCTAATGAACAAAAGTACTTTGATGGTTTTTCACCTTCCTCTACCCATTTTGCTCTACTTCTGATATATGAACCCTGTAGCTTAAATTCACATGATACCCTTTAGGTTAGCAAAAGATTGTAAACTACAATGGTTCCAATATAGGATTTTAAACAAAATCCTAGCAACAAATTCATTTTTATTCAAAATAAAAAAAAAAATGAATGTAAATTATGCAGTTTTTGTCATACTGAGGATGAAACAATAGAACATCTTTTATGGGAATGTGATAATACACAATTTTTTCTTGAAGAATTTGTACATTTGTTTGAAGAAAAAACTGGTTTAATGATAAATGTTACTAAGAAATCTTTTATTTTAGGATTTATTGAGGAAAATACTGATATTCAAAATGTTATTCTACTTTGGCTTAAATACTATATTTATACTGCCAGGTGCACAAAGAAACATATTAATTTACAAAATGCAATATCACAAATGAAATTTCATTATGAAACACAGAAAATTATCTCTTATAAGAATGGTAAAAAGGAAAAGTTTGATACCCAGTGGAACAGATGGAATCTGCTATTCTCTTAACTTGAATCTTTACACACTCTCTTTCTCTTCTCTCTCTCTTCTCTCCCCTCTATCTTTCTCTCCCCTCTATCTTTCTCTCTATTGTTTCTATCTTTCTTAAAATAAAAAACACCTCATTCTGTTTCTTTTGAAATATGTATATAATGCTGTATATGTTGTGTGAATAAATAAAAAAAAAAATATATCTATTAAAACTAAGCCTTCCTATTGGTTGAAATTTATTCAAATTATTCTGTTGCATGGAACATGTTGCATGCTTTTATATAAAAAGAACTTTTAATCATCACCCCCCCTTAAAAAAAGCATGGTTGCGATATCACTTCACTACCAAACCTCTAGTTACAAAGAGACAACCCAACAACTATCCTCATTGACATTTTCCAACTCTAAAGATCAAATTAAACATCATTAACTATACATCTAAACTAAATTATCGATCATTCAATACTCGTTTCACATTTTTCATAAAACAACAAATACGCATTACTTCTTAATACAGAATTAATAGATGCGTCATCCACATACGAATCGTCACATCTCTTCCACTTTTGCTCCACTTTTAGTTTCACGAAGCAAATATAATGTCCACTTCTTTCACTTCCCCAGTGAACGACGACTCCAAATAGCCGATATGGTCTTAACGTATCGTCTCCAATTTTCTGAATAAGAAACATCTTATAGTTTTTGATTCAGAATAAAGATCTATAAAAGTGATAAAGAATTACAGAAATACAGGAAAAAACTAAATGTACACCCGGTATTGAAATATTGCGATGTATACCTGTTTAAGCTCTCTGTTTTTCAATCCTTCAAATGTGTCCCAAAATTTTACGAAATTTCTCCTTTTTTCAAAGCTGCATTCTTTGTCTGTAGAGTCAGCCTTATTAATAATGAAGAAATCATACATGGATATATTCTAAGTGATTAAGATTCTTTCTTGTGTGCATCAGTAGAAGCAACTTGAATTATAACCTCATTTGTATCAATAAACCAAGATTAAGTTTAAGTGATCATGAAGTTTAACTATATTTACAATAGACAGATTCTATAGTGAATACGCGTGTTTAAAAGAATATAGAATATCAGGAATATCAAAAATTGTACACTGCGTCTTGTAATATTTACCTCGTGAATTTTGGAAATTTGCAGAACGAGAATTAAAGGGAAATGGACAATATCCAGCTGTTTCATCATTTTATTACAACCTTAATGACAAAAATTGTTACATGCATTAAAAATTAGAATTAAAAAAACTTAAAAGTATTTCTCCTTTCATAAGTGTTTCAAAAGTTCAAATAACAAAATATTTGATAGGTAAAATGTTTAATAGAAAATGCAAAAATTGCTACTAATATTCACAAACCACATTTAGAGCACGAAAACATGTCGATTTCTTCCTCCACAAGAAGGCCAAGAAAACATGATCCAATGGTTGCTTCCTACACGGAAAATTTCTAAGACTGTAAGTGTTGTAACATTTTGTTCTGAAGAATACTAAGTGATAGTTGATTTACTGTTGAATCATTAAATTTCGGGATGGCTTAACTTCATGAAATTCGTGGACACCTCTCATTTAGATTTTTTTTACAACTTGATAAAGGAGGTTTACAATGTAATATTTCCTTTTGTAAGTATAAGAACAAGATTAACGAGATAAAGTCCCCAACCATGGACTTGTAGAATTTACGGAACCGATGTAAATTTGCCCCTCCCCATCCCCCACTCCCCTTCCCCTTAAAAAAAAAACAAAAAAACCCCCCAAAACTTTAATGATTCAACAGTATTTGGTACGTAAATTTACATTTAGCATGTACTAGGGGGTGATCAAAAAGTTTGCAAACTAATTGAATAACTTCTATATAGGAAACAATATATTTGGTTTCAGTGTTGATTACATTTTTCATTAGTCCTCTTCAACTTTAATGAACATCAGTCACCGTTCTGCGCATGCGCGAATTACGTGATATTGGCGGTCACGCGATCCGCTCCGTAGCGTTCTGTCACAAAAGCTGAACGACTTTCTGAGTTTAATATTTCTGTACATGTTAATAAATTTTATAACAAGAACAGTTAATTTGTCAGAAACGGAAAAAATTCGGCAACAGAATGGGTGGATAAGAATATCCTTTCCAATATAAGCATGGCAGCGATTAAAACACAAATTTTCTGTCTCGGGAGAGACGTTTATTCAAGGTGGATAGCGAATAGGTGCCTAGCTCCTTTTTATCATATCTAATATGTTTAAAATCTAAAGTAAACGATATCTTAGGAATTTAATCATTATATTATTGTTAAAATATTCAACTATTTTCCAAAAGTGTAAATTAGAGGTCTTTGATAGCAAATTGCTTAATTAAAAACACATATCTTTTCAAACTTGCTTTCACTGGGCAACATGACAGGGTGTAGGGTGGTTTCGCGCCGATAACGTGTTCGCGCCGAGTGGTATCGCGCCGAGTGGTTTCTCCCCATTTATCTACAGGTAAGATATTGGTAGTATACAGTATGGCTTCCCCCGATTACCTGTAATTATATAACTTAGTACATTGCAATTAATTAACCCCAAGCGTTAATGCCCTGTGTCGGATAATTATCCCATTTTGTATTAATTATAAATACTTATAGTGAGGCCATTTTTAGTCATATATTTATTTTGAACAAATTTGATCGTCTAATTTGGAATAATTAAGACTGGATGTTAAAATAAATATTTATTTCACAAATCTCGTTGACTTTTCAATGAAGGTTGTCATTGATTTCCATTTGATTTAGCCTTACAATATTAAATTATGCAGGATTCTTCTGCATAGCGATTATTCTTTATTAGACTTCCCATTTCATTGCAACTTCCTCTTCTTTATATTATCTTAATATATATATTAATCAAATGACTATTCGATAAGCGGTATCTTAGGTTATACAGTAGAAACCAATCGGGGCGAATCCACTCGGCGCGAACAAGTGATAGGAGCGAAACCACTCGGCGCGAACACGTAATCGGAGCGAAACCACCCGCATTCCATGACAGGTATCATTTTTAACCATCTGCCTTCCCGCACTAAAACAATCAATCCGATCATTTATAGGAAGTAATTGGTCATAATAATTGTGTACAAATTTTTATATGCTACGGCAATGGGCTTTCTAAGATATATTATAAATTGTACAGTCGTTTGTTGAACGAGTAAGACTGAGACAACTATTTTTCGTCACAAGTGACTACATAGTGACCTCATTTTCATTTTGTGACGTCACAAACAAGGAACAAAACTGTATTCAGCATATGCTATTTTTAGAACTTGTGTATGGCTATGTGTGTACCAAATTTTATTCTAATCTGAATCACGGTTTTGAAGATGTAGAGATAGTTCGCGAACTTTTTTATCACCCCTCGTATTTACTTGATAATCTGATATAATTTTTTAGCTCACCTGAGCCGAAGGCTCAAGTGAGCTTTTCTGATCACATTGTGTCCGTCGTCCGTCCGTCTGTCCGTCCGTAAACTTTTCACATTTTTTGACTTCTTCTCAAGAACCACTGGGCCAATTTTGACCAAACTTGGTACAAAGCATTCTTGGGTGAAGGGAAATTTAAATTGTTAAAATGAAGGGACATATCCCCTCGCAAGGGGAGATAATCAAGAAAAGAGAAAAATAGGGTTGGGTCATTAAAAAATCTTCTTCTCAAGAACCACTGGGCCAGTAAAGCTGAAACTTATGTGGAAGCATTCTGGGGTAGTGTAGATTCTAAATTGTTCAAATCATGACCCCCGAGGGAAGGGCGGGGCCACAATGGGGAATCCAAGTTTTATATAGAAATTTATAGGAAAAATCTTTGAAAATCTTCTTCTCAAGAACCACTGGGCCAGAAAAGCTGAAACTTATGTGGAAGCATCCTGGTATAATGTATATTCTAAATTGTTCAAATCATGACCCCCGGGGGAAGGGTGGGGCCACAATGGGGAATCCAAGTTTTATATAGAAATATATAGGAAAAATCTTTGAAAATCTTCTTCTCAAGAACGACTGGGCCAGAAAAGCTGAAACTTATGTGGAAGCATCCTGGTGTAGTGTAGATTCTAAATTGTTCAAATCATGACCCCCGGGGGAAGGGCGGGGCCACAATGGGGTATCCAAGTTTTACATAGAAATATATAGGAAAAATCTTTGAAAATCTTCTCAAGAACCACTGGGCCAGTAAAGCTGAAACTTATGTGGAAGCATCCTGATATAATGTAGATTCTAAATTGTTCAAATAATGACCCCCGGGGGAAGGGCGGGGCCACAATGGGGAATCCAAGTTTTACATAGAAATATATAGGAAAAATCTTTGAAAATCTTTTTCTCAAGAACCACTGGGCCAGAAAAAGTGAAGCTATATGTGGAAGCATTCTGGGGTAGTGTAAACTCTAAATTGTAGGAATCATGACCCCCGGGGGAAGGGCGGGGCCACAATGGGGTATCAAAGTTTTACATAGAAATATATAGGAAAAATCTTTGAAAATCTTCTTCTCAGGAACCACTGGGCCAAAAAAGCTGAAACATATGTGCCAATGGAAGGATCATGGGGTAGTGTAGATTTCAAAATGTCTAAATTATGATAAGTGGGGTAGGGTGGGGATGCATTACGTATAACAAGGGGGAAATCTGGTAAAGAACAGAATGGTCAAAGCTTCTCAGGTGAGCGATGTGGCCCATGGGCCTCTTGTTCTTACTGCTTTTCAAATGTACATTGCAAAGTTTTGGTATTCCAAAGTCTTAGCAAAAGGGTCGACTCTTGGTCAATTTTCAATACGATAATGAAATCTTGTTTAGTCTTGATAAAAAGTTGTTTCGAAGTTTAAAGGCAAATTTGCAATTAGAAAATATGTTTGAACCATGAAATGTAAAAGGTAAAGATATATATATTTATATATATTTTTATATAAATAATCCCATTATGATATGTAAATTTAACAAATTCAACTAAATGTTCTGTATTTTGTACCTTTTTCTTTTTTTCGGTATAAGGAAGTGGCAAGTAGAAAAATTCACTATCATTATAGTATTCCTTCTACAATAATTAAAGAGATTTCCATGATCATGAATTCATAGTATTAAATGAAAAGATATATATATATATATATATATATATATATATATATATATATATATATATATATATATATATATATATATATATATATATATATATATATAATCTGTAACACAATTCATATAATGTTCATTATGAAGAGTAATAAAAATTTTATTAAAATTTGCATTAAAGCAAGATTCTTTTTGTGTTAAATTGATTTGTATAATGGATGAAATGTTTTTGATCATTTTTAATTATATAAATAACTAACCACTGAACACTCATTGCACATATATCTATCCCTCCAATTTCCTCGAAAGAGATCGACTGGGTCTCCTTGTGCTCCACGTTTTTCTATTAATAATAATAATAATTAAACATATATATATATATATAACACAATATATCCGTTTGTTGTACGGGTCGATGTCTCCATCAGTTGTACTTTTGGAATGCGTATAAAATGTACACTTTTAAAAACGAACGAAAAAGTATGAACTTAAGGATTAATTATCGTTATTTACAATTCATACTGAATGTAATGATTTCTGTACATCAGAATTGTTCATTACATACAGTTAAAGACATGAACATATCATAATTTCTCTACAGGTAAGAAATGACACAGAAAATTGATTTCCATCAAATATTTTAGTTTAGTATTATGAAAAAATGTGTAATATGTTAACCTTTTTGTGAATTTAAACAATTAAATTGTGACTACAGATATCATTTTGTTTTTGCATATGAATTGACTATGCTTTATAGTTAACTTTTTATATTAGTTCTATTTTGGTAAAATATATTATCAAACATTCATTTAGAGGAGGTAAGGGTAATTGTAAAAAAAATCGATTATTTGAAATGGTGAATCAAAATAGTATCAAGTAAAAAATCATTGATTGATTGCATGTATATTGTTTACGTCGCATTCGAGAATATTTCACTCATTAAGAGACGCCACCATATACCGGTGAAGGGCTTCAAATTTCGACCTTTACTCGGCACTCAGGGCCGTTGATCAGTGAGGGATCTTTATCGTGCCAACGCCTACCGTGACACGAGGCCTTGGTTTTTTTAGGTTTCGTGCCGAGCGCATGGCGAAAGAACAGTTGCTACCTATTTTTATTGACTTAGGTCAGTCGCTGCCGAGATTCGAACCCACGAATCCCGATTAAAACCGAGCGCTCTACGACTGAGCTACCATAATCATTGATCTCTCATTTTTCTATTATTTACCTCCAAGCAAAAGAAGCTCAAACCGCTTCTAATCAATGAAATACAACTATTTGTGACAAAAAGTCAAAATCTTCAATACTTATTTAGGTACTATTTCAAATTATTGGGAAGGGGAGAGGGGTTATATTTCTTTAATTAACATCAGTGTATCAGAGTTGAAACATTAAGAGGTAAGTCGTTGGTTTCAAAAGATAATTAACTTATCCGTGCATATATATGATTATAATAAGAAATCTTCGGAAGTTTTTACCTCTGCATCTTAAGAAAGATGGGTGCATTTAACAATCAGTGCACAAAGTTATCAGATTAAATGGTGTATAAAAAAGTACCCGTAAAAGCTTCCTGGATTCCATTTAGAAGGGATGTTAAGAATGAGAGACAATCTTCTTGTTCATATTCGCGATACTCAGGATTCCTAAAAAATGATTTGATTTTATATGAAAGTTTATGTTTCATATGACATATCATATAACATTCTTATGTTACTGGAAGACTAGTACTAAGATTGTATAACTGTTGCAAAAGACTCGCTAGATAATTGCCTTTACCTTACATATCTATCAAGCCTAATAGTAGAACATATCATTTTGTTCAAAGAAATTTCACAATTGAAATAAATGTTAAGATACAAAAATATACATTACAAAATAAAATATTTACGATTTGTTGAATTCGTAGTGAAATTGATGTAACACATCGATGTTTTCTTCAGTTGTGTTGGTTCTTATTCCTTCCAAAATAAGACAAAGTGAATGTATCCATTCTTTCTTCTGAAAAAAAAAAATGATTACGCATAGTCCATGTATATCTAGTTTGAAATCGTCACTCGTTCAAGTATTTTTTCGGAAATGACAACTTTTCAACACAAGCATAAAACGTTTGAAATGTACCTTTTCAAGCAGAGACTGGTTTAACCGTTCTAAAAAATAAGGTGTTTCTGCTAATATCTGAAATTAAATTCAATATATTCACATAAATATATGACTTTTGTCATTACTATTTTATTTGACATATGGTAGGATGTCCCCCTCCCATAAGTCTCAAAGGATGCATCTTCCAGCATTTTAGATTAAACTTCCTAGTTTTTTCTTTGCTGTGAGAGGGCTTCTATACTGGATATACATAAAAATTTTACCAAATATATTGCACAAAGTTGTAATCATCCACTTGATTATATTAAACTTTATTCAATAGTATTTAATTTTTTTATAGATCTGTTGATTTTACGTTTATCACATTGTAACTTTCATCGACACACTCAAGTTACTTTAGGGGACGGCCATTTGATTCTGAGGTCGGAGGGAGGGGTTGGCAGATTTTGGACATTTTTCCTCGAAGATGTTAAAAAAAAATAATCTGTCCTCATTTCGATTTTCTATCGGTTTTGCCGGTAGGACCGATGGTTTTCGGAAACTCTGCTCAGGGCTCTAATTTGCGCCTAATTTTGTCGCAACAAAATTTTGATTGCTGCCTAAAATTTCTCTGTAAGTCGCCAAATTGGAGACTATTTTAAATTGACTTGGCGATCGCCAAATTTCTGAAAAATAGAAATTTTCAAATATTTTTATTTTCTAAAGAGGAGAAAAGAAGTTTAAAAATTAGGGATGTTTATGTGCCTGGCTACTTAAAATTTCCATTGGCCACTATATTTTTGAATTGGAGCCAGCTAGCGCCTGAATTCTAAAGGTCACTTAGAGGTTTGCCGCAACTGGAAAGAAAATAATTTGTCCGTGACTGGATCTGCTATTTTTTCTGGCTACAACTCTGTCCTTGACCATGTTAAAAAGTTGAAAATAATAAATCTTTTCTGACTTGCATGAAAGTAAATTATCTGACTTAAAAAATTTTGCCAACCCATCCCAGTATCAAATAGTCGTTCTCTTAGATTTTTCTCTTTTGGTGAAGGTCACAACGGTAACCGTCACATTGGAGGGTTACCACAGATAAAGCCAATCTTACTGTAGAATGTCACAGCAAACTCTCAATTTAAAGAATAATCATACTAAATTCATGTACTTCAATCAAGTTAAAAACAATTATCAGAAAAAGTGTTTGCGAGAAAATTACTTTGAAGCAATACCTAAGCAATGTTTTGGTTGTTAGTCACTTGTTTACCGTAAATCTGGAATTCTTTACGTCGATTTATTTCTGCGAATTTGGGTCAAAAAGCTGTTGATCAATTTTTACGCTTCAAATTTTTGCGAAATGTCACTGGCGCTAAAAATAAAAATCACTGAAGATTTTCAAACCAGGTATTGTTTCAAATTAGTATGCACAGTTAGAATACCACCAATTTACTCGTAACGTGGCAAGAAATTGCAGAATCGCTCCGAAACAATTTTGATAAAATACATGTAAAAGGATTTGCACTGAAAATATCTTCTTAATTGATTATAACAAACATTTTAGAGGTTTTGTATACCTTTTAATCTAAAATATAATCCAAATGAAGTAAAAAATATAACTAATTTTCTCAACGTTTGGTTTTTTTCTCACCTAAAATTTACACGTCGTGTTCACATTTGGAACTCTCTAGTAAATGCTATGAGTTCGAGTTATCGCCCGTGTTGATACACGGTTAGATCTCTTTATTCGCAAAATAATTATAAAGGGGCATACCGCCTCAGTGCTTGTAAAACCATCGGACGATATTGCATATAATGAGGGCAATTTACAGTCACGGGTAATTAACTTGTTGTTATAGTATTAAACAGGTTTCTTTTAAAAATGACCAGTGCTTACCGACGCCTATTCTCTGAGTTAAAAAAAACACAAGCTCTCAGAAAAAAATTCTTCACATGTTGATTTATTTTTAAGAAAAATATTTTTGCGAATGCAATGTACGCGCAAATTTGCTAAAAATTTATCTACAGTAAAATTTTCCAGATTTACGGTATGACCTAGTGTCTTCATTAGCTACACGGACAATACCACATTCTATTCTGTTGCCTGTATATAATTTGCGTTCAAGCGGAAAGGAGTATCCTGTTACGTGCTGGCTGTAAAATCAGTCAAACTTGTCTTATCCAGAAACCACTGCTTCCAAAGAAATCGGTCGGAATAGACAAATATCAAGATTAAACAACTTTTTAAGCAATGAAAATTTACTGAAAGGGACTTCAAGTTAAGATCGTATTAGACGAGCTTTCGGAATATTCAACATCCGGATTAGACAGATTTCATTGTATTATAAAATAATGGGCTTGGATGTAGATCAAATACCATTTATGTACTATTATCTGAAAAATGACACATGTACATGTAAAAAAAAAATCTTCGAGCGAGGGATGGGGTTGTTGTTCCCGACCCCTCTCCCCCCATCCGACACTGATCTTCAGTTATTTTAATATTTCTACATTTTTCAATTGGTAGCAGGAGAGAGAGAGAGAGAGAGAGAGAGAGAGAGAGAGAGAAAGAGAGCGAGAGAGAGAGAAAGAGAGCGAGAGAGGGAGAGAATTTTTAAAAATATTCTTACCTGCAAAATACTATTTCTGTAACAAGAGAAACCTATGTTTCTCAATCCTCTTGATTCTGAGTTCGTCTTTAAAAAGAAGTTATTTAATTATCTTTCAATAATTAAAAGTCTTAAACATAACATCAAACTACGATTATTGAGTACTTTTGAATACTATTAATTCGGAGGTGTACAAACTGAAATAAACTTACAACGACATTTTCAACAGACTGTCTCTTGACAGGTTCTATTAGACCACTATCCATTTTCCTTTTGCCCCTCTTTTCTTCCCCTTTGTTGTTTACTTCCTTTTGTTGTAAGGTTGTATTGTCTATTGTCTCATGCTTTTTCCCTGTGTCCTTGTTCCCTCCAGACACAGTGGCTAAACAAAGAAATCCATATTTCAACACAAGCGAACGTAGATACTATTTCATCTATCATAATTTCTAATGGAACAAACAATGCAATTATATATAGCTATAGCTTACAATTAATTTTTTTTATATTATGGAGGAGGGATTCTTGTCTTGTTTCTGACCAACTGAAATACTCAATGTATATTTGCTTACATGTCTTTTATCTTTAGATGTTAAGGGTTGTAAAGATCACGTTTTTCTTTCTTTTTCACAATTGCATAATTTTAAATAGTAATGATATGAGTTTGAAATCTAGCTGGGACTATATTATTGGCGGATTGGTGGCGTATGAAAATATCTCCATTTTTGCTTCTCAAAAGTACTATAGAACAATGAATTTCAAAAAAAATTCTACACAATCAAAGGCATAGGGAAGGTTTTGTAGTAACTGAATTAATAACAATGCAGGTAAGTTTTAAAATGAATCAAATAAATATTATTTTCTAGACAAATGACAATCTTATAACCATCGAAAAACTTTGGATTATAAGAACAAAAGAACTTTATGCGGTAATAACCAATATTTGCCCCCCAAATCAAACTTTGATGGAGGTAATATTTAATTAAGTTCTTAGACAGGGGAGTATGTGCTGACTTCAAAGCACTGAATATTTTCATAAGTTATGAGGCATATGTACGTAATGACGTCACAAACATGACGTAAATTTCAGTTTTTTACGAATTCTACAGAATAATGTATATATTTCGTCGATATTTTGAGCAAAAGTCACTGAGCGCATGTGTGTTCAGGATCAATATTTTGATATAATGTGTAGAATGATAATATCAATGAAATATGTAAATATTGTTCCTGAACACACATGCGCTCTATAAATTCTAAAGCTAAAATTGTTGAAATTTTGTCCATTTTGTCCTCGTTCTGAAAAAGGATATAAAATCGGACTAGTTTGTGACGTCATAAAAGCAAAAATACTGAATAAACTGCTTTGGAACTATAATATGTTCTGTTAATTTATATTTCTCATACAATTTATTGAATTCAGCACATTTCATGAAGTTTTCAAAATGTGACTTTTGTGGGGGCAAATATATGCAATATACCGCATTGTTACAACGCGAAATGTAATAACAACGCGAAATGTAATAAACATGGATTATTACATTTTGCGTTATTACATTTTGCGTCGAGATCAACGCAAAATGTAATAACGCAAAATGTAATAACACAATTTTTAGATTATTACACTTCGCGTTATTACATTTTGCGTCGAGATCAACGCAAAATGTAATAATGTGCTTTTTCGTTGTTACATTTTGCGTTATTTTATTTTTGCACTGAAGACAACGCAAAATGTAATAAAACAATATGTAATAAAACAAAATACAATTTTTTATTTTGATTGCGTTTAACAAAATAGATCATAAAATTTATTCAAAATATACATATAACCAACATGGGAGACACGCTGTACAAAATATTTAGAACTTAAACAATGAGACCAACGTTAGGGCTATTACGGACATAAATACATCAAAATGTATTGGTTTTTTTCTGACTCTGACTTCAGTTATATTGAATACATTGTGCTAATTATAAAGCATTAATTTAACTTTGATTGGCATATTTTTGATAGTTTTATTAAATTTTTAACCAATAACACGAAATTTATTTAATTACCAAAGATTGACCATAGGTTCATTATTTGCTCTTGATATGCATGTTTGGCATGTGTATATTGGTTAACAAAAAAGTGTATGTGTGTGTCAAGCGAGGAAGGTCAGGGATAGCGTGGAGTGTTTACTTAGTATGTTTATCATTGTAATACTTTGGGCATGCAGAAACAATCCATTTTATTATTGGATGTAGAGAGAGAGAGAGGGGGGGGGGGCGGGGGGTTGGATGTCTGCAATGCTGATGATTTGCATGGAACAGTATGGTATCACAAATGTCAATAAACCCATTCCGATATATATTTACACCTGCTAGTACAAATAAATAGGTTTTCTTTTAGATTCATTGCATTTGTCTATATAAAAAAAACACAAGTACACTGGTCAATACCCCCCAACAATCCCAGTACACACGCGATTTCTAATTTGCAACACCTATTATTTGAATACATTTATTACACTGATTTTAAATACATGTAGCTTATTAAATCAATATATTATGAAATTCATTAATTGTAAGAAATTGCATATATCTGTTTTTTTTCCCTTTTGTTTTATTTCCTCTTCATCGGCCACTACTCTATTAAAAACTGTACTCAATCTGGCTGACCAAAGAGTGTATTATTACATTTTGCGTTCTTGCTTTTTGCTTAGTAACAACGCAAAATGTAATAATCCAAAAATCGTGTTATTACATTTTGCGTTATTACATATTGCGTTGATCTCGACGCAAAATGTAATAACGCGAAATGTAATAATCCTCAAAAGTGTGTTGTTACATTTTACGTTTTTACATTCTGCGTTGATTTCGACGCAAAATGTAATAATCCATGTTTATTACATTTCGCGTTGTTATTACATTTCGCGTTGTAACACCGCATATAGTTCTTTGAATAAATATTCAGTAAAAATGTTTCGCTGTCTTGTTAAACGGTCAACATTTTTGTTTTTTGTATCATTTTGTACCTTAACATGACAACTTTACCATATGTGAAACTCACCGACACATTCATGATCCATTTGCTTTGTCTAAAAAAGTGAATGATGGTAATTATTTTAATTAAAGGTTCATGGTGATATACATGTATATATAGGTAGATTTATGTAGGTAAAATTAAAATGAATAAAGCAACACTGGTTTAAACGTTAGCGCTTTCACATTGAGAGCCAGAATTCGGGTGCATAAACAGCATATTCAAGTTCCTGAGTATTGTAAAATCAAACTCTGCGAACACATTGATAGATGCGGACAATGACAATTGAAAGTGTTTCCTTTCTATAAACTTTTTAATGACAATAATGACAAACTGAAAGAAGAGAAAAAGAGAAATACTTCATTCAAAAATTTAAACCCAGTCTTAACAGTTTAATTTAATTTGATTTCTGACAAAACTTTCACACAGAGTGTAACCTTTTAATGTTCTCCAACTAAGAGTATAAAGTTAACACATGTCAGATTTTGTTTCAAAGGTGCGAACATACTGCAAACATTTTATTGCTAGCTGTCAGATTCAATTATAGGTAATGATTTTTATAGAATTAATAGTTTTGTAAGACATTGCAGTCAGGATAAAGTATGCAATTATAAAACGTCTGAAGATGTAATGAAAGCGCTAACGTTTTAACCTGTGTTGCCTTTTCAATTTTATTTTTACCTTGCATATATAAGCTAAATATAATAATAATACATTGCATTGTATTACTTTAAATCATGATTTTTAAAAATTTAATTAAAAAGAATGTTAATAGACTGTAAAATTCTTTTTAAAAAAAACATTAATTGTAGCTTCAGGAACAACAATAATGTATTTAGCTTGTTAATTAATAATTGCAATCTTTGTGAATATATTGCATGAAACAGAAGTCACGCAGCTTTTTTGGATTATCAAACAGTCCAAACCAGAGCTGCTCTTAATTTCCTGGATTTGTTTTTAAAAATGAAGCTGTATTTGAGCCAGAAATTATGGAGCTGCTATTTATATTTTATTATTCTTGCCATTCTGTTGATGCAATGGCGATTGATCAGTTTGTTATTTACAGTGTAATAAAATACAAACATTTGATTATCAAATTCTTAACAACATTTATCAGATTTTGTTTTTTTAGGGGGCGGGCCTTGACGTGCTATGAATACTCAAATTTTACATTTTTTTTATTTTTGCAAACCCAGAAGTAATGGTTATGAAAATTGGCTACATTATTTAAGAAATAAAAATGAAGTCTACTTTAAGGGATTAGAGAAATTCATACTATTCCTTACATGTTCATGTAAAAAATAGATATATTTCTGATTCCAAATATCAAATATAAAAAGGTACTATTTTATAAGTATACCTCATTTAAGCCAAAACTTTTGCCTTCTGGACAACATCGTGAGAATGGGAAAAGTTCCTCACAGCAATTTGGTCCAGGACATCTTGAAAAGCTAAGTCGATATTCTTTAATCGTTTTCTTTTCAGCAATTTTGACACAATTTGCGCAAATTTTATGTCCGCAGCGAATGACTATACAAACTGCCTGAAAAAAAGAGATGATTTATTAATTTAAACCGAAAACAAATCATAAAGATTTAACTTCATACCATCTTAAAGTCAATATTTAGAAAACTTATCTTTAGCTTAGATAGTATCTGACTACTTAATATCAGTTTCCTCTTTCAATTAGATAATAATAAATATTTTGACTTCTCTAGATTTCATCAGATTTTGGGAGATAAATATTAATCCCATAAGTATTTAAAAAAGTCTACAAAACATGAAACCAAACTACCTTTTCTGAGCAGTTAAAGGCGGAACATACACAGCATTCGTTTGAAAAAAGTCCTTCACATTTACCCGGGTATAAAATAAACGCCAAATCCTAAAAACAAATTATTTATAAAATTACAAGGAATTATAATGAAATATATGTAGACACAATATAAATGTGAAGTAAAGATACAGTGTGAAATGGGAAGATAGAAAAGAGTTGTTAAACTCATAAATTGAGTTTATTTTACATGTATAGTGTAGTGGTTAGCGCGTTTGCTCTAAAGTCGCAGAGCAAGGAGTTGATCCTAGATCGCGTGTTTAAATCAAATTGTGGGACGTGGAGACCGATCATTCGAATAAGACCGCATAAATAGAGGTCTCATATCGCAGTAGGTGCTGGCATAAAAACGATTTTTCCCTACATGCACAAATTCCATAAGTGTCGAATAAAGATCAAATTTTAAATTTACAAGTATTTAAACTTTGAAAGAAGTCCGGTCTGTCGGTTGTACTCTGGTGAAGTGCGATTTCCATTATTGAAACAGCATTCCAGCCAATGAAACAATGGAACATTCTCAGTACCATTCACAAAAGATAGGAAGAGCATAACCCGAAGACTGTAAAATACTTCAACGTTGTATACGGTCTTCCAAGGAAGACGGTAAATAGTGTGATATAAGTGGAGATTTTTTTTCAAAGTCAATACAGAATAATACTCGCACTCCCTTCATATTGATATTTGATCAAGGCATTTATCATTTAGTGTATGGGGTTTAACCTATAAATGGTATCACCCATTTTTCCCAATATGTGACTGTTTTGCTCGAGCTCACATTCATAAAAGATATATATATTTGTCCAAGAAGATATAAAAATTACATTTGATGCCAAGCATAAAGGACACGGGGGACCTTCCAAATAATTTTGTAGATTGACAGACACATTCATATCGACGATATCTATAATAGCATGTCGATATCGATTTGTTATCAATTCCTATCACACGCATGCACACACCCCCACTCACACACACACACACACACACACACACACACACACCCCACACACACACATATGTAAGTTATAAATTGAAATAATGAAATAAACAAGAGGCCCACGGGCATTATATGTCACCTTATTATCATGCAACAGCTTTCCAACAATTGAATTTGTTTTTTAAACAAGGGGCCAAGAAATTCACAATTTTGATAGAGGCACCAATGCTCATCATAACTTTACACTTAAAATGCTTACTTTGATTACTAAATACCCAGAGGCAGGTCAGATAAACAAAGAAAAAATGCATTTCCACTATATAATCAAAGTGCCCCATCCCACAAGAACCACTGACCCTGGGGCCAAATATTTCATAATTTTTGAAAAGGCATATTTCCTTTTCATAAGTGGTTGATTAATACCAAAGAGCAAATTTAAAAGCATTAATTCATTTTAAGTATAAAATCATTAATTAGGGCTTCACCCCATGGTACCCCTGACCCAGGGGCCGTGGAACTCCTCATTATGGAAGAGGCTCCTTTCCTCAATATGACTATGTATTTAGATATTCGGTATAATACCCATGAGGAGAGGAGAAAATTTTCAAAGAATTAATCCATTTTCACTACATTATCAATAGAGCCATGTCCTAACAGTAAACACCAGAACCCCTGACCCAGAGGCCTTGAACTTCAAAATTAGTAAAGAAGCACCATTGCTCGCCATAACTATGTACATTGTACATTGTTTATCGGCTTAATACCTACGGGCAGAGGAGAAAATTTTCAAAGAATTAATGCATTTTTACTATATAATCAATGGAGCCAGGACACCTGACCCAAGTGCCATGAAATTTACAATTTTAGTAGAATCAACCTTCCTCATTATTACTGTGTATATATTTCATTGGTTTAATACCCAAGAGCAGAGGAGAAGATTTAAAAAAAATTAATGCATCTTTAATATATATCCAATAGAGTCCCGCCCTAACACATGAACCCCTGATCCAGGGGCTATGAAATTCACAATTTTGGAAGAGGCATCCTTCCGTATGATGATTATGTACACTCTCCCTCATTATAATTATGTATATAGATCATTGGCTTAATACCCAGGGGCAAAGGAGAAGATTTTTAAAGAAATAATAATTTTTCACTATATATTCAACGGAACCTCACTCTAGCAACAGAACCCCTGAACCTGGGGCCATGAAATTTCACAATTTTGGTAGAGGGATCAATGCTTATTACAATCATGTCAACAGTTTTACTGCTTGATATCAAGGAGTAGGGAAGATTTTAAAGATTGCATTAATTTGAATGTTTTGGCCCCACCACTCAGGCCCCAGGGGTGCAGAGAACATGAAATTCAAAAAGTTTGTTTCCCTTCACCCATAGATGCTTTATTCAAAAATCGGCTGAAATTAGTTGAGCGGTTTCAGAGAAGAAACTGAAAATGTTCAAATGTTAACGCATGACTGACGACGACGGACGAAACAGATACAGTACCGACCAGACCCAACCTGACACCCAAGCAGTCACAGAAAACAGTCCCCGGGACTGCTTTGGACCGCTCTTGGACTGCTGTGGGACTGCTATGGGACTTCTTTCTGGGGTTGCTATGTTCACTCATGCGTAAAGAAGGTTCTGAGTGACATGATAGCTCCGCCCCTTCTGTATTCTGAATTCAGGCTAACAAGGATTTCTTACACAGATATTTAATAAATAGAGTTCATTATAGTTTCTGAATTTCTTCAGGGGCTGTAAATGTACACAAATGTAGTCCAGAATTAATAAAAAAATAAAGTAGTTAAAAAAGGAAGTCAGGAGATGATTTTTATTCAATTTAATCTAAAAACTTCTTTTGAAAATAAAAACAACTTCTGGGGTTACAAATGTATTTAATTAATATGGTAACATTTATTTTCTCAAAGTTTGCAATAGCACTATTAAAAAAAAAATCATAACAAATACATGTAGATATAAGATTTGTATAAATCGAATAAGTTCCTTTAAAAACAGGTCCCATGTTAAAGAAGAATATTCCATGCAGTCCTTAAATAAAACTTAACAATTTATTAAATGACCATGAGATAAGGTTATGTTACCATTCTTCCGGCACATAAACAATGTGAACAATTATTGGGGAATTAATTTAATCTATTTGTTTTTAATTTATAAACAAGTAATTAATAGAGTACATTAATAAACAGTTGAAAATATCGGGAAATATGACATTTCTTATTTGTTTGCATGTGTTTAACTGACCGGTTAATGTGTATTAAAGGTTTATTCCCTGAACGTCTACTCATTATAAAATAATTTAATTATCACACTCAATTAAGAGGCCTTCTAAGGGTCCAGGTAGAGTTAACCTGTGCTACCTTAATGTGATTAAATACTTTAATATTTACTGATAAACTTTTGTACTCAAGTTCAAGTTCAGTTCATGCACCCAAACTAAAATGTTGTTATAGATTTGGAGTTCATAAATTAAAATTTAATACTTGATATATGTAATTTTAAGCACCACAAATATTTTTTTATTAAAAAAAAAATTAAAATTCGAAAAAGAAACAGTACTACACAAGACATGTAAAGACAATTTTTTGACAACTTATCTGCAAGAATAATTTCAAAAGTCCAATTTAATTGGCGGTTGGGTGGGGAATTTAAGAGGCCTTATTTTTTAAGTTTCAAGCTTGCCCTTGATAAAGGTACAATATTAACATCTACTAAAATATGTCACGAAAAGCAAGATAAGCGGTTTTTTTTAATTGTTGCTAAAACTTTATGAAAAATATACACCAATTGATATGGATAAAATCTTCAAAAAATAATTAAAAGATTTTGCTGTTTAATTTCTGTAATAAATACAGGTAAAGATAATTGAGGTAAACTCTACCTGTACCCTTAGAGGGCCCCTAAATTGAGTGTGATAATTAAATAATTTTATAATGAGTAGACGTTCAGGGAACACACCGTATATAATGGTATCAAAACCTGCGGTTTCAGTTGCCTGTGGGCATGATAAGCAGAAAGTCAATGCATGTTATTTGGTATCAGTGTTACCAACATTAAACATGCTGGTTTTTAATGACCATAATTTCAATCTATATAATATGTAATGCTAAAAAAACTTAAATCAAGTTAACATTAAATGTGTATAAATGTCTTTCGGGATTAATTAATTTTCATTTTCCATTCTGGTGATTTACAGATGTACACTCGAAAGTTTATATAATAAAACACATAAAGCTGAGTGTTATCGTTTTTCTATCAAATAGAGAAACAAACGATAATTAATTTGGCATGTCAGTGAAAATAATCATGACTGAAAAATAATACTCGGCAAAATTAACAAAGAGTTTTTAACAAAAAACAAAACAAAACATTTCTTAAAAGATCCCTTCAGAGTATGGTATGAAAATCAGCCTTGTTCTAAAAAGTAACTGTGGTAGAAAATAAGCAATTCAAGTATCATTTTCTATAAAGAAATAAATATGAACATATATCAATCACATAAAATAAGGAAATACATTGTAGCATTATCATTGATGAAAGATTGATAAACCACATAAATGTGATTAAATATTTATGTTATTTATTAGGTGTGAAAGTCCTCTTCCTTCAATAAATATTATTTTAAATTGTTTCTGAGTACTTTTCAGAAATGATTGTCGCATACATGTAAGAATTGTAGATATTTGTTGATACTACTCAGAATCAATTTCATCTGCCTTATATAGTTCCAATCTTTATTGGCAATCTCATTTCTGAGTTAGCTCCTCCCATTAAATTAATAAACCCCACCCCGACTGCTGAGACTGCATTGTGGGACTGTTGGGACTGCTCTCTGGGACCGCTGGGACTGCTGTGGGACTGCTCTTCGGCTGCTTTTAGACTGCTTTGGCAGTCCCAGAAAGCAGTCCCCAGGACAGCTCTGGGACAGCTTTGTGTCAGGTTGGGTTTGGTCGGTACTGTAGCAATAGGTCACCTGAGTAACTAAGGTGAACAAATAAATAGAGGAAGTGTTCGGAATTCTTAATGTCAGGGGTTAGAGTAGGGGTAAGGTTTTAGGTTAAAGTCTGGGTGAGGTCGGTAAAAATATATTGTGTACCAAAGTGATTTGATATCGATACGATGTCGTCGATACTGACAATTTTTAAAGGGTTTTAATTATTTGGGAGTACATACACACAAGTATTGCATGAAGATATACAGCTATAAGAGCATTGATAAAATGACGATATCGTCGATATTGTTGGCAAATACAGTTTTCGTCGACGTTAAGTTTTAAAATAAAACAGCCATATATACTCACAGGGATCCTCACCTGAATTGTTTCAGATGGATAAATATATCCCCAGATAATGAGGATTAATAACCATACATAGGTCTGTACAAAATTGGACTAAGCAGGATTAAGTCATCATTATCTGACAAGAAACACACTACACATTTCATAAAATCGATAAAAACATGGTTTATTTTTCTTGTAAAGTGATATATTTTGCCAACTGTTTAACATTCCCTCTTGTTGATTAACTTCCTTTATTTGCTTTGTACCAAATCTCATGGTACTTGGGGAAAATTTTCAAACACATATACTTAGCCTATGCATCCAAAAATTTTGGAAGGCTGTGTATTGATTATTTTGGTGGGTAATCCCTACCCCTCTCCCCCTCCTTTAGACTTTGCTCATCTAAACTGATGTCATCTTTAAGAAGAAATAAAATTAGAAAACATTTAAAAAATTCTCCTTAAGAACCATTGAGTAAAAAAAGTTTAAACTTGTACGTGCATGATTCCTCACATAGTATTGATTAATTTTAAATTTGTCCTAATCATGATCCCCAGGAATAAGGTAGGGTCACAAGAGGCCATAAATAATTTACATGAGAATGTTAGAGGAAACCTTGTAGCACAAGTACAGGACACCAATCTCCTTCCAAAAAATGTTTAGACCACTGCGTAAAATATAAGAGGAGTTCTTCAAATGAGGGGCTTTTTGTATTAAAAAAACGTCATTTTTTGACCCCCAATTGACACCCAGAGTGAAAACGAAAATTCCGAAACCTTATTGCACATATACAGGAAACCACCAATCATCTTCAAAAAGATGATCAGGCTACTCGTAAAAGTTAGGAGATATGGGAACCAGGATTTTCTTAAGAAAAACAAACTTTTTAACGATGGCATACAAATTTGTCTGGACTCCTTTAATTGAAATCGGAAGATGTTAATTATGTTAATAAGATAATGATATTTAGAATAAAGAATTTGGGAAAAAAATCAATTTGTATTAAACTCATTTGAAAGGGGAATCATTTTTTTTTCTACCGCAGTGTATTTTTAGGGACTTCTTTGAATTGCTTAGTTTGTATAAGTCGTATTGTTTTTGTTAAAAAGGTTTCAGGAAAATTAAACAATTCATATTAAACAAATGATTACCTTATCGATCTTCTTGCTGCATAATGATGATAACAAATATTCATAGTAATATTTTGGTGGAAGCTTCATATTTCTACATGATGGTATTTCGCATTGTTCGTCTGGCTTACATCTTTGCAAGCAGTCTAGGCATAAAGAATGATTACAGTATTTGGCCTCTATGATGCCCTGTAAGCAATAACCATTTAATAAATTACTCACAAAATGTATTTGTGCTTGCAAAATTTAACTAATTAACATATTAGTAAAACCAGAGTTTTTGTGACTAATACACTGTCAATTACCCCCCCCCCCGGCATCAAAGAAATTTAGTCTCATATGCCTTTTCAGGGCAGATTATCTTATGAAATTAAAGTAGGATAAATCACGAGAAGCAGAGACCACAAAAAGTATTTTTTGTACATGTTAATACATACATACGCAGCTTAAGATTAAACTGCCAGGGATTGGCATGTATGTGAATAATCTGAATAGGTTAATCGGTTAGACAAAAAAACTAAGAACAAAAATTGATATACACTCGTGGTTATTTTGCATACGATTGTTTATATATTAGACAGATTTATCATATTCACTAGACAAAGGTTTCTGACGAAGAACGTCAGATCATTTGATGAATGTGTGTCAATATACATGAGAAAAAGCGAATTTTGCAAAAGGTACAAATGGCTTTGTGGAAATAGAATAGACTTAAATTCGTGGCTAGCAAAAATATCAACAGCAGGCTTATTGGCCACAACGCTCATCTGAGAGACTCTGGATCTACTGTTCTGCATGACTCAGATCCCCCGTCAAATACCTATATTCTTCTGAATTTTATCGCCTTTTTGTCCCGCCCTATTTACAGTAGATGTAATATGAACAAAAGTATATCTACACTACAAGATTAATATGATTCATCATGGATTGATCTTGAAGAGCTTTAAAGATCTAACGGTATATTACCCTTATTACTGCCCAACCTAACCTAGGAAAAACATTTGAATTATTTAGAAGTCAGGACTAGCAAAAAAAAAATTACGTTTCATTAAATAGCGGATCTTTTCACCGAACTAAAGTAAGGCCAAAATTGGCAGTATGGGAAAGAAACTCAACTATGAATTGTCAAGAATTATTAAAAATGAAAATATGATTATTTTAATACCCATAAAAGTAACATTACTCACATCTCCTTTGCAGCTCTCACAGGTTTTGGGTTTTATTTGAAAATACATTGGTACCTTAAAGAAAATAAGTAAAACTTATTATTCCAATTTTTTCTCCATTGACATACATGTTTTAGAAGAATTTGATATTGTATACAACTGAATACAGAAAAAAATTGCGCCCACGTTTTTTTTTCGCCCCTTTCGCCATACACACGGGTGGGCATATTTATATCATAGCAAATCCAAACAACACAATTTAATATCATAAACAGAAATGTGACCAGGCGAATCTAAACGGTAGAAATATGTTTTCAAGTGTAAAAAGGCTAAGAATATCATGGGTGAAAATAACTCGGTATACAATGATATGCAAACTTCAATAATAAAAGAAAAAACTTACCTCTAACTGTATTGCGCAGGGTCTTTTCAAAAACGCGTCCAAGGCATTCAAACTAATCCATGATTTGCATCCAAGTGTGCAAGTAAAATACTTCTGTTCTGATTGCAATTTAGTGGTTAGAACTGAAATGCAATTTCGGCAAAATCTGTGTTTGCAGTTTTCTATTTCTACCACAGCCTGAAAAAAAGCTATTCACATTCAGATATTTTAATATTTTTAGTAATTTTTTAAAATACATTTCTTCTAGCAAAGCTAACAAATCTGAATGAAAACTGATTGACTTTACGATACATACTGCTAGTAATTACGTTCATTTTACTATAACCCTATCAATTTACATATATTTCAAATACCATCTACATGTAAAAACTTAAAAATTATTGATATCATTAAGAAAAATTACAAATTTACAACCTAGATATAACGTTAGCTAATAATCTATTTATTTTTGCAAACATGAAAGTAAAAGGAGCTTGAAAGGGCAATAATTTTCTCTCTAGCAGTGCAAAGAAACATACCGAAAATTATTGTATGAAAAACGATCAAAACATTCGGCCATTTACTTCCAAAAACCAACTCAGAAATCAAAAGAAAAATGAAAAAAAACCTACATCACAGATGCGCTCAGATTAAGTGGAGTTGATGGGAGATTCAATCTTCAATCGACTATATGAGGGTTTTGTTTTCCCTAGTGAAAGTTAATTTGATGTTCGGCTTACATTTACATAAAATAAATATTACAAATTCCAACATTTTCCAACATTTTAGTACGCTGTTCCTGTACTGCTAGGAGACAGATTCCAAAGGTCGAGAGTTCAACCCCGGGCTTGGGCGGAAGTGAGTATCCATACAATAGTGAATTTCTTTGTGCTTTCTATATTAATATTTCTTCACTTTGGGCGGTTATGTTAGTATAAGAAATGTTGTAAAATGTGCTTTATAGATAATAATTTATTTCGTTACAACGTGTATTGGTTACATTTCTCTTTAAAACTAATGTCCAAACAAGAAAACATTGATGTAACCATCAATTGTCGCCCGGGAAATATATAAAAGTAAACAACAAGAAAACATCAATTTGATGTAACCATCAATTGTCTCCCGGGAAATATATAAAGTGAACAATGAAAATGAGTCTTATCATCAAACCGCTTCTTCAAAAATAGTGAAAAGACATACGTCTAATTGATGGAGACGATAGTAGCGAATATTTTGAAAACTTGTAGTCGGCTAAAAATCAATCAAAAACGATACCATTTTAAACTTGATCAATTCCTCAAGTAAATATTGGCTGCATAAAATATAAATTGAAGTTAGACACACGCATCACCTATATTTAAAAATGTATTAATTTTCAATTTTAGAATATAAAACACGAACTGTGCAGAGTACGTTTTTATCCGAAAAGTAAAATTCGATGTTCTAAAAAAAGGGACCTGTCGTTTTTTCGAAAGTTAATGATAAGCAACTTCATGTATGAAATATGAAAAACATATATATTTTTCAAGATTTACTTTATAGAAGTAAAGATATTATGTATCTCGTAGTTTTTGAACGGAAAGAACATTCTGATTAACAATCTTTTCAATGTTTAGAAAACCTATAATTCTAAATTACTACTCCTACTCCAATCCCCATATACCAACAATTAAACTTATGTGTATAGAGCAGCCCGGTCCTCCGGGCTGCAATGAAATTGAGTCTTGATCATTAAACCGCTTCGATATGTGTAAACAGGCATGCATCTTATTGATGGAGATGATTGTCGCGAATATTTTGAAAACTTGTAGTTGGATAAAAATCAATCAAAAACGATACCATTTTAAACTTGATCAATTCCCAAGTAAATGTTGGCTGCATCAAATATATATTAAAGTTAGACACACGCATCACCTATATTTAAAAATGTATTAATTTTCAATTTTAGAATATAAAACACAAACTGTACAGAGTACGTTTTTATCCGATAAGTAGGATTCGAAGTTCTGAAAAAAGGGACCTGTCGTTTTTTCGATAGTAAATGATTATCAACTTTATGTACTAAATATGAAAAACATATATATTTTTACAGATTCACTTTATGGAAGTAAATATATTATGTATCTCATAATTATAAACGGAAAGAACATTCTGATTAACAATCTTTTCTATGTTTAAAAAACCTTTAATTCTAAATAACTACTCCCACCCCAATCCCCATACAACAACACTTAAACGTATATGCATAGAGCAGCCCGGTCCTCCGGGCTGCAATAACTGTATCCCACTTCTATTCTGTGCCGTGTAGTGTAAGGCAGCGCTGCGAGAATTCCATGGGCATCGAAAGCAAGATTTTTTAGAGTTGCCTAGTATAGATAGCCGAGCGTTATATAATAATTATTATTATCAATGAGCTAGACATATTTAAGGTATGTCACTCGTTAGCTTTTTAGAAAAGTTCACACAGAACCTCTTACTTCGAAACTATTTATCAAAATTCAATTTTATAAAATATTTAAATTCAACAATGTTAATCTTTTAACATTCGACAAAAAAAAACTGCTCAAAAAGCTACAACGAAGCAAGATTTATGAGGGAATATTTCTTGTGGTGGAAGGATATTTAGCAGATAATTCTCAATCGGCAATCCTCGGCTGACTCCGCTACGCTCCATTCAAATCTCGGATGTGATTAGTGGAGGAATACGCATAAGATCCTTACATTTCTCCGCCGGAAACTGCCTTGTCACATATTTCATATTTCTCCCTGCAATACGTTCTTCGAAGATGTTTCTTAATTAGTACAATTGTTTATTGTAAACAGGTTTTAATTACAACCTCATATTAGTAGGCTTTGAAAACAAGAACAATCTGTTGGGTGTGTCACAAAATAACTCCGATTTCAAATGTATGACATTTGAAAGAAATTCAAATAAGATCACATGACTAATTCAGCTAGATAGCAGAACACCTTTGACGTCCGAGGTTATGTGCGAGGTACGATTTATCCGAGGAACTCCGAGTGGATAATTCTGCAAATCTGCACATTTACTAAATTTAATATCTTGGAACTTTAGCTTCGAATACTTTTACTCGGAGAATATTTTCTGTTATGATATTGCTAGGAATATTTAATATTGAAATTAATTTGTATTTTAAGAACAAGTTTTACACCTTTCTTCGATAACTTTGCTAAAAAATGAAGATATGTCAAATAAGTCAAGATATAGTTTACATCATTTTTTGCCTGAAAATCACATATTTGACCAATATTTCAAAATTAACATCACCTACCTTAACTTTTTCTTTTATTATTTTAAAGTACTCTATACTTGTAACTGATCAGCACTTAAGTCGTAAAAAGCTTGATTTAAGAAAATGTCTTATTGCCTATTAATCTTTTATACCCCAAATATGTTACTTTTAAGTGCAAAAAGATCACACAATAATTGACGCGAATTAATTTGCAAGATTTGTTCAATGATAAATATTATTAACTATTTTATGTAAAATAAAATCATATAAACTCCCGTGGTGACATCTGATAAAATATGATAAAGGTTAAAGTAATTTAGCAAAGAGTTAAAATTTAAGTGGAAAAAGGTCAACTTAATTGTACCGTAGCTCAGTACATGTGTAGGATGCACAACGACCCCCTGTTTTCTCTGAGATATTGAGTCACACTTTATGAGTACTTATCCAAAATATACTTCTCAAAAATCCTTGATTTAACAAACTTCACGAGTGACATACCTTAATTAAAGATGCGTGCACTGAGTCAATTTCTGAATCAATGTTTTAATTTCAGATCACAAGTTTTAAACAGAAGGATATGGAGATAACGAACAGTATTCAATCTCAAAGTCCATTAAACAATATACAAAATAAGATCAGAGCAAACATGGACCTCCGAAACATCAGAGATGGTATCAGGTGCCATAGAGGAGTGAGCATCCCCTGCCGACCGGTCACACCCGCCGTGTGCTCGTTGTCATGATCAGGAAATAACGGAAAAAATCCTTCGTCAATTCAGTGTATAATAATAATGGACTAACAATTGGTATGAAAAACGTCAGTCAGCATTTGACTCAATGATTAATTGTATTTGCTGACAAGGTCATTGTATCGACCATAGAACTTACGAAATGATGACTTTAAACGAGATTGTTGATATTCTTGTTTCATCAACTTGCTTGTCAATGATTTACCTCGTTTAAGAAATTGTTCATACGTAGAGCATGCTCTTGCGTATCGAATCAAATGAGATATATATACTCCGTATGCAGGTGATGAAGGTATATTGCTGCATAAGTAAGGGAAGTTGACGATAGAAAAGTTAAAGTCATCACGTTTATCATATAGCTTGGTTGTTAGATTACCATTAGTGTCTTTTTCAACTAAAATATCCAAGTATGAAACATAAGTGTCGGACTCTGTGGTATCTTTCACCTCAAGATCACCAAGATATATCGTATCGACGTAGGAATGGAAATCATCATTATTAATTAACAATACGTCGTCGATATATCTAAATGTCGAGTTGATTTTGCATAAATTCTGCTTCATGTGAATATAAAAATAAGTCTGCTAATAACGGAGCGCAATTTGTACCCATGGGAATTCCAATAGATTGTTGGAATACCTGGTCTCCAAAAACCACATTGATATTGTCAATCAGAAACTCAAGCAGCTTCTTGATGTCAACTTCAGAGTACTTATGTGTGCAATCAGAATCTGTTTTAACAAAATAATTTTGCAAATGACCAATGACGAGGCAGGTAAATTTACGAGTTCCATTTTTATTGAAGAAACAGCTGTCAATAATATCTAAAAGCCTGGATTTTAATTTGTCGTGGAGAATTGTTGTGTATAAAGTTGAAAAGTCGTAAGTTTTTTAAGCTGTCGATTTTTGTAAAGTCTTGTGATTTCAAATTGTCCAAAAGTTCTTTAGAATTTTTAAGTATCCACATCTGATTTAGACCACTTCTTGAATAAATAGTTGCACAGTACTCTTGAAGTTTTCCTTCACTACTGTCAATATCTTAGTGCAGAGTGATTGGATGTATGTTGTTCAAATACGCCCAATTCGAGATTTATTTTTTAATCATATATAGACGTCGTTTTTAAGCAAAAGAATAATATAGATCAATAACTGCACTCCCTTAGATTTCATTGATATAATTTATTTATATTAAAGGCATGTTTTGTGATATTCACAAAATTGTGTTGTGAAATAAACACATCAAGAAAAAATAAGACTATAATAATTTACCGTGAAAAATTTTAAAAATGACAAATGCAGAATGCATTGGCTATATCAAGCTTTATAGATAATGTCTATGGAAAGGTTCCTACTATTTATCTATAAAGTCTGAAATAACATGCTTTTTGAGAAAAGAATAAGTACATGTATGAAGCCAAATCATTGACCGGAACAGAAGTCGGCAAGCTTTTAGAAGACACTAACACGCCAATTCTGGTCCTATAGGTCCAAGCTGGGTTTATATAGAAGTGTAACAGTTCTTTACAAGAATAACTCAAAAATGATTGAAGTACATGAATATTAAAGGAACAACGATTTTCATTTCGTCAAATTTCATTTGTACTTTGTCTGATAAATAATTTCGCAAAAACTAAAATGATTTTTATTGGCAGTATTTCATAGTGCCTGGTACTCAAAACAACATGCAAGTTCATCATAAACAATGGATTAATCCAAAAACTCATTGCATATTTTAAAAAGTTATTTTGCTGCATGCTTTCTTTGTTAGAGATGTCCCTGACTCTCGAAGAAGAAATTGCTACTATAGACTACATAAAATAGTCACAAAACCAAACGTAAAAATGAATGTGTTCGAAAACGTTGGAAATTGTAATATTTATTTTATGTAAATGTAACTGTAATGTAAAAAGGGACTGCTTTGGGACTTCTCTGGGACTGTTGTGGGACTTCTCTGGGACAATTGTGGGACTGCTCATGGACCGCTATGCGACTGCTCTAGAAAGCAGACCCAGCAGTCCCTGCTTTGTTTAATCAAGCGTGAAAAAGGTTCTAAGTGACATGATAGTTCCGCTCCCTAGTGTATTCTGAATTTGTGGCTCCCTAATGTTGTTTTGTTTACTTTCCGCAGAGAGGTGGTTAAGTTAAGAAATGTACAAAAAAAATAAATAAATAAGTATAGTTATACATGTTATTTCTAAATATCTTCAGAGGCTGTACATCTACACAGTTGTAGTCTAGAATAAAGTTTAAAAATTAAAGTAGTTAAAAAGGGAAGTCAAGGATTATTCTTATTCCTTAAATTAAACTTCAGTACAGGTGTTTAAAAAATTATTTAGGTCTATTAAATAAATTAATGCTGTCAAATTATGTACTCAAAATTTGCAATAACTCTATTTAAGAAATACAAACAAGAAACAAACAGACTTGTCATGAAATAATGGAGATAACGAACAGTATTCAATCTCAAAGTCCATGAAACAATATACAAAATAAGAGCAGAGCAAACATGGACCTCCGAAACATCAGAGGTGGGATCATGTGCCATGGAGGAGTGAGCATTCTTTGCCGACCGGTCCCATCCGCCGTGTGCTCCTTGTCATGATCGAGAAATAACAGAAAATTCCATTGCCAATTCAGAGTGTAAATAATAGCTTAACAATTAGGATGAAAAACGTCAGTCAGCATTTGACTTAATGATCATGATAAATTACATTTGCTGACAAGGTCAATGTATCAACCTTAGAACTTACGAAATGATGACTTTAAATTAGTCTACTGATATTCTTTTTTCATCAACTTGTTTATCAATAAGATATACTTCGTTTTAGAAATTATTCATACGTAGAGCATGCTCTTGCGTATCGAATCAACTGAGAGATATACACCCCATATGCAGATGATGAAGGTATATTGCTGCATAAGTAAGGAAAGTTGACGATTGAAAAGGCAAATTAATCACGTTTATCATAAAATTTTGTTGTTAGATTACCATTAATGTCTTTTTCAAGTGAAATATCCAAATATAAAACAGATGTGTCAGACTGTGTGGTGTCTTTTATCTCACGCTCACCGCGATATATCGTATCGACATAAGAATAGAAATAACCATTGTTAATTGACAATACGTCGTCGATATATCTAAATGTCGAGGTGAAGGCCACAGAAATTGTTTTAGTTTTCTTCTTTTCACGTACAAGATTTTGGACAAATTCTGCTTATAACGGGGCACAATCGGTACCCATGGAAATTCCAATAAATTGTTGGAAGGCCTGGTCTCCAACAACCACATAGATATTGTCAATCAGAAACTCAAGCATCTTTTTGATGTCAATTTCAGTGTATTTGTGTGCAACAAAATAATTTTGCAAATGACCAATGACAAGCTAAGTAAATGGGATTATGAAGTTCACGGTCTGCCTATCCCTTCAACTAATTATACCAAATACTGGTTGTAATTAGTTCAGTGGTTCAAGAAAAAAATGGAATTGCTCAAAACTTAATGACTGGCGAAGATGCACATCATACGATACACACGACAGTGTACCAAGACGGATAGCTTTTTTTTCACCTAAGCGACTCTACTAATTCTAAAACCAGTATGGCTATTATCAATTTTTTCCCATTCATCACCGATTTAAATTTTTAGGCAATACAGCCGAAGTATTATTTTCAGTGTTTTTTTTATAAATCAAAAATTTATCTGGAGCCAGATTTTACTCTTTTTTCCTTTTTGTAGACACATTATTGTGGCAACCGCATTTGATTAAGTAAAATGTAACCTTCAAATTGATAATTGATCTTGTAAGGACGGCGCATGCAAGACATTCATTCCAAAAGATTTTTTCCAAAAAAAATCTACATTTATCTGGTCTAGAACTTTAGTTTCGATCTTTTTCCATGTTTTATTTTAAAAAAAAATTATTCTATTGATCTTCTATTTATATTTTCAAAATGAATTATTCTGTTGAGGCAAATACTGTGGAATCATCAAAATTCCTAGTGTCTATTTCTTCTAGAAGACCAAAATTTTACGTGTTTAAGGGGAACATAATTTCATGTATTCTCTTTCATTTACAAAAGAAAAGACGGATCTTAATAATCCCCCTATTAATCCGTTAAATATATAATTCTTGGATGTGGGGCACCCATGAATTCCACGTACAATATATATTGATGCAACACAAATTATATAATGATTCAAGAGTATTTTAGTTCAAATAAAAAAAATTGGCAACTGTGTAGAATTTTGTAAGCCAGGAAAATGAATTTGTTTTCTTATATAGAAAGCAAGCTTATAAACTTATCATTGTGGCTTGATTGAAAAATTTGTTACTTACCAGTTCATAACATAATCTGCAAATTTTGTTTTGTGTGTATGGATTTTTCACCTGGAAAAAAAGTAGAAAAATTTACGGAGCTAAACATAAGAAGGCGAGCATTTTAGCGCGTCTCAATGACATACTACTGTTTTTTAATTAGAGCTTAATGTAATTTAATTTATAATTATTTTCTATTTCTTTTAAAGACAAAATTATAATGCGTCCTAATCATGGGACTTGGTCAAATTGATTTTCATTGATGTGGCAGCATAGATATAAATTTTGAAAAAAGGAAAAATAATTATAGATACCATCTGATATTTTATATCTAGTAGATTGTTTTTGACCCTGAAGTGAATTTTACCACAAAGACCTGTAGATATCAATATGGAAAACTTCCTACAAGCTTGACTTAATGATGGCTTTTAGTGTACATGTAGGTGATTTATTGTGGCTTAATGACCGTCAAAACGTAACCATTAAGCACTGAAAACTATCATCAAGTTACATAAACACCATTATTACATGTACGAGACATTACAATTTAGGCATCTCAAATTCCGAAACTGTGTTTAAAGTAGCTTAATTGTGGCTTAAAGATGGCTTACTGGAGCTTGACAGTGATTCTAGGCAAGTATCATAGTCACAATAAAGATACTGTTAAGTCAATTGCAAGTGTGTATTATGTCTAGAAGTGTACATCCATGCAAGTTTAATTCAGGTAGGCCTTCAAGTAACTTTGGAAGGGTCTGTCCAAAATCATTAATCTTGTCAATTTTCTGGAAAATGTAGGTCAAATACAGCATCTGAGGCAACTCTGGTAGTGTGCATCAATAAATATATTTTCAGTGTAGAGTTAGTTGGCCTAGGGCTTATAGTCACTTCAAAAAGAAACTGCGTGAAAATATTATCACATGGTCACTTATCAGGATAAACTAGGTCAAATTCAGCATCCGGAGCAAGTCCAGTAGTGTGTAGCCTAAAATGTATAATATTTGCAAGTTTGGTCAAGTTAGGGCAAATAGTTAATTAAAATGACCCTGCTCTAAAACCTTTAAACTATTCACTCGTTCTAAAAATATTTATAAGATCCAGCATCCGAAACAAGCCTTGTAATGTACATTCTTGATTGTTTAATCCATGCAAGTTTGGTCAATAAAGGGTTTAAAATTAATTGGAAATTAGATTTGCACCAATAACTTTATCCCAGTCACTCGTGTAGAAAATTTAGATCAGATCCAGAATCTGAAGCAAGTCTGGTAATGTGCATCCTTAGAGACACGTATCATCCTTGTAAGTTGGGTCCATATAGGTCTAATGCACATGTTGTTACTTGGAAATGAGACTTCCTGCAAAAACTGAAACCTGCTCTAACACATTAACCTGGTCATTCTTTAGATGAAATTGCAGTATCTGAAATCTTGACCGGTGTAATGTACAATGAAACATACAAAATCATCTATACATGTGTTATTTATAAAGGGCATATAAGTACTTGAAAATAAATCTTCTCCAAAAAACTTGGGACGCCGACACCAACGCTTAGGCTAATTCATTTTATTCAAAAATAATTTTAAAAAATGAATAATCTTTCTTGTAAGTTACCCATTTTCAAAAACCTGTGTTCAAACAGCTGTTTAAAAGTGCGTCAAAATTTAATCTGAGAAGATATGATTACCTTCAATAATTAAAAGTGAGCTAAAATCGTGCACTGAAAAAATATAAGTTGAAAATATAATTTACCAGCATATTAGGATCTTCCCGTATAATTACGATGTCACCAACCGTAACAACGGCTGCCCAGAAGAACTTAAATATAACCGGTACAAAGAGCCTCTTTATAGTTCAAAGGACAGATAATTTACTTTAAAAAAGCAATACCGTATACGTACTTCAATATAAGCGAATTTAATTTAATTGAAATTTTATTGCAAAGATAATAAAACAAACATTAGGGATTACATTGTCTTTCAAAATGTTTGAGCTATTTTAATCATAATAAACTAACAATTCCTTACCATTACAATTTGAGTTTCTGGGATTCCGTGACATTCTTCAGGAAATCTGTCTATTTTTGACTGTGGATCCGTGTAATTGTCAGGATTATATTCCTCTTTAGACCTTTTTGTTTTTACAGGCTCCGCTGCATTTGAAAATGTTGTCATTTCATTAAATTTATAATATTTATCAGTACTTTATTAAAAAAAAAAAATAATAGAGAATTTATTTTTTATCTTTCTATCTTTATGGAGTTACCAAAAAATAACTTTATAATACCATAATTCAAATAAAGGCAAACAACCTTAGTAAAGTATATATCAAACGAACTATCCTGGATTTAAGAAAGAAATCCTTTTAAAGAATCAGTACGTCACTTACGCTTTAAAACATGAACAGAGGCGCTACTCTTCACTTCTGCTAATGTTTCAACTGTGAGAGTATATTGTCCAGCATCTGATTCGGAGGTATTTTTAATTACAAGTTTTGGATGATCAATTACTGAATAATTTTCACGAGCTCTTCCCCCAGGATGAATTGCTTGACCATCCTTTTGCCACATGTATTTTATGACAGGCCAGCCATTTGTGATTACATCTGCACAAAGAAGAAGTGTGTTTCCTTCAAATTTGTACTCCAGTGACACTCTTACAGCATCTTTAAAAACAATGATAAAATCTGAACAAGTAAAACTTTGTTCTATAATAAACGGATCATGATAGTGAAATACATGTAACTAACAAAATATTTATCGACAAACATGCTCACTTGAGACATATTTATCCCACTCTTTAGAAAAAAAAATAGATAATAAAGAATACTTGTGCCTAAATTCTCAAAAATAGGCGTTTAAAATTTGATTGGGAATATTGCACCAACATCTAACAATCCATATTTTAAAATTTTTTTTTGAAATTTCACTACAGTGGACTTTCAGATATCGGGACGGCAGATATCCAGATGCTTCAGTATCCGGACATTTTTTCATGGGAACGGAAATTTTTGACGTCATTTTGTCTTGTTTAACTGGTAATTCAGATATCCGGACATTTCACATATCCGGAAAAATTAACTAAGAACTAAAGTGTCCGGAAAAATGAGGCTCCACTCTACTTTGAAATGATTGCATCCATATTTTCATATATATTTGAAATTTCACTACTTTGAAATGATTGCATATTTATTTAGCTGCTTTAGTGTTGCCTCGATCTCCTCGATCCCTAAAGATTGTTTTTCATTTTCTATCACTTACATTAAATTACTTTTTGTGCTGAGCAACCCTGCTCCTAAGGACAGCCAAATTTGATGCTTGCATAATATTTTATCTAATCACGCCGTAGCGTTGTAGTTGTTCGTTTAACGGAGTTTATCAAGTTTTCCCTTAAATATCCCCTTGAAAAAGTTTGTTCCCACTTTACCATGGCAATGATTTCAAGAATTTCAATCTACATTACTTCAGGATAAAACCATGTTAATATAAATAAATGCTCGTGTTTTTGATAAGAAATCTGTGTCACTTAGTACCCTGTTCTGTGGCCCAACGCAACCCGTTGTAGTTACGACTTCATCAAACTTGAATATATAACACTTGCGAATTAATATGATTATGTTACTAATCACGTAAATTCTCCTTTTAAGGGCGATTAATTTAAAATCATTATGTACAGCTTTCTTAGAACCTGTTATTCTTGGCATTGTATAGGAAAAAAACTCTAGTTATTTTTTTTAATGTTCATTATAATCTACGTTTTTAGAGGCTTGTCATTTTATTTGGTGAAATTTATGTCCACTTTACAGAGTGCTTTGATTAAAAGTATTACTGAAATTGTTCGATTGGAATAAGAAAAAAGTCAAAATAATTTTAGGAAATAGAAGAATACAAACAGACCAACGAACTATTTAATATTTTCAGAATAGGTTAGACTTTTTATATCTAATAAAGATAAGTTAATTTGTTAGTTATAGGCGCAGAAATAAAAGGTATGAAGTGTTCTTTATAATAAGTACCTTTTGGAACGGCGAAAATAATTGGTTGACTCCATATTGTCATTGGTTTACATTCTGCTGCGGCCTTGTATTCACCTTGGTCAACTTTGGTAATGTCGTGTACAATTAGCTTTGAAACAGCATCAGAGAGTTTCATCCAGTTATATTTTCTATATTGCTTGGAATCTATGTCTTTGTTATCTTTAGTCCAACGTACTTTTGCTCCTTTTAGTGACGCTGGTATATTTGCAATAAATGTCACGATCCTCTTTTCTTTGTCAATCGAGAAATTTACAAATATTTCCGGACGTTCTACTGCAAGTAAATTTTTTTTACTTTAAACAAGCAAAAATAATTTGTTGTTTAAATTATTTTTGTACAATTTGAATACTAAAAAAATATTTATCTTTGAAAAAAAAATCACATAGCATATTTACCTTCTAAAATGCTTAACTCAATTTCTTCACTTTCAACTTGGCCATCAATACTTTCCGCTAACAATCTGTATTTTCCCTCGTCAGATTTATCAAAATTTTGAATCGTTAGGACTGGATTATGCCTGTCTGATTTGTTTTCAACATACTTCATGATAATGTTCGAAATAATTAAATTATTTCTGTTCTTTTGCCATTGCAATCTTTTCACGGGCCACTTTGTTGATATTTTAGCCTGAAGAATAACAGACTTTTCTTCTTGGTTCGGAATTTTTTTAATTGTAATCTTTGTTTTTTCTGCCAATAGAATGGGCGAATTTTATAATTCAGAACATTGTTGTGTAAAAATGCCAATTTATAATATGGATAATATTATTATCTATACCAATTACAGACCCAGGAACTCTCAAAATTGTTGGAAGTTCAATTGACAAATATTTTTAATTTTTTTCACATTGCATAAGCATATAAAGTACAAATGTACTTTATTTGCCTTGTACCATAAAACAAAAACTACATGTAACAAGATTCAAACAGGAATGATTTATCTTTTTTTGAAAAAATACATGTTATAACAATACTTTTTTGTTAATTAAAACCAAAACTTTGCATGATCATTATACTGACATTTTAAGCTAGAGTATTTCACATGCATATGTATGCAAAGTGCATTTACAGTAATCAATCCTTTCTTCAAGTGCACATGGCTCAATTTTAGTTAAAGATTTTTTTGTCTAGTTTTGAATGAGACAATTATAGATTTCCATATTTTTATAGATAAGGTTTGTATTCCTAATGAATGTGAATAGCAAGTGCATCAGTTGAAAAAGCTAGAAGATAATTTTGAAAAATTTTGCTTTGCAAAATAAAAAAAAATAACTCAAAAAAACCTTTAAAATGCCTTTTATGTATATTCACAAAATCTTCCTACAATTTATTTTTCAACAAAACGATCCGGGAAATGCTTCATTAAATTGTTTTATTAATACGAGGAATTATTCTGCTAAATAAAGATTATTTGCATGCACAGTGTATTGTTCCCGGAGAAAAATTAACATTCACTAAAATGATAAACATGTTTTTATTTGAAAGACGACTTGTTGTTTTTTTTTATTGTGACAAATATTTGGCAGATCAAATGTTGATCATAGAAAAAAAGATATATCTAAAAACTATAGCTGTCGTAACGCCACGAATGCCCCGCAGTCATCCAAAATTTCAAATGCAATGCACAAAATATGTATTTATGCATTATATAATAAATAGAAACATTACTGCAAATTGTAAATTGTACATTCGTAGCCTAGATAATGATTGCAAATCGTGAATTTTAAAACCCTTTACAAGTTAAAGGGGGATAACTGTCAAAATCATCGGACCAGGACCAAATATAAACACCCCTAGAAAAGTAAGAGAGCGGAAACTGAACTTTTCTTATTATACCCTCCGCTTGAAAAGTGGGAGAAATATACGAGTGTTGTCCGTAAAATTCGTGGACAAGCTAAAATTTGATATTAGTTGCGTCATTGATATTTATTATAAGTATATAGGGATATTCGTAGTAATCAGTATGTCCGTCCGTCTAGCTGTCCGTCCGTCTCTCTGTTACGCTTTGGAGTACCCGACTCTTATCCGCAACTCCCCTTTTACCACTGAGTGAAATTAAATGAAACTTTCAAAGAATCTTTATTACATATTGGCATTGTGCACCTCCTATTGTACTAGGAAGAATAGGTAAGAATATATGGCATTGTCCATGTTTTGCTATGGGAAACCTAAAATACATGTCGGGTCAAAAAGTAAAATAGGAGGTATACAACGGCAATATGTAATAAAGATTCTGTGAAAGTTTCATTACATTTCACTGTAAGAGGAGTTGCAGATAAGAGATGGGTACCTCAAAGCGTAACAGACAGACGGACGGGCGGGATATAATAACAAATGTATAAAGAATATAGAAATGTTGATTGTACTCATACCATTAGGCAAGGGAAAGTGTACTTCATTGCTTTTCCCGACACCGTCTTTGTTTTCCACCTTCACGAAATAAGATCCAGCATCTTCTTTTTGTAAATTTTGTATCACAAGAGTTGGATGAAGTGTCCTTGATTCATTTTCGATGAATTTTTGTGGTGATTCTGACATCTCTATTTGTTGATTACCGTGGATCCAGGTGACAGATGTAATAGCTGATGATGATGTCACATCTGCCGACAACGTTAAAGACCCAGTGGACTCGGAAATTGAGATCCTAAGTTCTATTTTTGGGAGTTCTAAAATTTTAAACAATTGATAGAAAAATGGGTTCAAATCTCTCTCTCTCTCTCTCTCTATCTAATCTATCTATCATATCCAAGTTATTTTCTGTCTCTTATCTGCAAAAATTAACTGTTTTATTATATTGACTTCTTCAAAAGCACCTAAAGTCTTACTCTGAGGTTAATCGAAATATTTTGCTAATGTTAGTCAGTTGTTAAAAATAGTTTAAATCTAAGAAGAAACTAGTCGAGGAATAAAATGTTAATGTTTGGAAGAAAATCAAATTATACAAACCTCTGCTGTATTCACTATCGTTCATTGAATCCTGTAGAAATATACAAATTTTACTGATTGAATTCTTGAGCAAAATTACAACAAGGACAAAAATTATTATTATTTTTCTTTATTGTTCCAACTATCTGATTGGTTCAAACTGGATCACATGATCAAGTATAGAAAGTGTTACAGACTGGATATTTCTATTTTTGAAATTTATAAACCTGCTGTTTCTAAATTTGAAAACGTTCTTCTGTGAAGCAACAATAGTGCTGACGTCACAATAGTCTTTATAGACTGTATGTTTCTAAAAACAGATACTGCAGCTGGTTTTCATTACTGTGACGTCATAATGCAATGACATAACAATGCCTTGTACATGTATGAGAAGGCACTGCGTATTATAAAGAAGGGTTTTAATATTTCTTATTAACTGATAAAAATAATAAAACAATTGTAGCCTTTTGATTCGGTACAATCCCTCGACATATAGACCTTAGAGAAAGCATATCGACCTCGCACTTCGTGCTCGGTCGATATGCTTTCTATAAGGTCTATATATCGAGGGATTGACCTCATCAAAGGGCTATAATTGTATAATAACGATCAATAATAATCTTTCATTAAAAGTTATTTGCTTAATTTATCCGCAAAATAAAGGATGTCACAAAACCTTTAAATTAACATGTACGAGAAAAAAATCCAAAACTCACCATTTGGCTTTCTTTTTGAACGAAAATCTGAAAGACTGAGATTGGTACAACGTTTCTGCAAGTGTCATATTCTCCTTTGCACATGTTGTATTTGTACTTCTTTTCACTCACAATTTCCTTTACACATTCATGACATAAACCATGTGAACAAGCCACTCTGGTGACGTTAGCCTGAAAAGATGTGTTTCAAAAGATATTTTGATTCTTTTCTTGCATATTTTTTTTCACTTATACATGAATTAAAAGTTAGAAATCTATTATCTGGAGATTAATAAATTATTTTATCCACATTCAAAAATCGATACAAAACATAAAAAAATTGAATGCTTACATATTGCTTGCAACAGTTTGTACACATCTCTGATATGAGTGCTCTTCGCAGAAATATTTCAATCTAGTATGTAGAAAAAAAATGAAGTTTTCGCTGCAGATGACATGCCAATATGTCAGCGTTTTTGTTAATGTTATCAAATAGAGTATTTGTCTTTCCAGTAAGTCCTCAACAAAGATATATAAAAGAGGGAGCACCGACTCCTTTTATAATAATGTTTCTGCTTTCGCAGCACCCCCAGTACATACGTATTGACCTCCTTTTATAATAGATGTACTGACATCAATGTATATTTAAAGTCACTTTGTTTTTTCCTCTATAAAGTTATAAATTAAGTGAATCCAAAAATATTTATCAAGCAATAGCAAGATAGACATGTACATGTATATGATTATGCTAGCTAGTTCATTGGTACAACACCGATATGCCTTTATGTGATGAATCAACACTGAACTTTTATCTTTGATTACATGTGTACTGTAAGAGTATCATCTTTCCAGCAATTTTTTTTCTATTAAAAGTGGGTTATAGTCGCTATCCTTTCATGATCTTAAAATGGTAATAAAATGTTTGATTATTTAAATGAGCCGTCTGTTTGTATCAATTTGGCAATACATGCCATAACTTTCAAAATTAGATAATTAAGATATATAATTTTTTTTACACATTAATATTACCTTGTAAGATTTTCCAGTCAAAGTTTCCAGAAATGCAGTCAACGCTAACAATGGAGTTGATGAATCGCAATTAGGGACGATGCAGCTAACCTGTATTCCGGAGTCGCCACGATGCAGATAAGGTTTAAATACTGTGTTTGACTTATTTCCTGTCAAACATTCCAAACAAAAAGCATGATGCCGCCTACATGCTCTATTTCGAACTTTGGGCTGAAAAAAATTCATATATTTTCTTTATATTTAAGTCCAAAAAAATAATAATTAAAAAATAGAACAGAATAAGTAATGTAATTTATATGTTCCAAAAGGTCGTAGAAAGGCTCAACAATTTAGCATTTCTTTGCTTGCTTATTTCTTTTCAGAATAAAAGACAATTTTCATTGTATATGAGATTCTAGTTTCATAAATATAACACTTTAAATAAGGTTATAATGGTGTCTTCTAACTATTCCCACTTTTTAAAAATCTCAATTCCACCTATTCCCACTTGCCTATAACAATAGATGTTTTATGTTTAGATAGTTTACCGATAATTACACTAATTACATCCCCTCTTAGGTTTACCTGTATTTTGTACATTTTAAGACAGAAATTTATAGATTTTGTCAGAAATATTATTTATTTCCTTCAAAAATTGGAATCTAAGGGAGTAACAAAAAAGGTCGTACAAGAAAATGCACTTTTAAAAATTAATAGCTACATTTTAGAACAAATAATAAAGAGATTTATCGAGGTAAAGCTTTTAAATAAGTAGACTCTAGAATGAATAGATTAATAGGGAAAATATTATTTAATTTCCTAAAGAAATCTTTTTTATTTTTTCAAATTTTGCTAAAAATTCTGATTTATTATTTTAAAAAGCAAATACTCGTACCTGTCTTAACCTCTATGGGTATGCTTTAATCATTGTTTATAGAGTTATGGTATGTTTTCATAGTTAATTATTTGTTGATACAAATATTCCACCTACTCCCACATGAAATCATACATTTTTCTACCTGATTTTCAAAAAGTGGGAATAGGTAGAATGAACCGGTTATAATATCAACAAATAATGTGTTGTACTGTACGTCGACGTACAAACAAAGAAAAAAATAAACATGTCTATATATCACAGACACTTAGGTATACCTCTCCACCTTTCATTTTTTTTCTTTTTTAAATCTGGGGTCGACTCATCTTTTTCGTATTTTTATATTTTTATATACACTACCTGATATTGATAATCTAACCCGTTTGTCTCAATAAGCCGTTTTTTAAATATATCGTTTTCTATCTATCTTCAAAAAATTGAAGGGGAGAGGAGGGATCAGCCCCCAAGTGCCTCTGTTTTATATTGTCATGATCATTCTCTTTCGCGTCTAGTGTAATCCCTCCATCACGGTCCGTGTAACGCTTAACAATTCAAATTTCTAAATTGACTTAGAGTTTTAGAATGTTAATATATATATAGTTCAAATTTCTAGATTTCAAAAACTCAAACTGATTTAGTATATTGAAATTTGATATTTTAGTTCAAAAATCTAAATTTTTAAATTTCCAAACAGGTTTTAGAATTTCAATATTTTAGATTTTTACCTTAAATGTTCAAAATTCAAATTTCCAAAAATAATTCTTGCAATTCAAATGTTTGAGTTTTTAGTCTACCGTTTGTTTAGAAAGTTTACACTTAACAATCTAAAGTTCGGTAATATTTTTCGTCTTTTGGTTATTTGAAATTAGCTTCAAATTTATAAAATCCAACTGAAATGTTTTAGATTTTGAGAAATTTAAAATTGTGATTCTAATGTTCTAATTTCAAATAACCTAAACACTGAGTTTTTAGAATTTTACTTTAGATATCCATTTTGAAGTTCAAACCGGGTATGGAATTTGATATTTTGGATATTTGAAGTAACTTCTAAAAACTAAAAATGTACAGAAGTGTTTTGGTTTTTTTAAAAGTTGAGTGTTTAGATAAAAATCCTAAATTTCTAACAATCTAAAATGTTTGAAAGTTGGAAGTTTGAAGTAAATTTTAAATAATCAAAAGACGAAAATGTTTTTGAATTTTAGATTGTTAAGCGTAATTATTCTAAACAAACGGTAGATTAAAAACTCAAATGTTTGAAATACAAAAGGGGGATTTTCGATAAGGCCGTTTCTCGGCCCACTTATTTTCATAAAAATAAATTTCAATTTATTTTTTCAAAATTTGTTTAGAATTTAAGATGAGTATCTTAATTTTTGTTATTAATATTTCAAAAGTTAATATGAGATAAATTCACACCGTAGCCGACACAAACTTAGATGTACCCGCAAATGCGTTAACATTAGGCCTATGGGAAAATATAAGAGGGTGGCATTTATAAATCGATTTTTAGAATATGAAGTGCATGAGGGACACTCACCTAGTTTTGCCCAGTTATTAGATATACCCTGCACACTAATAGTTTACAATATGATGAGTGTCGCGTGTGCACTTCATATCCAAAAATTAAAAATTGTTTGAAATTTGCATACCTAAAATTAGAACCATCTGGTTACTTGATCATACACCAGGTTACAATACTTAGCCAAAAGTGGCACATTTTTAAAAGCAAAGTTAATTCTTGAAAATATTAACAATAGAATACATTTTCGGATACTTTCTTTATTTCCATACTTATTTCGTCGCTAGCATATAACGTTAACGTCATATTTTTAGTTCAACTACACGGAACAGGGGAAGTTTTCTTAATACCGTCGGCATTGGCGTTCCCAGTTAAAAATTTTTCAAGCAGATATTTTTTTTATATCATCTAGTCCCTTGAACAGTAATTCCTTGTCATCTGTCGGGTTTCAGATGCTGGGTTTTAAGCTAATATGTGTCGAGGTCAATCTTTTTAAAGTAAGTTAAAGTTTTTTTAGCAATGCCACTATAAGTACTTGATGACCAGACATGCTTCATGATGCATCTTCGGATGTACAGTACTAGACTTGGTTCGGATGCTGGGTCTGACTTACATTTCATTGATGAATGCTCAGAGTTAAAGTTGACTTAACATGCACCGATGATACATTCAGGGTTGCACATTACCAGAAATGGTCCAGATGCCAGATCTTACTTCTATTTTCTGACTGATTTAACGAAAGAAGTGAAAACGAGTCCATTCCTTAACGTTCTGAATCAAACATATATCAGAAAAAATATCATATTAGCCTTTTTTTCGAATAGAAACCCTTGCTCCAATCTGCTAGAGAAGGTTCGTTATGTTTTTCCGTGTGGTTGATATTTAAGTAGGGAACGTAATTTTTTTAAAGACTAAGTATTGATTTAAATGTTTCTGCAGAATTTGGGATTTAATTTGGCATTTATAAATGTATTTTGAACTGCTATCTGGACAAGCACTTACTAAATGTAACTAAAATTGGTGAAGCAAAAACCTAGATTCAGTTGCTGAGAACATAATGTGCATCTTTAAGTTGTTTTTAAAAATACTTCTAACTTTCTGAATAAATGGAGACTCTCAATCTATTTAAGTTTTTTTTATCATCTGGCTATTTATTCGAGTTAGTATTGCATTACCAATTATAGTTTTCTACCTGCAAGTATAACCTGGTTTTTGTAATCAAAAAACATGTAAATTCCAATTTAATAATTCCGCAAAAAGAAAAATCATTGAAGCGAAACAAAATACAAATATGATCTATTACTGATCGAGGTTAACTCATTAACTCATTAACTTAGCACAATATTTACAAGCATTTTGGGAAAAAAATTGACAACCCCCCCCCCCCCCCAAGGTAAAAAAAATCATATTAATACTAAAAACAAGTTTATCAAAGTTTGCAAGCAAGCGATTGTAGAGAAAAGTGCGGAAAACCAAATGGGACAGACTGACAGACAGAGGGACGGACAGCTAAACAGACGATACGGAAACTATACCTGTAGTCCCTCTGGTTTTACCGGTAGGGGACTAATAATTGCTATCTTGATAAAATATATTGATTTTTTAAAATATTATTTATACATTAAAATACAATGAGCATTGCAATTGCGATTCTTTTGAATATACTTTTAAAATAATATAAATGTGTACTTGCATTTCTTTAATCGTACGGAAATCCTTTTGTTTTTCAAAGCATGATTAAAAATTAAATTCAATAATATTACTGTATAATTTCACAATAAAATTTGCGCTATAACTTTAGTTGACGAAAATTTATTGCAAACAGTTCTAAACAACTGTAAATTACACTCAAAGTTGATCTATCTCATGTCTATTTTTTTTTTTACATTTTCTTCCCTACGTACGGGAAAACTGTTATAAATTGATTATTATATTCAAATATAAACTGTCAGTAAATTCCTCTTGTAAATGTTTCTGTCTATACTGTATATATATGTTTTATAAGTTAAATTCTCCCTCTTTTAAAGAAAAGTTACAATTAAAAGTCGAGAAAAATCTTGCAATTTAAAAAACATTCACATAAAATAAATTTTATTAATTTTCTGTAAAATTAATATAGAAATTGGTTATTTGATGTCTTTATTCACATTTATCACATTTCATTTATGATTTGACGTTGAAAAAACTTCAGTATCCCGTTTTAAATATGCCTACTCCTAAAATGAAGGGAAGGGGGTGTACTTAAACTTTAATTTATCACGTGACCAGAAAATGTGCAGTATAAATTATTTTCATATTTTTAGGAAGATAAGACATTTATCTACAACATATCACAATTTCATAACATTTCTCGAGGGGCCGCAAAACGGCCTTAACGAAACTCCCCCTTTGTTTTTGGAAATTTGAATTCTGAATATTTAAGGTTAAAATATAAAAACTCAAAATGTTAAAACCTGTTTGGAAATTTGAAAGTTTAGTTTTTTCAACTAAAATATTAAATTTCTAATATAAGTAATCAGTTTGAGTTTTTGAAAATTAGAAACTTGAACTATTATATTAACATTCTAAAACTCTAAATAATTTTAAACATTTGAATTGTTAAGTGTTACACGGACCCATCACTGTCTTTTCATTTTCTTTATCATTTAAAATTAAAGTTTTGCAAGGTCTCTTTAAAAGACGAAGAACACAAAATGTTCTAACTCGACTCTGATCATGATCTTACATCTGCCTTAACAAGCATTACTTTGATTCTTCTTTGGACTTCCTACTTCCGATATCATAACGTTATCATTTTGATTTTGTCTTTTTTAATTACCTCAAATATGCTTGTCTCAGTTAACGTGGCAACTGTTTGTCTTGACAAGTTTGTGTTTTATGTACTTTCTATAATTGTAAAAAAAAATTATTCCAAAGTAATGATTATAAACAATTTCTATACCTAGTTAAACTTTAGTATGTTATGTCCTTTGTTTATCATTAGGGTAAAATAATCTCAATCAATACAATATATTATTATATTCGTGTGGGTTGGCGGCGCGTTTGGATAACATTGATCAAAAGTACTCCTTGAAAATTAATTGCGTCACTGCCCCTTTATCTTCGAATGAAAGTTTTAGACACAAAAACAGAATGTTTAAAATTACGACCTCGACCTTTGACCCTTTGACTTCAGAATCAAGCGAGATCTACCTTAGGACAAAGGGAGTTGTTGTATAAAGTTTCATTGCAAAAGCTCAAAAGATTCCCGAGATATCGCGCCAAAACGAAAGTGTTAAAACAGACAGAAATTTTGAAATTCTGACCATGACCTTTGACATTTGACCACAAAATCAATAAGGATTTTCCTCAGGCCATAGGTAGTTTATGGGTGAATTTCACTGCATCAAAAAGCTCAAATAAACTCAAAGGCTTCTCGAGATATCGCTTGGAAACGAAAGTGTAACAGACAGACAGAACTACAGCTAGACGAACGGATGGACAGACAGACCGAAATTAATATCACTCACATTCAGCGGGGACAAAATGTGAGTTTACAGACGGATGGACGGACAAACGGACGAAAGACAACGGTGATCAGGAAACCACACTTGAGCTAAAATTAACAGACTTTTTACTTGCAACATTTTTTTACAGCAGAAGGAATGGCATTTTATAATTAATCAGGATGGTATACCAACATGAAAATGTACAGTCATATTAATCATAAATCAATGCATCGAGAATTTCTTTTAAAGGAAAAAGGGCAAAATTTGCCCACATCTTAGCATCTTTCGCTGTACATGTACCCTTATGCTTGTATGCCTCTTTTGAGTCACATATGTTTGATAAGGTAAGTAAATCCAACGCTGAAGTAAATTGTTGTCAAGGGTCCAGTTAAAGTATATTGCTATGTTGTCAGTAGGCAATTTCTGTTCCTTATTTGGATACCACCCTTAACCTTTATGGAGGGGTTCATTTTTATTAAAATTGTCATTTTGATAGGTGACGAAGAGACCCGAAATTCAGGAGGCATTTCAATATTTTATACCAACATAATGCGTAGAAATATATTACTTTTTAAGGAAAAAAAAATTAATTGCAGAATCCTAAAAAGAAAACTTACCTCAGCGTCACTTTTATTTTCACATTTGTACCACTCTTCAGTTGAAATTTCGAGAAAAAACGCTGCCTGAATTAGAAAAATCGCGATGAATGCAGGTAAATTCACAGGGGTCAGTAACATGCTAAATTTGAATTTACGTATTGACTATATATATACATTTGTATATATTATATATATATAGTCAATACGTAAATTCAAATTTAGCATGTTACTGGCCCATGTGGGTAAATTATAATGCTTCATATAGAGTAATTAATGAAAACAAGAAATCCTTTTAATCATTGGATCATAAAGTCAGCTTTATAAATTAATTAATTTAATATTTTTTTTGAGTATTCATATGCATCTAATAATAATACACAATAATTCTCAATTAAGTATGACCTGTTGAAGATATTAATATTTTTATGAGTAATCATATACATCTATTTTCACAATAATTCTCAATTAAGTATGACCTGCTGAAGACATTGTATCCTTTTATATATCATATATAATAGTCCTTTTACTGAAATCTAAGTTGAGATTATCTATTCCTTTTTTTGCACTAAATGTACATGCCCTGTAAGTCTGACTTTCGATAAAGAATATCGACATGAAAGAACCAGCACGCTACATGCAACTCTTCAGTGATTCCCGCCTATATTTTACACACATAATTCAATATAAATGACCATTGAATGGTGTTTGAAGCGTACATTATCAAGAGACAAATAATTTTCAAACCATTTCAAAAACATTTATGCTCTTATTTACAATATCTTCATAAAGAAGGTTGAAAGAGCAATCTTATGCATAAAATGGCCCTGTACTTATATCAATTAATTAACTATCACCCTCTTTCCATTTTCATATATCAAAATAAAATAAACACTTGGGGCTTTCATGTTCTACAATGAAATTTCGTTTTAAGAATCCAAATATTTGAAAACAGGCTTTGAGAAGTTGCAACGTTCTTGAAATTTGCAGAAAAAAATGCGAATTTGACTACCTTCAGCAAAAAACTAAAATAGGAGCACAGCCCACGATCCAAAAATAAAACATATTTTTGATCTTCAGAAATAGGAGTTTCATTATGTATTGGCATATTTTGGATCAGAGGTCGTGCTCTATATGAAATATTAAAAAAACGCTTCAACTTTAGGTCATTTTCAAAGGAATTTACAGGATATGAGGAAAATGACGCATTTTATGACGTTATAATGCATTGACTAGATGTGAAATTACGTCACAATTAATAGATACGTGGCCACCAACAGTCCAAGTGATAAATACCTCATTTGCAAACTAAACTCAGTGGTTTTTAATTTTCAGAAATTCCCAGGGCCAAATAAGGCCCATAGTGGCTCTACCTCTTTTTTTCCACCATTGTCAGATTTTCAAATACGCATGTCCCCCAGTGCAACAACAAAAGCTTTTGTATGAATTTGTAAAATAACAAAATAACATAAAACCCATAATAATGAATTATTTTTGTTTCACGGGGATGGGGGTGTTGGAGTGATATGTTTTAAATTTCCGTTGATTTTTTAGTGAAAAATGTAATATTTACACAAATTATAGAGTTATCTCTCTTTGTTTTTTTTTTTCCAAATAAGTTATGTTTAATGAAAATTCACGTAAATGTCCATATAGTTATGAAAAACCATTAAAATATATTATATTTTGAAATTTCACTTGGAGATAGGCGGCAGAACAATGCTATCGTTCGCAGTTCAAACTTGAAAAAAGGGATTTACTAAAATTTCACGGGAACATGGAGATTGGTGGGTGGGTGGGGTGGGGGTTAATCTTCCTAATAAGTAAATTTATGTGTTCATTTTGGTGCATCTGGACTCATTGTGTAAGATGGTAAAAATATGCCATCTTTATTTCTGGAGAATGAACAATACTTTCTTTAAAATAAACCCCCCATATTTGCCTCTTTTTTTTTGAGTGAAAAATACCGTTAAAGCTGTAGTTGACAAAAGCGATAAATACTGTTCCAACACTTTTTCGCTTATTTTCGTTGGACAAAGTGTCTCCTGACACCGGAATACTCTTTCACCACGTCCACTAAGACTTGGTTCAATTCGTTTCATCAATTTTGCATGAATGCAGGAGTAACAGTATCCATGTCTACAGGATTTCAGTACAAGGACAGCCTAGAGAATAAAAAGACGTTCAATTCTACAGAGATGTAACTAAAAAGTAAATGATTCAAGTAAAATACAAAATGCAATTAAATAATGACTGATCATTAAATATATGTAAATGAAAAATATGACGATGTAAGATTTACTTTAAACATTGGAGTTGAATATTACGAAAGCCTATTAGGATCAATCTACAGAAAAAAAAACATTTCAAAGGCGTTATAGCGCGAAATAAAAGCGTTAGAATGCCTTTTGAATTGGCGTAATGTTAACTACACCTTTCTATTCTTAAAAGCCTTATTACGCATTTCCAAAAGGCATTATTACGCCTTTTATTTTCAATACATGACTAATCAAATTAAGCCCAACCCAGAAAGGGGGTGGGGGTTGGGGGTTGGGGGCAGAATTCTCACGTACGAGATATAAACTTCCCAATTAGATGTATGGCTTACATGTATTTCTCAAAAAATAATTTTAACAGATAGAAATTAGATTTCCAGGGAAAAAAAAATTAAATGCGTCATATATTTTTAATGTTGAACCAACTAAGTCCTTCTCTAATACCAGACACAACACTACAAGGGTTAATAATTTAAATTGTTCATTATACCCATGCCAAACGTGGATCCAGGGCTGGTGCGCCCCCCTCCCTTAAATTTTTGTAATTAAAATTTATATGTCCATTATCCTAAAATCAAGGAAAAAGCATCTCTTATTTATAAAAACTTGTCAGCCCCCGGAATCCCAAGATGACATTACCTTAGACCCTCTTGCGCTTCAGTATAGCCGAGAGATCCCCCCCCCCCCCCGCCTTCTACTGCACCCTCCCGCTAAGAAATACCTGGATCCGCCACTGCCTGCAAATAGTTTGCCTGTTTTTTTTTTCCAAAATGTGAGGAAAATATTTTCAAATGACATAAATTTTAATACATGGCAAGCAAGGCCCCAAGATGCATCTGCCTATTTCCTATATTTTCACAAGTAGAGTGTTGCAAACAGTTGTCAGCGAGATGTGCAGGAATATAGAGAATTGCATAAATAATTAAGATGAATTTGATTCTATCTTTCATATATTTATTAATTTATGGACTCAATGTAGGTAAATATGTATTTATAATGACCCAGGATGGCAGATATTGACCAAAGATACATGGATTATATCAACCGAGTGCGCTAGCAAGAGGTCGATATTCTACATGTATCTGAGGTCAATATATGTCATCCTGGGTTAGTAAAAATGTATTTTGACCATGCATTGAGTACATATTTATTTTATTATTAGGTCACCTGAGTAAACTCAGGTGACCTATTGCTATCCGTTTTCGTCCGTCGTCGTGCGTCGTGCGTTGTGCGTTAACATTTGAACATTTTCAGCTTCTTCTCTGCAACCACTGAACCAATTTCAACCAAACTTGGCACAAAGCATCTATGGGTAAAAGGAAACAGAATTTTTGAATTTCATTATCCCTGATCTCCTGGGGCCTGAGGGGTGGGGCCAAAACCACTAAAATTAATGAAATCTTAAAAAATCTTCTTCTTTACTCCTGGACATCAAGCAGTCAAACTGTTTGCGTGATTGTAATCAGCATCGAGTCCTCTACCAAAATTGTGAAATTCATGGCCCTGGGGTCAGGGGTTCTAGTGCTAGGGCGGGGCTAAATAAGTATATAGTGAATATGCATTATTTCTTTGAAAATCTTCTTCTCTGCTCCTGGGCATTAAATAAACCAACTAAGTACATAGTTATGATGAGCAAGAGTGCCTCTACCAAAATTGTGAATTTTATGGCCCCAGGGTAGGAGTTCTTGTGTTAGGGCGGGGTTCTATTGATTATATAGTGAAACTACATGAATTCTTTGAAAATCTTCTTCTCTGCTCCTGGGTATTAAATAAACTAACTAAGTGCATAGTTATGTGTGCCTTTACCAAAATTGTGAATTTTTTAGCCCCAGGGTCAGGGATTCTGGTGTTAGGGCGGGGCTCTATTGATTATATAGTGAAACTACATGAATTCTTTGAAAATCTTCTTCTCTGCTTCTGGGTATTAAATAAACTAACTAAGTGCATAGTTATGATAAGCAAGAGTGCCTCTACCAAAATTGTGAATTTTATGGCTCCAGGGTCAGGGGTTCTTGTGTTAGGGTGGAGCTCTATTGATTATGTATAGTGAAAATACATTAAATCTTTAAAAATCTTCTTCTCTGCTCCTTTCGTATTAAATAAACTAACTAAGTACATAGTTATGATGAAAAAAAGTGCCTCTACCAAATTTGTGAATTTTATGGCCCCAGGGTCAGGGGTTCTGGTGTTAGGGCGGGGCTCTATTTATTATATAGTGAAAATACATGAATTCTTTGAAAATCTTCTTCTCAACTCCTAGGTATTAAATAAACTTACTAAGTGCATAGTTATGATGAGCAAGAGTGCCTCTACCAAAATCAGGAATTTTATGGCCCCAGGGTCAGGAGTTCTGGTGTTAGGGCGGGGCTCTTTTGATTATATAGTGAAAATACATTAAATCTTTAAAAAATTTCTTCTTTGCTCCTGGGTATTAAGCAGATGAACTACCTATATAGTTATGTTGAGCAAGAATGCCTCTTTAAAAATTATAAATTTTATGGCCCCAGGGTCAGGGATTCTGGTGTTAGGGAGGGGCTCTATTGATTATATAGTGCAAATACATGAAATCTTTGATAATTTTCTTCTTTGCTTCTGGGTATTAAGCAGATGAACTACCTATATAGTTATGATAATCTTCCAGAATTGTGAATTTCAAGGCCCCAGGGTCAGGGGTTCCATAGAGGGGGGGGGGGTGTATGTATATACTGAAAATATGATATATAATGAATTGTTTGAAACCTGCTCCTTGGTATTAATCAAATATTTTTGAAAAGCAAGAATGCCTGTACAAAAATTGTGCAATGTGTGGGTCAGGGGTTCATGTGTGGTAGGGACACTACTGATTATTGCTGAATATTACTGATTAGTTGAAATGCATTTTTTGTTCCCCTACCCTGGCTATGGGCATTAAGTAACCAAACTAAGCAACTGTTAATTGTATAGTTATGATGACCAATGGACCGCCAGCTCTTTCAAAATTGTGAATGCCATAGCATCTGGCTTAAAATATGAATCAAATTCAATGACTGGAAAGTTGTTGCATAATGCTCAGGTGACCTATAAGGCCCATGGGCCTCTTGTATAATTTCCCAAATTAATTTGTACAATGTAAATCTTTGTACAGAGATAGTGATGTGCTGCTGTTGAAAACCATAGATAAGTTGAATGGCATTGTTTCAGAATTTATTTCACAGTAAGATCGCGAAAACTGAAGCCGAAGGCCAACTTAGGTTTATGCCACTGTCGGGGGTCTACAGTACCACTGTTTCAAGGTTGCAATACAAATATTTTGTGTTAAAATATTAACTTTCTGTGTAATTTTCTAAAATAATGATGTAGACAAAATGAATAAAAATATTTTAACTGCATTTCCAGTATCAAAAAAAGACAACCAGTTACAATTTGGGAGTTTCTAACCATATTTTTGCACAAACTACATGTATACAAATTGTTCTCTCAAAACGATAATGTTTATCAATTTTTCTCGAAATCCTCTTTGAAATAGCATAAATTTGGGATTCGGAATTGTGTCTAATTACGAACTGTTCAATAAATAATGACTGAACTGTATGACATACAATACAGATATCATATAAGATTAAACTTGACCTCCTCTCATAATGGAATCTTTACTGAATTTATAATAGTTTATATGACCACTTTTCATCACAGAGTTTCATTGTGACAAGCTGGGAAACAAGGGCTATTCAAGACACTGCATTATAAATGAATGGTAAATAATCGGTAAACTAGAGTGAAAATATAAGCTTCATCAAAGCTGCTGTAAAACTTGTTAAAAATCCCAAAGAAATATTCACTGGAATTTGTGACTTTTACAGCAACCAATGCCTGTTTTATAGACAAATGAGCAGGTGGATTCCAATGATAAAAATTATATAATGAGCATCAAAAATGGGTACCGTCCTTGCCAACAAAAAATTAACAATTAACAACTTACATGCTGTTTGCCAAATTTAAAAAAATAATACTTGATGGTGTAGAATGGACTTTAAAACACATAGAAAATTTTATAGACATCATATCAGGGGTAGTTTACACTTTCTTGAAGAAATGTTTGACTGTAAAAAAGCTTAGTACTCAAAGGTCACCCTATATTTTGAAAAATGAGTGAAAACGACAGCGTGTACAAATGTCTTACCTTTTTTTTTTTTAATTATCAGTAATTGGAGTTACCCAAGTTTTTTTTTATATTTTCAAACAGATAATGGAACTTAAATCTATTGCTTAAAATCCTCGAAACAATTAAATGTACCATAAGATGTACTTGACAAATATAGCGAAGGTTTGGCGAGAGCAAAGAATTACAAAAGCACAAAGACAGAATGCAGTTTTCTTAAATATTAGTGGTATTGTTGTTCAAATTCGTTTAATTTCTGGAGGAGTCCAGAAAGCAAATTGTTTGCAAAATGGATCCAGAATCAGGAATTTCTTCATGACAACGTCCAAACACGCAAGCCCTGAAGAGTAAAGGGGTTTTCGGCATAAACAGAAAGTTAATGTTCTTTCACATGTACAATATTTGCCAGATCTTTGACCTTTTGACTTGTTTCTATTTCCAAACTTGAAAAAACACCTTAAAGAAGGAAAAACAAGTCCATGAAATCATTGGATCTACCATTTTCCAGCTTACTAAGGGTCATACCCAAAACTGAGTTCTAAAAACAATCAGAAATTGGATAAAAATAATACGGGCATGTGTTTTGATTAAAAGAGATTAATATTAAGACGTTGCGCACGGTGTTGGTACACATTGACGTTACGTCAAAATAACGTTAAAAAGTCATAACGTTGTTGAAACGTTTTGAACCTTATACATGCATACTTTATTTTTCAAAAGTATAAAAAAAAATAATAATAAAAGGGCACATAATGTTCAATGTTTGAACCTTCTTTTTTGAAACATTTTGATGTTTTTTAATAAATCTTAATAATAAAATTTAATTACTGAAATGCCAAAGGCACTCAGTGAATATGAAATGCCAAAGGCACTCAGTGAATATTCTTCTTTCTATTTTTTTCACTTGTGTGTCTTATAAGGAGATTCCCTTTCAACCTCAATATTTTTTCAGTTTAGTCATTACAAGTCTTTTATTTCTAAATAGTTGCGCTTTGGGTGTATAGAGAAAAAAATGAGAGTTAACATTTTTATACTTCCTACGTTTCAATGGAACTGGTGTCATTTTGAGTAAAAAAAAAGGTATCAAATTAATATATTGAGGGGATGAAAAAAAGGAGAGATGGAGACATTTCACCATAACTGAAAATCTGGTTGATCACGAAAATTCTAAAATCTTTTTTCTTTTTTGGTGATAAAGGGGGGTGGGGCTCTTATAATGCATACTTCGTTTAGTAGGGCATTTTTTGTGGAACGATATCATTTTGGGGTTTTCATAATTTTTTTCCTTTGGTACGTGTACACATGATGATGAAGTGTAATAAATATAATTTGTGAAAAAATCAACAAGCTCCGGGGTCGAATATCGGGGTTGGGGTGGGGATGGGATGGGGGTGGGGGTGGGGGGGTTCCTGCATGTCCGCAAATACATGTGAGCTGGTACTACGGACCTGCATGAAAAAAGCCATGGCAATAATACCTTGACGCTCCCGACGTCATATGTAGGCATTGCGTAAAATGACGTTTTTCGTACCTGTGACAAAATGGCTACACTTTTATTGATGCTTGCATTTCATTCATGTAGACCATTACTGTAAAGATTGTGTAATGTTTAAATGCAACATTGAATGTTCTTTCAAGCTCCATACATGATTGCTTTATATCTTACATTATTTTATCTATTTTTGATATGTTACTGAGACATATTTAGTAACAATACAGTGACTTGTGCGTGCATAACAAAATGGCTACACTTAAGAAAGCCTTCCTAATATTTACGTTGGAAAAGTAATATAAAATGTATCAATTTAATTAATCTAAGAAATATGTACTAAAAGTTTATCCACCAAAATTAATATTTGTCTGGGATTTATGTCTGGTACACATCTCCATTTCGGCTAATGTCAGTGTAAGGAAACGATTTCTTACTGTTAGACATTTTAATTACGCACTGTAGATCCAGTCTAAATTCATGAAATTGATACAATGATGCCAAAAACTCAACAATGTCTTAAAGAATGCATATATTTTATTGTACCCCCTGAATTTAATTTAATTCAGAGAATTGTAAGTGCATTTTTTCATACCTTTAATTTGCGCGAACAATAATTGATGTAACGTCGGACACGGGAAGTTCGCCGTAAATGACCAATACTGAGTAACTCCTCATCATAGTTAAAATAATTCAAAATTATTTAAAAGAAAATTTTGAGAATTATTCATTACTTTAGATAACATAAATGATTTTATTTTTAATTTAAAGTAAATATGACATCGCGAAACCGCCAATTTCTTTGCGACATAAAGAGATAGATATTATAGTACCAACACCGTGCGCAACGTCTAAGTTAAATAATTAAGAGTAAATCATTGAAAAACGTCTTTTGCTTCTTTCTGAGCACCTTGGACATTATTTATTAAACAGCCCTCGTATTTTCATCGTTATTCATTCACTTATACAATTTCTCATGTTGCATTACTAACTCTGGGCTAGGCAATCATGTCCCACATATATGGAAATTTATACAAGGCACGATAAGAGAGCTCACTATATGCAGAATAAATTAATTAATTCGTTCAATTATGTAAATACACATACACTGTAACACTAAAAAACAGAACATATTTCATAGAGGTCAGAAAATATTTTTTTTCATATCAGCAGGGCCTTTTAAGGAAAGAACTAATGAGAAAGCAGAAAATGTACTTCTGCGAATAACTTATTAGCATATTGATGTGAAAATAAATAAATTAGGAAACTATATTTTTATATGTCACACAACCTCCATCTTAATAGGAGTGAAATATTTTTGATTGGCTAATACGTTAGAGACTGCAAATCTCTTACTATCAAATATTTTTTTTTCGAAATTTATACATCTATTTAGCATATTTTATAACGCACTGTTTGCAGCTAGGTCAAGTACTCCCATACTCACATCAGCCTATAGAGAGGTCCGGAAAAGCGATTATGACGTCACGATAAAACTACACTATTGAATAATAACGAATAAATATCAATGTTCTACTATATAAGCTAGTGGATGCCTGATTCTGGGTCCTTCCTCTAATAAACTTTTCGATATTTTTTTGCAAACAAATTGTTTTCAAGACTACTGTCTCTCCGAATACGAAAATGGTCACATAAACTGTTATAAATTCAGTAAAGATTCAATAATGAGAGGAAGTCAAGTTTAATGTCATATGATATCTGTATTGTATGTCATACAGTTCAGGACATAATATATTGAACAACCCTCGTATCTTGATTTATTCTTTAAACTGAGTTAAATACACAATAAATAGTCAAATCAAGGTCATTCGGAGGGTCAAGTTAAAAAACAAATTGGAGAAAGTTGATATATTTTCACCAAAAAAGTATCAAGTCAAACCAAAGTTTACATAAAAAAAATCTGGAATAGTTTCTTTGAGCCCCCCCCCCCCTCCCCATCCCCAAAAATAAGAAAAGAATGTCAAGGTCAAATGAAAGGCCGAGGTGAAAAAAAGGAAGAACTAATAAAAATTAAATCTCAATATGTACAGCTCAGTAAATGAAGTGTTTTGAAACCACGCTAAATATAGATTTTAAGTCAAGGTAAAGAAAAAGTCAAGGGCAAAAATGATGATTATACATTTACTATTGGATATCTCTGATCAATATGATGTGTGATAAAATTCCTTGAACACTTTCTTCGAAATTATGCTAAACACAAATTCGAATTCAAGGTCAGAGAAAAGGTCAAGATCAAATATACCGATGCCATTAAATAGTTCTAATCAATATTTATAACTTCATGTATAAAGAGCTGAATAAAAATATCTTTTATATATTTCTTTGGGATTCAGTTACATGTAAAAACCAAATGTGGTTTTAAAGAAATATGGTGTGAAAGAAAAGTCATGGTCAAAAATGTTGATGCAGTTGAATAGCTTTGAAAAATATGCATTAAGGTTTTTAGGCATTTTAGGCTTGATTAATTTACCGGTATGCCGCGCCATATTCATAGCGCAGCATTACAAATCTAGGTTCATTGAATCTTTCAAATTAATTACCTTGCCCTTATGAACTAGTGATAATCCATTCGGTCAAATGAAACGTCAGGCCACTGGGTCTTGTGTACAGAAAATAAATCAGTTAAAAAAATTAGTACCTCGGAGAGAAAAAAAAACACAAGGGAGGACTCCATTTTGGATACCACCTCGCTTCATCAGCTATTTTCTCGCTTAAATTGTTGAACTAGACACACGAGCCAGTTCGATCATATCCCTTAACGTTTTTTTTTCTTGAAGGTCTTACTTGCAGTTTTAATCTTTCTTTGTTAACATTTACAGTCTTAGTCAATTTATCACGTAAACATCCAAAATTGGCAACTCTTTGGCTTCTGCAGAAAACGAAAGTTTGACACGTGACTAATAGAATCCCAAGATTCAGTCCAAATTGAACAAATTTTGGAAAAAATGTGAAGCCAAAATACTTTCAAACAGAAGAGCAAAGAAATAAAATAACAGTTATTGATAAAATGAAAGCATCTGGGTTTACCAATAAAAATAAAATATTCAAATATTTCAGTTTGGGTACGACTTTACTTTAACCTTCATTTTAATAGTAAAGTCTTGGGACAAACCGAGTGACACTACGTCACATGTAAACAAAGGAAGATTAAAACTGCAAGTAAGACCTTCAAGAAAAAACATTAAGGGATATGAACTGGCTTGTGTGTCTAGTTTAACAATTTAAGCGAGAAAATAGCTGATGAAGCGAGATGGTATCAAAATGGCGTCGTCCCTTGTGTTTTTTCACCCAGGAACTAATTTTTTTAACTGATTGATTTTCTGTACATAAGCCCCTAAGGTCAGACATATGTATAAACGAAAAGCTCCCTTTAGACGTTTTTAACCATAAAGCTAGTTAAAATCTCAATCTTTGTGGAATATGCTATCCCTTTTGTATTGAATCAATAACAATGATAACATTTACCTTTTTTTTTACAAAAAATGTTGCATTCTTGATTCTTTGGAATTTTAAGTAATGTCCACATCTGAAATTATAGAAATACTTCATTTAGTTTTAAAAGAGTGTAATTACAGCTGAATTATACATAATTCATGTACTTGAGAATAGGTTCCGCTGGTAATCAACAAGTCAATATCTTCTTTATCCATCACAAAATTAGAATTGTCCAATAATTTTAGCAATTATGATAGAAACAACATTCTTCGACCTAAGAGGCTATTCTGCAACATTAACAAACATGCCATTTTTTAAAATCAGAAGGCATTATCTATACCATAATAAGGAGTTACATGTACGCAAGAAAATGATTTCTTTGGATTCTTAGTTTTGTAATTGAAATATAAAATTTATAATAGCGCTCTATTGATTTGAGTCCTCTAAAGCGCTTTACAATTAAAAAATTTTAAAAATATATCAAAGAGATAGTGATTAAAAAATACATATATACATACATGTAAATAAAATTTGTCATGATGTCACTGTCCAATCATAAAACGATATTTATATTTAAAAGAGAATCATAGATAAAAGGCTAGCTTAAAAAGGTGAGTTGTAAGACCCTTTTTAAAACAAGGCAGTGAAGCGCATTCTCTAAGGTTAAAAGGCAGTGAGTTCCAGAGACTAGATGCGGTCTTGTCTAAACGACGGTCTCCGTATGTTTTAGTGCGTGTCCGAGGTACCTAGAGAAGATGTGCGGATTCTAAACGCAGTGATCGTGGCGGGTTGTAAACAGTTATGCCATCTCCCATGTAGACTGGAGAAAGGCTATGAATGGATTTGAAAGTGTACAGAAGGATTTTATATTGGATTCTATATTCAACTGGGAGCCATTGGAGTTGGATTAGAATTGGAGTTATTCGATCGGATCTTTTGAAGCGTGTGATTAGTCTTGCAGCAGTATTTTGTACTCTCTGAAGTTTGGCGATGTGGTGAGAAGGAACGCCGTATAGCTATGCATAGCCGTTAGTATAGGGATAAATGTTCCAGCTGTTGCAGAAAAAAAAGGCGTATGTAATTTTTTCTGCAATCGCAGCTGTTACCTCCCATACATACCAACAAAATATGCATTATTTTCATATTTATATATCTGTCGAAAGTAGTGGGATTCGGCAAGTTAAGCATTGTATTATTAATTTGTACGTCATTGTACGTTCCATTGATGTAAGGGTCACTGCTTAACAAATGTGTACAGGTGATTTGCTTAGTGTTTTTACTGACTGATAAACAACAATGGTCGTCTTGAGAAATAAAGGGGAAAATATTCAGAGGATATAAATGTTGTGTCTTGACTGTAACCTCAATCAAAGAGAGTCAATGTTAATTGTAAGTGTGTAAACAGTTTGTTTGCTCTATAGGAATGAAAAGAAAATTCTAAACTGGTTAAGGATTTTTTAAAAAATATTATATATATATTAATTAAACTCAACCACAGCCTTAGTTTTAATTCTAAGAGGCATGAATAAAAGTATACATAAAAGTCTTACAATTTTATTTAAGGGCTAAGTGACTATAGTATCATGAAGACGGCTTACATGTTTTGAAGTTTTGAGGAAATTTTCAAAAAAATATACGTACCTCGGTGACTGCCGCCTGCTGATATGAATGTTGTACATCATCCCTACTGATCACTGTCGTACATCTAAGAACATTACACACTCTCTGTGTAATATCTTTTTCAACTCTTATGATACACTTCAAGCAAAGTAAATGGCCACAGGTTCCTCTGTGGACTGCCTTAAAATAAGATATGCATGAATTCATATCAAAGTAAACTGCATATTTTTATGTAAATTACTCAGTACCTGGTGCGTGAAGATATATTAGATATATCATTTAGATATCATCTGGTGAAATAAACATCACTGATCCGATTATTATTGGATAAATTTTCTGCTATTTATCATTCTTTCTAACAGTTTCTTCACTTTATAATACTTACTTCCTGTTTGCAACATCTCATGCAATACAACTACAAAAAATAATGAATTTATTTTTTAAAATACAATAAAAATATAAAATTAAAAAAAAGATTAATAAAAAAGTTAATGAAAACATTCAAGAATTTAAAAATATGTTCACCTCTGTTGGTTGTTTTTCTTATTTATTTGTTGTACATTTAATGATTTAAATCGATTCATTCCTTTAAACTTATTTGATATTTTTTGCACTAAAGTTCGCCAACTTTTTTTCATATTTTTTTTTTATAATGCTTCTTTGTAAAATAATTTCAATTACAGGCATCTGTTAGCAATATTTACTACTTCGAACAAGATTCCGAAAAAAAAACTTCTGGTGTTATCCAGGATGAGTGTCTTTTATACAAAATCATGCACAGGGGACAAAAGAAAACATCTATCGTTGAACCCTTAACATCAACAACAAAGCCTTTGGAATTCTGTATACAGGACGCACATACAACATGGAAACATCTTTGAAAGTTAAACTTTGCCTGTTTGAAGAATATAATGAAGTACATTAACTACTACAAGTAAGCACATTTAAGTGTTACATGAACAGTTCATCAAGTTACTTACTAGAACTGTAGAACACCTTATACATGTAAAAGAAAACAATAATGTTTTGTTATAATAAATGTATTTTCATTTAATGTAACTTTTAGGTGTTTTAAAGAAGGAATCTTCCTTCAAAATACTTAAGAAAAAAATTACAATGTGTAAACTCAAAAATTTTATTTCCTATGTGCGTTCGAGAGAGGGTGTGTGTGTCTGGTACAAGCAGACGTAGGTGTGTGTGAGTGAGGGTGTGTTGGGGATAATTTTCAAAAACTTTTTGTTCTTTCCAAATGCTAAAATTTACCTGTCTTTGATTATACAGCAATAAAAAGTGAGGAACCAACACCTTAATGAAATCTATATGTAACTACAGTAATCATCTATATTCGGAAAAAAGATGGACATTCCCCCTTTTTTCGTGCCTTGTCCCCCAAGGAGAATTTGTATTGGTTTTAATTAATACACATATACATCTGTTCTCACAACTACATGTACCTGTTCTTCACAATGAACTACTTTGCATCTCATCGTGCCATGGATTTGGTCCAAAACCGTATGTAGTTGAAAATCAATTTCCATTTTGTCTAAAATATTCCTAAGATGATATTAACAGTTTAAGTTATGCAAAGTGAAATGTCATCGGATCATTTTGACATTGCAATTGACATTTAATCACATTGTATTTTATTTTCTAAACCTCTTTCTGTTTACATATCAACTAAGATTGCAATCCAAATTATTAATAATTGCTAATTTATATGAATTATTCATGCATTTTAATGCAATTAATTTGTTAGTAAATATCTAATCTTAGAGAATTGTACATACATGTTTATCTAAATATGGATTAAGAAGTACGTGTAAGTTGTGGAAGTAACCCTACCTTGCTTCGACTGGTTACATGCTATGTTTGAACTAAATGATGAAATTCGTTAAATTGAAATAACGAAAGTACGTCTTTTTTCGGTATTACTTGTTCTATTTTCTGAAAGTATAACTTGAAAAGAAAGTAGAGGAAATAGTCAGTTATTTTTGTTTTTTTTTCCAAAATGTTTTAAAAAGACAAAAATACACTTTAAAAAGAAAATAGATACTTATTTTAAATGTATTTTTAATATCCTAAACATAAAAAATGCCCACTGAGAGATGTTAAACATGACTGTATTCTAATAATATCTTCATGGGTTTTCTATGAAGGTTTGCTTTTAAATAAAAAGGAATACGTGGAATTAAAAAAGAAAGTAAATGAGCATTTTTGAAACCTGCGTCTTTTTAGACAGTCCTGGAATTCAAACGACTTTCCTCCTGAATTCCTTTGCTTTGCTTATTCAATGCAACAATAACCCATATACTTGATGTAGTCATTCCTTTTTTAATGAAATTCTTTGATTCGCATAATATAAAGTTGTATTAATTAGTAAAGACAAGACGATATTGTCATCATGTGCATGCTTGCACGTGCGCTTTTGTGTATTGTGTAAAACGACCAATATGCATGATGTATCCGTAACATATTAAAATGCTTTGTAGATAGAATAGAAAGATATAGTGAAAGTGTTGACAAATTGACACAGCAAGCATGCACGTGCGCTCAGGTGCATTGGATTAAAAGATCTGTATACTTGTTCATTAAGGGCGTAACGTTATGAATTGTTTATGGAACAATTTTACACATGCATGCACGTGAGTTAAATGACAATTAATTATGGCGTAAATTTTATATTTTGATGAAATGCTTTGAAACTAAGAATGAAAGAAACTCATAAATAGTTAAAAATTGCGCTTGTCAGCAATGAGTTGAAATGACAAATATACTTATCAAATATACGAAAGTTGTCCCCTGGCATGTAGCAACAGAGGGGGGGGGGGCAGGGTCTGGATAGGGGCCCGGGGCTGGCGCTGTTCCTCCACTTTTTTTTCAGTAAGTTCAATAAGGCTATTGTGGTATTGCTGTAATAATATTTGGTACTGAAAGAAGTTAGAACCTAAAAATAGGAAATAATTACCTACTAATTTGGTATTTGCGACCGTAAATGCCGATTTAAAGTCATTGGCAACGCAGGGTTTCCGGAGAAAAAAAGGTTTATACATAGGTTTTCTCACTTATGAAAAAAAAGTCATTGTGAGTGATCTCCCGTATGGAATTCTCTAGGCGCTGAAAACTAATAAAGCATAGGTTACAGACTGAGAAGTAAACAAAAGCACGTGTGTTTTTTATGGGATATATTCAACTCTACAGTAATAAAAGAAAAGCAGCGATGGGTTTGTTTACATTGTGCTGAGGGGGCAGACAGTCAACAGGCCGTCATTTAGAATAGGTACATGAATGCTGGGAAGTGCAAAGATGTGAATTAATTTTGCTGAAAGTGGTGATAGCCAGGTAGACCGAATGAGAACGATTCTATAGGTTATGTGAATGAGACACCATTAAAAGTTACTATAAGTCCTTGTTAAAATGTTTTATGACAGTTCGCTTCCAATAAAGTAAATTATAGAATAGAAACAAACAACCAGTCTCTTGATCATAATGAATATTGATTAGAAGTGAAGGGAAGTAACTCAAAATTAAAAAACAGTGCTAGTATTTCTGTGTTTTCTTTCAATATTTTCATTTTCAGCCAAAGTATATGCATGTCATCGGAAATAAGGTTTCAACAATGTATTTCATGTATAAACCTTATGAAATAAATGGGTTTTGGAGAAAACGTATGGTTGAAAATAATATAGGCCCATTTTATCAACATTTTACATAGGAAATGCATTGAAAATTGTAAAAAACATTGATTTGACAAAATCTCTAAAGGAAGGCTGGCTTGATGGGTAAAAGGGACCTGAATTGAATATGTTTGGTACCATTAAACCTGTTCAAAAAGTCTTAAAAAATCCTATACGAAAACCAGAAACGTTGCCAATGTCCATAACGGTCGCAAACAGAGTTTTACTGGTGACGCGTAATAGAGGAGCCGGTAAAACGGATTTTTGCTTATTTTGTTGAGTTTCTTTATATGAAATACGTTACAGAGCATTGCGTTTTCGAGTCACTCTGTTATGACGTCATAATTTTAGACTTTCACTTTCGTTAATGCTCGTTTTACTGCTTCAAACATCAGTTTTATGATTTACCTTTTTTGCTTTCCCTGAGTTATGTACAATTGTTTGTATAATGCATTGAACTTTTAACTTTTTAAAAACATTGTTAAACTTAATTTGAAATAGATTTGCAAATGTACCAGCTATGCTTAAAGAATTTTCGCTTTTATCGGCTATATAGTCACCTAAGTGACTAGGTCACCTGAGTCAGTCATATGACCTGTTGTTATCCGTTTTCTTCCGCCGTCCTGCGCTGTGCGTTAATATTTAAACATTTTCAGCTTCTTCTCTGCAATTGCTGAGCCAATTTCAACCAATTTTGGAAGAAAGTTGCCATGTGTAAAGAGGAACAAAATTTGTTGATTTTATTGTCCCTGCCCCTGGGGCCTGAAGGGTTAGGCTAAAACCATCAAAATTAGTGTTATCTTTAAAGAGCAGGATTATAATAAGCCAAAGTGTGAAAGTCATGGCCCGATAATCAGGGGTTCCAGTGCTAGAGCGGGGCTATATATAGATTATATATGGAAAACATGCATTATTTCTTTGAAGATCTTATTCTTTTCCCCTACGTATTAAACAAACAAACTTAATGCATTGTTGTGATGAGGATGAGTAACTCTTTTAAAATTGTTAATTTCATGGCCCCTGGGTCAGGGGTTCTGGTGTTAGGGCGGGCTCTTATGATTATAAAGTGAAAATGCATTAGTCTTTTAAAATCTTCTCCTGTGCTCCTGGGTATAAAGTCGATGAACTATGTAAACTTACAAATTATGATGAGCAAGGGTGCTTTCTTCCAAAATTGTGAATTTCTTGGCCCCTTGGGTCAGTGGTTCTGGTGCTAATGCGAGGCTGTAATGATTATATACCAGTGAAAATGCATTAATTCTTTGAAAATCTTTTCCTCTACTCCTGGGTACATAGTTATAATACTGAAGGGGTCTCTTCCAAAATTTTGAATTTGATTGCCCCTGGATCAAGGGTTCTGGTGTAATGGAAGGGTTTATTAATTTTATCGTGAAAATACATTAATTCTTGGAAAAATTGTCTTCTCTACTCTTGAATTTTATGCCGATGATCTAAGTGTGATAACCTCGTGGGGATCCGGGTTAGAAGAGGTCCTCAGTACCCCTTGCTTGTCGTAAAAGGCGACTAAATGGGGCGGTCCTTCGGATGAGACCGTATAAATCGAGGCCCCGTGTCACAGCAGGTGTGGCACGATAAAGATCCCTCCCTGCTCAAAGGCCGTAAGTGCCGAGCATAGGTCTAAATTTGCAGCCCTTCACCGGCAATGGTGAAATCTCCATATCAGTGAAATATTCTGGAGAGGGACGTCAAACAGTATACAATCAATCAATCTAAGTGTGATAAGGGTGCTTCTTCCAAAATTGTTAATTTCAAGTCCATTGTGTCATTGGTACCATAGGAGGGTCTTTTATGATGAAAATGAATTAATGCTTTTAAACCTGCGCCTTGGGTTTATTCAAACATTTATAATGAGCAATTTATGATGAGCAAGAGTACCTTTATTAAATTTTTAAGTATGTGGCCCCGTGTCAGGGGTTCCTGTCGGGTTGGGCACTACTGATTATATATTAGAAATGCATTTCCTTTTTGTTATTCTCTGCCTTTGGCTATTTAGTAATCAAACTAAGCATGCTAGGAATATAGTTACGAAAAGAAATTGAGCCTCTTTCAAAAGTTTGAATTTCATGGCCTATGGTTTGAGCATAAACAAATTCAATTGTTGAAAAGTTGTTACATAATAGTCAGGTGACCTATAGCTATAAGGCATGTGCCTCGTGTTCTCTCCTTTAAAGAAATATATTTGAGATAAAAAGAAAAAAAAAGAAAAAGATTAAATTTAAAACAAGATGTGTTTGTGAAACACTATGCGCCCGGCGGCAACAAATTTAAAAAAGCATATTTTTAGCATAAAGGTCACAGTCAAGGTCACAAGTTCAATGATCTTGGTGGCATTTGAAAGATCTTGATTACTGAAGTATGCATACCAAATATGACGTCTGTATCTGTCATGGTTCAAAAGTTATGGTGAAGGTTAAAAAAAGCTATTTTTTGCATATAAGATACAGTCAAGGTAACAAGGTCATTGACCTTGGTGTCATGTGAAAGGGCTTCATTAATGGAGTATGCATGCCAAATATTAAGTTTCTTCGTTCAAAAGTTATGGCGAAAGGTTAAAGTTTGCCGGCAAAAAAGCTATATTTAGCGTATAGGTCACAGTCAAGGTCACAAGGTCATTGACCATGACGTCTTTTTGAAAAAGCTTTATAAGTGTTTTATGTATACCAGATATGAAGTCTCTAACTTTTATGGTTCAAAAGTTATGCAAAAGGTTAAAGTTTGCAAAAATAACCCTATTTTTAACATATAGGTCACAGTTAAGGTCACAAGGTCTTGACCTTGGGGTTATTTGAAAGAACTTTATTAGTGAAGTAGGCATACCAAATATGAAGTCTTTATCTTTCATGGTTCAAAAGTTATGGCGAAGGTTAAAGTTTGCGAACAAACAGACAAACAGACAGACAGACAGACAGACAGACAGGACAAAAACAATATACGCCTCGGATCTTTCGATCCGGGCGCATAAAAAATGTTAATTTGAAAAAAAAAGTACTGTAAATCACCTTTTACTCGCGAGTACTTTTTTTTCGCGTAGTACGCGAGACGGTATGCTCACGTATAATTCTTTATAAGAATTCTTTATGATTTTATAGAGCAATGACCACAATTCTAGAAAATTTTGTATCGCTAATAAAGAGTTAATAACTATCTCGCGAAAATAAGGTGTCGCGAAAATTAAGTGATCTACAGTAAAAATATCAATACATGGCATTTTAAACATGAAGGTTGGACGAAATTTAATGATAACGAAGAGTAATCTAGCACAAATCCCATTACAACATCCCGTATTGGGAGCAGAGCAAACAGTTGGGATACTACGACACCAGACATGGGATCATGTTCCGTAGCCTATTATAAAATATCGAACAAAAAAACCATCATTAAAGAGACTTAAAAGAGTAAAGGCTGTTAAAATCCATCTTTACAATTTTTAATCTCACAACAGCTAAGATAGTTGTAATTATATATGATGTCTCAAAGCCCCTCATTGATTATGTAAGAACCCACGACGTTGCCTTCTTAAAAGACAGAGTAATACGGAAAAATATAATACACGAAAATATAAAAAAAATTATTTTGGATATGGAATATTTTCTACTTCAGAGACAGTTTTTTTTTTTACTATTTTTACTCGTGCTTCGCATTCGTGAAAACATTAAAAATCCTTGTTCCACTAATGAAACAAATGTCATATCTACATGTTACTACAAGGCATCCAGTATCCTCTATTTCGTCGATTAATTTATACTAGAAGTTGACTGATTCAGATTGTGGCGGAAGTATGGGAGGGGGTAATATATTTACACACATGCAAATAAAGGTAGATTTACGTCTCTGTGAAATTGAACCAAAAGTTTTTAATGCCAGCAAATATACTGAAACGCAAAAGCAACGCAACACCCTACTTCAGGGGAAAATTATTATGTAAAGTAAAGAATTTTGTATCTTAGAATTATGGATATCTTCAATTTAGGAAATATTGATTAACGGTTGAACGATTTTCATACAATAACCGGAAGTCAAGTTTGAGTCTGCTTAACAGAAATAAAAAAATTGCATGTTTAACAAAACTTTTGGCAATGTTATGGAGTTTTAAGGATTTGCACTGATCTTTCTAAGTAATGCAGCAATATTTCAAAACATAAAATCTACTTTTGTTTCCTGTAACGATGCCTAGGCTTCTTGAAAATGGATTAAGTGCGCATTTCCATTGCTGTAGCTGGAAAATCTCAAGCTGGGAGTCCAAGGGTTACCACAATGCGTTAAGTTAGAGAAAATTTGACCTAATCATCTGAAAAATAGGCATTCAAAAATGGCTAGGAATAATTCCTTCGCTCAGATCTCGATATTGATTAACCTACTGTATCGTAGAAATTAAACTGCAATTGTTGTTTAGGGCAGTCTTTCACGTTGTAATTGGAGGGCTTGGAGGAGGGTGTTTTATCAGTCATATGTTACATGTACCTAGTAAAGTTAAAAGATAAACTTAACTTTTTTTTCAAATCCCTGATGTTCTGAAAAGTGAGTTTAGCCTTACTATATTCTTTTTTGAAAATCATTAGATAAAAAATTCAAACATTTGTAGATTACTGCTTGTTGCATTTATTTTGCGTTTCAGTATACATGTATATTGTATATTTGCTTTCAGGTAGTACAGTCGATGTATAATTGAATGTAGAAAGATAGACAGAGAAAAAAAAGGAAGGAAAACGACTCACATTTTCCCATTTATTCAAATACTCAAATGTAAGAGGTCAGAGTTTTCTCATGCCATCGATATTTACCATTTCGTTATTACAATCGTAGCGATCGCTATTTAATTGTGTTCGTGACTGATACCACCTCCGTAAAAGATTTATCTTTGAGAATCAAAATTCAAAAAAATATGTCGTAGATTGAATAGGTGCTACAATACATTGTCCATCAAATTCGCCACAGGGAAGTTTTCCATCCCTGGCGACTTTCAAACATGCAAAACAAAACTCAGTTTTACAGAACGTACACAACATTGATTTACATGCTTGATCATGCTGTAGCAAAGTTTTGCAATGTGGACAGAGACGTTTTGAAGGCACTCCACCCATATTGGAATAGTCAAGGGTAATTCTTGGGCAATGTCGTAGCTGTCGGGAAATTTCTATATTGTTGCCATGCTCGTTGGACAAAGCGCATTCGTGACCTGGTGACCATTCTTCCGTGCAATACCAACAAAACTTATAAGTGTAATATAAATCGTTTGTACACTTCCAACATTTGACGTGAGATTCACAGCTTTTTATTTTCTCACAATAAGTGCTGCACCTGGGACATGTTTTTATATCATCACTATTCCGCTTATTCAAAAAATTAAAGGAAAGCTTTGCACTAAAAAATATATGTTCGTCAAGGGTTAGCATGCATTTCTTCAAGATTTCTTGATTATCCCAATTCTGATTGCAGTTGCCAAAATCTGTTTTAGCCGGGCACCTTAGAATGTATTCGTTTTGGAGAATCTTCTCACGCACAAGTCCGTACAAATTGTCTGGTGCTGAAAAAAGTCAATATGACTATAAAAAATAACGGCATTTATAACGTGTAGTATAGTCAGAGGGTATAGAATAGGAAAATGATTTCCTTACTGTGATGAGAAATGATACTTTCTCAATGCTACGTATTAATTTTCCAAAGCTTTATCCTTATCTGTTAAATTTATAAATTTTATGCATGTGCATAATAATTTATTTACTTATTGCATGGCCACACGAAAGTTCCAGTCTGGGATCTGATTCAAATTCCCAGATAATGTCAGGTTTTGTTGTTGTAGGGCATCCAGAAATAGGACGACTCTCCGCCCACATCATGACATAGAATGGATCGTGCAGGACATCACTTGTTGTCTCCGAATCATAGACAAAGAAGTTATCTATGTTAACGATATCTATTAACCAGTATTTCGTCCCAAGTTTCGAGGCAACTGATTGCCTTATTTCTCCTACAGTGGCTTCCTGTAGAGAAAAGAAAAAACTACGTCTAGTTAAGCCAGAAGAATGCTTCTTCACACAAAGTGCAGTCTTTATAAACAATCAGTCATTTTGTTTAATGTCTATAGAACTATTTCATTTTGTTAATACGTTTTATGTACAATAGCTGCCACAGCATGTTAAAAAGGTAGTTTGTGATTAAAAAAATATATCTACAAAATGTCAACATTAGACCTGAAATAAATACATCGATAAATATTATAAAATGCATACAATGGATAAAAATACCTACCTTATTAATACTATACTGGATGTCAGAAGATAACGTTTTGAAAGTAAGCTTTTCCTCTACTGAAATCATTTTTGTTTCGGTGAATGTATTGAAATCCGAATGCAAGTCTGTATATACTCCTTGCATTACAGCAAAATGTGGAATTGACGTCAGTCAAATTTCAACGAAAAAGAACCGAAAGCAAATTATCGATCCACTTTCTGAAAAACAGAAATTGCGTTTCGGTGCCAGTTAAATATAGAGCAGTGTAATTCATTCTATAAATGGTTTAGGTAATTTTCAATTCAATATATGCTTTCTTAAAATAGAACCAGGTTTTGTAAGAAAATGTATTTTCATTTTATATTTGCATAGTACCTCTCTTATTGTGATAGAAAGTACTTTAACAAGAACGATGTCTCTGACAATATTTGTAAAAATGTCTACAAGAAACAAATCTGAGACAATTACTGTCCAGAAGGTATGTAATTGTTAAACAATGCACTTAATATTCTTAAACCATAATCTTATTTTATATTAATTTCACTTGATTGAAAACAATCATTTTTTTAGTAGACTGACGAATTTCTGAGAATATTTGAGACTTTAGCTGGGAGGGTTGGGATCGAGCTACAACATATTCGGTTGACATTCAGTGGTAAGGAATACAGGCATGACCAACCAGAGGCTCGCAAAAGAATAGAGGATATCGGAATTAAAGACCGTTCTACTCTGTTTATGGTTTCCAGATTACCGGGAGGATTAATGATCTAGGTCAATGCACAAATTAAACATTTAAAAAATTTAAAATTGAAAGACGCATTCTAAATAAAGTGATAATGCATAAAATGTATGACGTAATTTGAATTGTTGTTGCATTTAGCCTCACTATTTGACATATTTCTGTATAGCGTAATATGTCTGTTGTTAAATATTTCAAAAATAAAACTGCTGAATACAAATCGATTTCAGTTGTTTTTGGCATTCTTGTATGTGTACACGTTTCCAGAAATACTGCTTTTTAAAAAAAAAGAAATACTTCAAAAATATGTAAAATATCTGAAAAATTGAAATTAAAGCGCTAATGCTTACAAGGTGTTCGTGTTTCTATTTCTTCAAACTGATATAAATAATTTTTGGAAGACTATATCTACTTTCACTTTCGTTTTAATTATTTCACGGAAAACACCGTCTCACAGAGACTTCGTAAATAAACAACAACGTAAGTACATGCAATTTTTCTCAATATAAGGCTATTTCTTATTTCAATATTTTTTTTATCAATTACTGTAGAAGTACTTGTTTTCCGCGTGGTATTAATTTACGCTATGTCCGCGGACACAAACTTTCCGCGGAAATATGTCCTAGCGTACTTACATGTAATATAAATATATGGCATATAATGACAGTCTAAGAAATCCGAGTAATTTTCTACCGTCGGATTAAACAGAAATTGAGAATCCGCGGAATTATGACCCCGTGGAAAAAAGTACATCTACCGTATCACATTATTATAAGACAGGAAAATAATTAAATGATTTACCAGTATCATATAAAAGGAATTGTGCGTCATTACTTGATCAATATGTATCAAATTAACAATTCTTAACAAAAAAATCTTCGACATTTACAAAGCACTTTGTTGAATTTGATATAAGTTTTTAAATACATTGGTATAAAGTTTAGTTTATGAACATTTTATGACACAGTTCTCAAAGATAATTGAGAGCGCACTGTATTGTTTTGGATGAAACTTGTTCCTAATTCTGATAATATCCTAATTTACAAACACTGTATGATTCATGCTGTAACACACGGGGTGCATTTTTTTTAAACGCAATTCCATTAATCTCCTTTACATTATAAATTTTGGCAGAAATGAAACCTACCTTGTAATCTAGAGATTTTTTAAAAATCAACAACTCTATAATGGTTGACTGCATAAAAATGTACTTTTAGGTTTCTTCCAAGTGGACATAATGTTTTGTAAAATTAAGTTATTAATTTCTTGCAGATCTTTTACTGCCACGCTTAAAAAATTTATGAAGTGTTGCAGGAAGGAAGACATGTCAAAGGACAGGTGAAAACACATTGTTCATATACTCTAAATAGGTTTCATAAATAAACTTTAAAATTATTTTTTAATTACATTATCTTAAATGCACAGATTCTCAGCATTTTAGCCCCACAATTTCATCAAAGCTGCTATACTTCAGAAATCTTCGAAGAAACCTTCGAGGACAACAAATTGGTCAAAGACATGCAGAGCTCATTGATTTCAGTAAGTATGTTTTACCGGTCATGTTAATAATTTGAAAATTAAAACCAAGAACAATGAAAATTGAAATACATGAACAGACTTATTTTTCGTTTAATAAATACCTTTCTCAAAATTCATTGTAATACTCATATATAAAATAATTATCTTTTTTCTCATTTACAGACAAACAACATTTAAAACAAGAGGTGACTTTATATTTTCTTAATATTAACTTCAGTAGTCCTGGTTGGTTTCCGATAACGATGTAAAAAGTTGTTGTGAAGCTGCTATTTTTTTTATTATAGAAATACCAGAATTCGACACGGGCAGGTGTACACACCTTAGTAAAACGTTCTGTCGCAGATCCACACCATGGTGGCAATGGGAAACAAACTGAATCGGTAATCTGGAAATCACGATTTGTACAGATTTCATTTAATAATTAAAACATGAATTTTTAACCGTCAAACACTTATTGTTCTTTTCTAGGTTGATATAAAGGACTTAAATCAACCCGGAAGCCTAAAAAATGGAAAACAAAACCAAAGATATAGCACAGTGTTGCCTAATATAAGCAAGAATGTGTCTTATCCAGAATACGCTGCTTCGGCGGTAACAAAGAAATTCAATTTTCAATAAACACAAGTCATGTTAATTTGAAGATATTCTATTACTATTAATAGATTATTGCTTAGTAATAATCATGCTTACTTTAATTGCAACTAAACATATTATACTGATTTTCGACTTTTTTGTTGATGATTTCACAATTTGTCCGTGACGAAAATATCAATTATAATAATTATACCACTATAATTATCTTATATCGTAGTTGTCCAGATGGGACCAAAAACATAGTCTGAACACTAGGCATCAGCACATTACTGCTAAACAGAGTGTCGAAGACCTTGGGACAAAAGTTTGGAATCAACCAACAAATAGGAAAGATAGAATATGCTATGAGGATAAAATCAAAATTAAAGCCACTGTACGTAATACTGTAAAGTTAATGTTCTTCAATTGTTTTTCTATGTTGATATTTCTGTACTTTCTCTGTTTGTTATTTAACTAATTTGATTTAATTTAACTAATAATTTACCTAGAAATGACGTTAATGGCAATCTTACAACAAAACATTATGATAAACTTGGTGACTTTTCAACCGTCAGCTTTACTTGTGTAGCAATATACTGTAAGTTGTTTTAATTCCATGGTTTTAAAATTTCACAATTTCTCAAAAAGTACCAATCAAGATGGTTTTAATTTCATGCTACAACAATTAATTTTGATTTAGTAGAAGCATTTGAATGTTTTTTAAAAGTATTGATAGCATTCACTAATGGTTTAATTTTGCGGAAGTATGATGAATCGTCTCCCAGTTGATTCGATACGCAAAATAATGCGCAACGTACAGAGAATTTTTAAAACTAGGCAAGTTTTTGTACAAACAAGTTGATGAAACAAGATTTCGACAGACTCGATTAAAGCCATCATTTCATTACAACGTGTATTGGTATCAATCCTCTATTATCTCCATATCCTTCTATTAAAACTATTGTCAAAATAACTGTATCTCACTTCTATTCTCAATGACCGTGTAGTGTAGGGCAGCGCTGCGAGAATTCCATCGGCATCGAATGCAAGTTTTTAGACTTGCCTAGATAGCCGACTGGCCTAGCGCGTTGTTCCTGCACTGCTAGGAGGCAGATTCCGAAGGTCGAGAGTTCAACCCCGGGCTGGGACGGAAGTGGGTATCCATATAAAAGTGAATTCCTTTTTACTTTCTATATTAACATTTCTTCACTCAGGGCAGTTATGTTAGTTTAAGAATTGTTGTAATATATGCTTTATGTATATTGAAATCGTTCTTTAAGATACATACGTACGGGACATCATCATCTCATAAGGAGAAAATATCGAGCTTTAGTAATAACCTACACGAAAAAAGTATGCCCAGAAGAGAATTTTCGCCAAAGTACAATATCCATGAAAATGTAAGTATTTTATGAATATTCTTTTAAAATAAACTTCACTACTGCACAAATTTGTTGAAAACAATTTTAATAATTGCTTTTATTATTATTTTTTTTTTATTTAAAACATTAAGTTGTGCGATTGATTGCCTAATTCCCTATATGAATATACATGTATTTTTCGGCCTGTTCTTCAAAAATAATATTTTGGCTTGAATTTTAGCTTCTTCGACTTATAATTTTGCGAGTAATGTAGAAAGAATACTTAGTTCGTACGATACAAAATATCTTATTTGCCACAGTTAAAGTAATTTTGATTAATATAATATGCAAAAATACAAATGGTATAGTACATGTACTTTACATTAGGAAATATACCTATGCAAAGAATAAACAATATACGAACTTAAGTAGAATACGTATATAAAAATGAATTCTTATGTTAGCAAATGCTTATGTCAGCAAAATTGATCAGCGCCCTAGAAAGGCACAAGTAAAATATCGCTTAGTACGTAACAGTATATTTCAAAGTATCAATTATATTCAAGATATACAAAAAAAGGAAAACTATGGATTTTATCATTTTAAATAGTTCAAAAAATAAGTTAAAATAAATATGCTTGCATTTTGCAGGATCAAGTATACGGCATTTATTCAACCGGTGAATCAACAGTTGAAAGAAGACAACCCCCAAAAGTACTATGTCATATCGAAGCATTTATCTAATTGACCAATGGACATCCTAATTTTGATATTTATCTTATTTATCTTTTTCTGTATCTTAATCAAGTATCTTATTATAATATCTACTTTCATAGGGTCTTCCAAACATTGGAAACACTTGTTACGCTAATTCTTTGCTTCAGGTAATCACAAGTCGTCATTAGAGGGTCATTTAAAAAATACAGACTGATTAATTATTGAAGAAAAATAGTATGAAGGGTTAAAAAGACATATCTTTAACAATTGCTGTTTTGTAATTTCAGGTATTAGGACAAACACCATTTCTCTATGAAACATTGATTTCCAGTACTACAGACCATGCCTTAAACCGTGTCGACAATCAAATGGTATAAAAATGCACTCGCAATTCACATTTGTGAATGCATGTTTTCTTATTTTTCTCATTTTTTTTATTTTGAAATATTTTATTCCAATCTGTTTTATTGCAAAAGCGTTTTATTCATTCTTTTTTTAGAAAACAACTGTTACTTATGCTTTTCGGAACCTTTTACGATCTATGAACTCTGTGACGTTTGATCCAATCTCTGGAACCATAGCTGAACTTATGAATAAAGTTTCATGCAGGTGAAATTCAGTTTTTTGTCCCATGTGCACATTCTGAGAGATTTCTGTTGATTATATTAAAATGGTTGGTGAATCCCATAATTGTCATTCAAATGCATTTGCTGATGCTTTTGAATTTTCAGGGAACACGAATTTCGAATTGGATTCCAAAATGACTGTCTCTCCTTTTTTCTAGCTTTGTTAAGTGAAATACATGATGAAAACCAGGCAAAAGGTACATGCATATTTAAAAAATACATATATAAGAAAAATTATCATCTATTCTTGAACTGTATTTGAGTTATGATTATAATTACAGATGTAACTACATATATTTGTATCATTTAAATGAGTACCGGTAGGTATTGTAAAAAAAATATTATACTTTTCCATAAAGTACATATATTTAAAGCACAATTTTAACTAACATAATGTAACTGCCCTAAGTCAAGAAATATTAATACAGAAGGACAAAAAAAATTCACTCTAATATGATACCCACCGTGGCTACGCAATAACCGTGCAGTGTAGGACAGCGCCGCGAGAATTCTATCGGCATCAAAAGCAAGTTTTTTGACTTGCCTAGATGGCCGAGCAGTCTGGCACGCTGTTCCTGTGCTGCTAGGAGACGGATTGTCATGAGTTCAACCCCGGTTTTTGGAGGAAGTGGATATCTTAATAAAAGTGAACTTTTTTGTGCCTTAATATTATATTTCTTCACTTAGGGCAGTTATGTTAGTTAAAGATTTGTTGTAAAACAGTGCTTTATAATTAAGAAAAAATAATTCATTACAATATGGTTTGGTAACGATACTCTAACAAAACTTATGTCCATATAATTGTATCTCACTTCCATCTTAATGAAAATGTAGTGTAGGACCACAACGCGAAAATTCCAGCTTTAAAATAGCAAACATAGGCTAGAGAATGTCTTATCTCAAATGCAATGGAGAAAGTGAAAGAGAGAGAAAGAGAGCTTTGTATTTTTTAAAAAAGGAATACTTTTTTCGTTCCCTCTTTAGAAACAACACGCATATTTGAGATAGAAATGGTGGATGAATTTTCTTTTGATTCATGTGCACATGTATGTATAATTTTAATCATTTACATTATTGTGAATAAGAGAAATGAGAACAAGGCATTTATGCAAAATTCTTCGTAAATTACATTTCATTTCTTTGTAGAAAGAAATAACAGGTACCCAGATTATAAGATGTCTAAATATCCCCTCAAATTCACATGTAAGTTTGCACATCTTTGCTAAAGAAAAAAAAACCCAAACCCTTATCATCATTCAAATACATTAACTCACCATATCTAGTGAATTAGTATATTTAATTGGTTTTAGGATGTAGAGGGAGGTTTGGAGACACTTCTAAATGAGGAGGAATTCGATGAAGCAGATGTTCCTTGTAGAGAATGTGAAGCAGATTGTACTACATGTAGTAATTACCGTTTAAAAAACTTTTGAAAAGGATTCAATTTTGGCATTTTAAGTAATATTGTTCTGATCTAAATTGATGGTAAATGCTAACAAGAGGCCCAGGGGCCACTTCGCTCACATGAGCACTATGGCTAGGGAAAAAGAAGAAATCAGATCAGTATTGAAAAGTGTAAATATAAAAGAGGTTTTGTGGGGTTATGAAATGAACAAAATTGGGTCTATACTAACTTAGGACGTTTTTAAACAAATATAGCACATAATTCTTTGCTGTTCTATAAAAATTATTCATATATCTTTTATATTCCTTTGTATATCTGTGATTTCCTGTTATGACAACTTAATTCTTCTTGGGGTCATGATTTGAACAAACCAGAATCTACACTACATGAGGATGCTTTCTTTTACTCCAATAAATATGATCAATCATGGTTTTGCTGTTCTTGAGAACATTTTTCAAAGATTTTTCCTATTTTTCCCAAAGAAAAATTTTGATCATCCATTGCGGCCCCACCCTATGCCTGGGGCTGTGATTTAAACAAACTTGGATTTACAATAACTGAGGATGCTTCCATATAAATATGACCAATCATGGCTTTGCTGTTCTTGAGAAGAAAATAAAAAAAAATTCCCATAAACTTGAATCTTCACAACTAGAGGATGATTCAACATGGGTTTCATCTTCTTTGGTCCTGTGGTTCTTGAGAAGAAGATTTTTAAAATATGCCAATATCTTTTCACTAGTTTATAATTATCTTCCCTTGGAAGAGGGCGTGACACTTCATTTGAATAAATGTAAATCCTCTTTATCCAAGGATACTCTGTCCCAAATTAGGTTTTAATTGACCCAGTAGTTCTTGAGAAGAGAAGAAGACGAAATTGTGTACAATTTACAGCAACAAAGACGACAACGACAGACAACAGGCAAACTTTGAATTGATCAGAAAAGCTCACTTGAGCCTTCGGCTCAGGTGAGCTGCATGTAAATACATGTATAATTTAGTTCTTGCTAAATTATATGTTAGTTTTTTTTAATTGGTGTTTCGATGAAACTTCCACTTGCACTTAATCATTCTGTTAAACTATGCAACGACATTTAATTTCATGTTTCTTTTATGGAAAAGCCTTGTGTTTTTTTTTTCAGGAAAAGGAAAAACACGAAAAGCAATGAGATTCTGCACTTTGCCAAAAGTTCTTGTAATTCAGCTTGGATGTTTTCAAGAGGTATGGAAAATGTAATATTTCTGCATGATTTGTATTATGCAATCAATTCTAATTTACATCTTATTTTTAAGTTGCCTTTCTAAAAAAAAGTTAAATATTGTGGAATTTTTAGAAGAGTTATGGTGGACATATCCATATAGCCAAATCCATGCGACGAACTTGCTTTTCTGAAAAATTGAGAGTGCCTAAATCGGTAATTTTTAAATGTGTTCTTAGGTCAAATATCAAACTGCAATAGGTCTTTTAAAAACAGAATTCAAAACGTTTTTTTTAATTTAAAACTCCTTTTTTTCATTTTTAACCATCTGGTTCAATTTGGTTACATTTATTGAAAAGATTAAACGAACTCAATCTCATAAAAATAAAATTGAGCTAGAAAAGAAACTATGAGAATATTTACATGGTTAAAGGTTAGATTGAGTGAATAGGGTTTCCTGCTCATACCCTCTTTTTTCTCCCCTTATCTTCGTTTTGCTCATTCTTCTTTTCTCTTATCCGTGCTCTCTTAGAACATTAACTTAAACAAACAATTCCACCCGCCACATGAAAAGTGGAATAATGCTACATTTATGCATGAAAAGTTTTATGTTGTGCTATTCTTTAGGTACTGGAATAGAACACAAAATTCCCAGTTATGGAAGCAATAAACCGCCTCACTCTTGCAATTAAAATCAATGATTTCTAAAATTTACATGCACTGTCTCATTTTTTACTTGTTATTTTTAGTAGGCATTAATGAATGCCTATTTTTTTTCTTTCGAATGTTATCATTACTTGTCTGAAATATATGGAAAAAAGGAAAAGTATTCAAGCTGAGAAGTTTCTTTTCTCTCTCAATTACTTTAATCTGGGTAGATTGTATGCATTCATGCTAGGACAGTCTTAACATATCCAGAATAACTGATCTGGCTATACTTTTTGTATTGATTTTTTGTTTCAGAATGGAAGTATTGTGAATTATCATCTGTATGGTGTTGTTAATCATCATGGATCAGTATATGGGGGTCACTACACGTCGTTTGTTAAACACTTTACACATCACACAGGGCATTGGTATAATTGCAATGACAAGCATGTAAGATATTCAACACTATCGGAGGCTTTGGATTCTCGTGATGCTTATCTTCTGTTCTACAAAATGTGATATTTCTAAATATGAAATTTATTCAGCCACTATTTTGTAGAATGAGAGGGATTTTGAAGTCCCAATATTTTCCCTTTTATCACTGGTTATTTAGATATACTGATATTATAAACATCTATATTTTAGTTAATGCCAACTATGTTAAACTTTACTTATTGTTGTCAATGTTTTCAAACCAATTGTTTACATTGAAGACATTTATCAATGGAGTTGCTCAAGGAATTTTCTTCACTATTAGATGGACACTTACTGATACCTATGTGAAGTGAATTCATCCTGAATTGAAACATCATTACACTGTACACTGTCTAAGTACATGTATATGCACAGGGCACTGTTGCCTTTGGTTAACACAAAATGTTAAACAAGACATGGAAATTAGGTTTTTTATCTCAGGCATTAGAATTTTTACACGTATTTTCAAGTTCAATGCAAATTTTGCAGTTAGGACATTAATGATTATAAATTTTAAGGCATTGTGCTGTGATAATGTGTTACAGTGTAAAGGTACAACATGACTTATAGGTTTTTATACGTTGAGCGTGATAGGAGAATATTTACAAGGGAGCTTGACAAAGAGTGAAGCAATGAATTATTCAACTCATAAATAAATCAAAAAGAAATTTACAACATGTTTGCACTATTCCTCAAGATGATATCTCATTTTTCCTTATTTGTTTGTTGTTGTTTTGTGATTTGTTTTATTTTTTTTCTTTATCAATTTTCTTTAACTTTTATTGTCCGTTATCATGAATAATTTTTTTTATTACAGTAATCATCAGTTCATGTACTGAATTAGAACAAAAATTATTGTGAAGATGCTGTACAAAAATGTTTAATTTTAAGCAAAAGTCTTTCAAGTTTTGAAAGTGGTTTATTGAAACACGTTCTGAACAGGAGCAACAGAACATTTCCTGTTATATCCACTACACTGTAAGGAGCCATCCCTGCATGGAGTTAAACAGGAGAAACAAAATTTAAACCTGCATTTAATGCATGTCATCTCTATACACATACTCTCATATGTTCAATCAAAGTACGACAGCTTGGACACATTCGTTTAGAGGGAACATCTTCAATATGCGAATAATTCAACTTCTTCCGAGGAGCCTCGTTTAATATTTTTTGAAATGCCTCAAGTTCTCAATTTGTGCACTTGTGATATGGGAACCAAAGAGCTTTACAGTCCCAGCAAAATTCATAATTTACACCCTTTGATTTGCTGCAGAATATTCAATGGACTTGCTTCTTGTCCTCTGCCAATCTTTGACAATAATTCCCGCAATCTGGACAGTTTGAAGTGACGTCGTTTCCTTTGTTTATGGCTTTCATAGAGATTCGATATTCAAAGAAAATCCGTTTTCCTGCATCCTCCATTCTGATCTCCATCCCTCTGTCGGACACCGGACTGTGTCTACAGCGTTCTTCATTAGCTCCGACCTCATAAATCCAAACAGACTATCGGCAGCTAAAGTACGTGTAAAAAAAAATATCCCTTAGATATTTGTCAGAATCGTACGTATAACTTATAAAAATATGAAATTGAACACATGAATAAGTATATGATTAAAATAAAGACAAATTTCCATTCATGTGTGTAGTTGTACCAAAATAAAATTAAGTGATATTGATAAATAAATAAATAAATGAATAAAATACATTGTATAAAATAAAATGAATTAAACAAATAATTAAATAAAATAAATAAATAAAACAAATACATGAATAATTAAATGAATAGATCGAGATATCTTTTCTGGATATCTTAAACCTTTGTTTAAGGGGTGCGACTGGGGTTTTATTGTGTGAAAACTACAATAGCGAAACTCTTCATTTTTATACCATATATAACTTACATTAACTTCAGCGTACATGCTGGCAAAATTGGGAAAAATCTACCATCCGGGTATTCTTAAGGGACCGTCTCAAAATCAAGGTACATTTACTATAGGATTATATATATGAAAGTGCCACTCTTTAGCACTTTTAAGCATATTATACAAATATTACAATAGACTTTTTGTTAAAACTATAATATATCATGATGAGTAATACAATATTGTACATTATATATAAGAAACACAAAATTGTACAGTCTTGTTACCAGAGGGAGCATATCAAAATGCAAAAAATTAACGAATTTTCCTGTTTTTATAGAGGACTCCAAAATATAACGGGCACAACAGATTTATATGAAAACATAATAAAGATATTGGAGATTTTCTTAAATTTCTATGTTTTAAATTTTAAGAGCGTATGTTTATTACTTTTTCTTTAATAACATTTTTATTACCAATTTCTTAAGAGCTTCAGTTTATCATAACGTCAAATACACACTACAACAAAGTCGACCTATCAATTGCAAAATTGGTTAAAAAAAATCAGATATATAAAATTATAATTAAAATTTTAAACCTGTTATTTCTAAAGTTTGTTTAATTTTATTAATCAAGGGAAAAAAGTTGCTTTAAAACAGTAAGTACGCTTCATTTTACTATGATGCGCGAAATATTGCGCAATGAAAACCAAAGTCGCTTCCCTTAAAGAGATAAATTTTCAATCACCGGATCTCGTTTTTGCCATGACAAACCCAAATTCTTACACACTGTACAATTTTGTATATTTAGAGCTTCAACCCCTTTCTCCGTCTTTTGGTACTAGAATTTTATGGATCATGACTATTTGAATTCCAACATTGACTATAAGATGTATTTTTAAAATGTATACAGTACTTGCTTACATATTGCATGTCCACAGGACATGGTTTTAGACGTGGTTCGTCTTCAGAATCGTCCAATGTAAGCATGCCCGGTTCATCAGTATTCAGATATGACGGGAATTGCCTGTTATCATTACCAAACATGACCTGGAGGGGATAGTAGTCCGGATATTGGACGCTCATTTTCGTAAATGATTCCCTCCTCGAAATCTACGACACTAATGGAATAACGAGATACTCCATACGAAGATTCTATTTGTCTTTTTACATCGACAATTGTCATGCAACCCTGTAATAGAAATGATAAAATAAAGGTTTTAACTGTATAATTTATCAAAAAATTACAATTTACTACAAATTAAATAATGGTAATAATATGCTTATTTATTGTTTGTCACACCATACTAAATGTTCTTAAAGAAATAATTATTAAATATTACCGGTGGTAGGTAGGTTGGATTTTTACTGATAATCTATTATACTGCATCATAATTCTTGTTCAGGGTATGTAGAACAGCGAAAAGGAAAACTAAAATGTAAGTAGTATATTTTGAAATGAATAAAGATTACACGGATTTAAATATAGCAACTTACAGATTTTGGAAAATGTAAATCTAGACCACGTCCTTGAGTTTAAATAGGTATCTTTAAAAATTTATTTTTAAAGAACTTGAAATACATATCTGAAGCATTTTCGTAAAATGGTGTTTAATAGGCTGCAATTTCGGTCGATATCTTGAATAACAAATAGTGAATTAGCATTTTGAACAGATGGATTTTTGGTTGCTAAACGTCAACAGTGTAAGTGATATAGGATCATATTCGCCCCCCCCCCCCCAAAAAAACCCTCAACCCCACCTCACACACACATATACATGTACCAGGTCAATATTTAGAAGGCTATATATTTATATTGACAAACCTGTATATATTTGGATTTTTTTTTCCTGATAGGTTTAATTTAAGAGAAAAATCAAGTACCGAAATTATTGATTTACATAATTCATCAGCTATCGCCAAGTGTATTCAAAGAAATTAAAAATAATTATTCTTTGGGAGATGCTGGTGATATCTGACATGAGCAAAGGAGGACTACTCCTGCTGACTTCTTATGAAGCATATCATAATTTTCCTATAGTCGGGTGTACATGCGAGTCAGACCAAGTAAGCCATTTGTTATTCAAAAATCGGATATACTAAAAAGGAAATTGATGAATTTTTGATAAGTAAATCTGTATTCTCAAAAAAAATTATTTTGTAACAGTATGTACACCGTGGTTCACTCAATATTCAAGTATTCACTGAAAACGATTTTTAACATACATGTATGGTTCATAATTGCAATTATATTTCAGGCCCGTAGGAAGCAATTTCAGTTTAGGGGGTGGGGGTGGGGATGGGGATGGGGTGGGGGGCACTGTCAACTACCAAAAATTCCTTGACGAGCCAAAAAAAAAAATTGCATCAGACGTTTTTGTTGAGGGGGCACAAGCATAAGCATATTTCTATTAGTATCTTACATATCGGCAAAATCATTGGAGGGGGGCACCCCCTCTTTCCCTTACCGGCCATAAAATATTCCAGATTATTTCAATTCAGAGGTACGAGAATATGAAATACTTATGCAGAGGATATACATGTAAATGAAGAAAATAATGTTGAAGTTATGGACGTCAGTTTTATTTTAAAAAACATTTTTTAAAGACTTCAGGTTTTCTTTAATTTATTTACATTCCGTATGATACATTTAGATAATTAAAAAAAAAAACTGGAATTGCCATATTTTACAATATGTGCAAAAATCTGTACTTAATGGTATGTGGTATACCAATAAAAATTGTAAGACGGTAATTTAAATTAGAAAATTTTGTAATTATTTTTAATATTTTTATTTTTAGAGGCAAAATACTTATCAATGAGTGTTTTTCAGATACAAAGATATATTCACAGAGTGTAAACACAACAATTTTGGATTAATTATTAATGTAAGCATATCTTTTTATAATTTCTAATTTCTCATAAATTTAGTTAACGGTTTAAAAAATGCTGAATTGTAAGATACCGAGTAAAGGCAGGCTAAAGAAGTTTAACGAAAATTGTAAAGCCATAAGCAGAATGCAAAATGATTAATATTGAAAGGCGTATAGGGCTGCGCTAGACCAAACGGTTTCACCGTCGGACATATAAAAAAATTATGAAATATTTATCCAAGAAATAAGGTATCATTTTAAACATCTATCGGAATATCGAGTAGACCAAAATTTCGAGAGCTAAATTTTATTTATATTATCTGTAACATAATAAACATAAAGGTATCTTAAGTTACATGTAAGTATCATAAATATTTAAATTATTGATCATCACCAGCGACCAATGAGTGACTGGTAAGACCAACTCTCCAAGCACCACCCCGTCACATGCATATGTCATACTTTCAATGCCACGGGTCCTGAGTCAACATGTTGCCGTTAAGACCCCTGACGTTGTGAGGATAGCATCTTGTGGCAGTGATAGAATTAACAAGATGTGTTTGTGAAACACTGATGCCCCCGTATGACAACATATCAAATATTAAACTTTTCTTAAATGCAAATTTAATTAATTAGTACAAAAAGACGGGGTATTCTCACTGGAAAACAAGTGTGAAATTTGAAAGTAAGCCAATGTTAAAGTTTTTTTCAATAAATACAAAAATTTTCAAGGTTAAGGTCAAAAGGTCAATGTAATTTGGTATCAAATGAAAGGACTTGCCACATAGAATACTTATGTAGAGCATGAAAGCCCTAGCCCTAAAAGTTCAGAAGTTATGGCCAAGGTTTAACATACTTCATTGTTTAAAATTTGTTTAATCGTCATATGTAATGTTCGGTTCCAGACTCTTTAGATAATAAGACTCTTTACACTGATTTCAACATTTATGGGGGTTCGCAATAGATGCCTTCATAACGCATTTTAGATTGATTCTCCGCTTGACTTAAACAGTTATAGTAGTCTCGTTCAAACAGACGCTCGGCTGTCTCCGTAAACTGCGACCAGCAGAGTCGGAGATTTACGGAGACAGTCGATTGAATGGTTGATAGAGACTAGACTTAAAGGCCCGAGAAGTTGCAAAGTAAGCTATGTAAAGAAATGAAATCGAAAGCGAAAATGCTTTTAAAATTCAGGTAAATAATCAATAGGCAGTAGTAACATTCAAATTGCTTTAATCTGGATCGGAGCATACAGGAATGTAGGTCCAGAGATTGTCGTCTGGTCATGCTCGTTCCTTTCACACAGAATTCGTGTAAAAAACAGTATCAGCACAATTGAGAAAGTTTATGTCCTGTTTTCGGAAAATGTTGTCTCTAAATATAGCCCTTTGTTAAATGAAAAAGAAACCGGAAGAAGTTAAATATTAAAGTTGGAAAACACTGAAACAGGACATCCACCAAACGGAATCTCAATATGCCAATGACAGTTTACATTAAAACCTTACACAAAAATGAAACTGTTATCGTAAGCGTGGAGCCGGTAAGATTAGAAGCTATTAACACTTAAAATGCATTAGAATAACTGGAATCAGTGTTTATTCCTTCAGCACAATTCATTGTTATGTTATATATATTTTTATATGTTTGTTTTTTTTTTTCAGAGTGATACATTGGAAAACTTATTTGAAAAGTGGAATACACCCGAGAATAATGATATTGGATATACAACTGATACTGTACGGTTCATATTTGAAGGACGTTCGCTTGAGCGAGGCAGGACGATTTCGGAGTATAATATAACGAATGGATCATCAATCACTTTTGTTCTAAGACTTAGAGCAAGCTGATTTTGAACAATGTGATACTGTTCATATATAATCTGTACTTGTTTTAATATTTATGCAAAACAAATACTAGTGCAATAATGTAGCCCCCCCTTTTTTGGAGAGAAAGAGGAAAAACATCCAATCTTGACACCTTTTACATGTGTACAAGCTATAGCAAAAAATGTATACCGAGTAAAAAGAAATGAAATAGATAATGGCATGCAAATTATGGAGGGTAGGCGCTGTCGTTTATTTTTAATATGAATATACAGATATTCTTTAAAGATTCTAATCTCAGATCAAAGTTTTATGTTTTTAGACCGCTGTTCATTCTGTAGACAGAAACAGATGACTCATTTTGTGTAATGTTGTTGCAATTTTGGGACATTATTCAAAAAGTTTAGAACATTATTAATTTCGCAAAAAAAAAAAAATGAAAAGAAACTAGCCAAAATAATGGACTAAAAACACTCATCAATTGAATTCGTTTATGATGTATGTCTACATAGTTATAATGTTGCCATAAGTCAATTGAAACTATTAGAATCGGGAGCAGAACAAACATGGACCTCTAAAAATATCAGAGGTGGGATCAGGTACCATCGGAGAATACAGGTTAGTATCCTCTGCCGATCGGTCACACCTGCCTGGTGCTTATTGTCATGATCGGTCAAACGGAAATATTCGTAGACAATCCAGTGTTTAGATAATGGCCTAGCAACTAGCTTGAAAAACGTTAGCCAGCATCACACATAATGATAGATTGTATTTGCTGACAAGGCTATTGGATTGACTATAGCTTTGCGGAATGGTGACGTTAAACGAGACTGTTGATATCTTTGTTACGTCAACTAGTTTGTCAATAGATTGTTTCGTTTTAGAGGACGTTTGTACATATTGCATGCTCTTGCGTATCGAATTAACTGGGAGTGATCGGTTGGAAACCATTAGAACTCCCGAAATAAATTTCAGCCGGAGCTTCATTTGGAAAGAAAAAAAGGAATGAGTTGTTTATAAAATATAGGGTAGTCATTGATATTCTTAAGTAAACCCTATCTACCTCAGACAATTAATGTATTGTTTTTTCTTACATCACTCTTCGTTCTGCCACAATTCTGATATTCTTTTATGACAAAATATCACTTAAATTTTTTTTTACCCTCTGAGAAAAATACCACCTTTAATTCAATAAATGAATAACTATACTTCATTGTTTAAAATCTGTTTAATCGTCATATATGATGCACGGTTCCAGACTCTACAGATAATAAGACTCTTTACACTGATTTAAACATTTATAATTTAGTGATCCGCGATAGATGCATTCATAACACATTTTAGATTAATTCTCCGCTTGACTTAAACAGTTAAAGTAGTCTCGTCCCTTTCGCGGGGTCAATCCGGGGTCAACCCTGCGTAAGACACTTTTTTCACTCTATTACCTTACCAACTTTATGGGCCAGAAACTTAAAAATAAGATCTGTATGAATATGTTTATTATGTTTTTCATGTTACACCATACTCTGGTAAAACATGCACATATCGAAATTGTCCTATAACGTTTGAAGATTTGAAGATTAAAAATATTTACATATAACTTACAAAGGACATTGTGGGAAAAATGAGCGTTACACCAACAACGGGAGATTTCTCTTAAGAATGTGAAATTCGTCTATTTGTGCAGTTCGAATATGCACAAAATATCGCATAGGGTTTTCCCGTCACTAACCGATTTGTTAAATAGTAATCATTTAAATAAGCATTGTAACATACATGTTTCTCGATTCTGATCCTATCCTAAAAATCCTTAAGGATATCCGATCCTCAGCTAGGAAGGATAACTCCAAAAATTCATATTTAATTTGAAATGCATCAAAATGAAGCTTGAAAATTGAATTTTTTCATGCAACAATGTTCATTTTATTCATCTTTATAAGATTCAAGGCTTTTTTTGAATCTAAGAAAAGGCCTTTTAGAAGTTGACATTTGTACCCTATGAAAGGAAAAAAAAATAATACAGTTTTTTAGAAATATGATTTTCTTGAATCCAGCCTTAGATATACCAATGCTCATTAGCCTGATATGAAATTAGAAGTGATTTGTTGTGTCTTGTAATGGTAGAAAAAGCCTTTTACCCTAAATATTATAGAATACATGACGGAAATTGAAGACAAAAAATATCAAATAAGTATAAAAATCATAACAGCTTTTCTGAATGCCTGGATACCTATTGTTTTTTAATCTAAAATATATTTGTGGATCAATTTACAATAAGAAAATACATTGCTTATATTCCAAAATGCCTTATCTGCAAAAAATATTGGAGATTTGACATTTTTTCCTATATAATATAATTAACTTTAATCTTTAATTTTAAAGAAATACTGTGGATAAAATTACATAACTTTGTGGATTCAGAGATACTTTTTTAAGTATTTTTGATAACTTAACTGCTAATTATATAAACCTGAGGATCGGACTACCTTAAACTGTCATCTTTCAAGAAAATCATTTACATACGGCATCGATACATGTATGTGTAATAAAACTGAATAGATTTTAGTTATTTTATTTTTTTGCAAAGCAAAAAAGTATCCAGTATGTTTTCGCAGAATTTAAAAGGAAAGTTGATGTTTCTTTTCGTAAATCTGTTAAAATTCTTGCTAAAACAAATCGAAAGCAAAACTATTTTGATTAGTCTTAAGGACAGATGATACAAACAAATTTTATTTTTGGAGGAGACTTAATATCATGTCACTAGTTTAGAAAACTGGATAATTCTTAGAATTTTTTCTCCTAAGAACTGGAAAATGAAATAGACTTGTAAAATATTACTAATATTTCAATAAAAAAAAACAAATATTGACAAATCACACTCAGTAAAGGTTTACAGGTGAAAACAAATTTCAGACTATGTTAGCTTGGTGTTAGAAATGTAATATAATCTTAAGAAATATACACCAAAGCAGGTGAATTTTATTAGGAAAAGCTAAATGGTATAAATTACTGTATATTTTATGGGCTGATTTTTACCATTTTGCTTTTCCTCATAAAATTCACCTGGCTTGGTATATTTTTCTAAAGTTTACATTACACTTTTAGCACCAAGTTAACATATTCTGAAATTATTCTCATCTGTAAACCTTAACTGAGTGTGTTTAATCTATTTTTATAACTTCATTAAAACATTTCTAACATTTTCCAAGTCTTTTTCATTTTCCAATTCTTAGGAGAAAATATTCTAAGAATTATCCACTTTTCCAAATGGTTTATTGGACGATTGAACACGTTTATGTTAATCGCCAACAATATTCAATACATCCCATTGTGTCGGATCTACTAAACAGATACAAGGTCTACTCTGGAAATTAATTCGAAACAAATGCAAGCAAAAGTAAAAATAAATTATTGATTATTTATATATTTTCGTAAAATATACACCTCTGATGGTCTTATGATCGATAGATTATGGTAAAACAGTATGTTAACTATCAAAATTTATAACGATTTGAAATTTGATCACCTAAGCTATTAACAACACGGTATTTCCTATTTCTACGTGTTTTTATAATTAGAAAGTTTCGTCGAAAAGAAAACGAAAAAAACTTCTCTTTAACTGGTAAACCTTACGGTTATTTCTAGAAAGTGTTAACTGAGTATTCAATAGATTATCTTTAAGCGGGAAGGAAAGCATGTTTATTCAACAAATATCCAGCGAGAAAACCCAATTTCTAAGAGAAGTAAGCTTTATTCTGGCAAAATATAATTATCGATTTTACATTAAACGATCAGTAAATATCTTTCGGAATAGATACGTTCAAAATCTTTTTATTATGCGCCCAGATCGAAAAATCCGAGGCGTATATTATTTTTGTCCTGTCTGTCTGTCTGTTTGTCTTTAAACGTTAACCTTCGCCATAACTTTTGATCCATGAGTGATAGAGACTTCAACTAATAAAGCTCTTTCAAATGACACCAGGGTCAATGACCTTGTGACCTTGACTGTAACCTATATGCTAAAAATAGAGGGTTTTTTGCAAACTTTAACCTTTGCCATAACTTTTGAACCATAAAAGATAGAGACTTCATATTTGGTATGTATACTTCACTTATTACATTTAAGCTTATTTAAAATACACCATGGTCAATGACCTTTTGACCTTCACTGTGGCCTATACGCTAAATATAGCTTTTATGAGGGCAAACTTTAACCTTCGCTATATCTTTTGAACAAAGAAAGATTGAGACTTAATATTTGGCAAGCGTATTCAACTAACAAATCCCTTTCACATGACACCAAGGTCAACGACCTTGTAACCTTCACTGTGTCTTATATGCTAAAAATAGCTTTTTTTGAACTTTCACCATAATTTTTCAACCATGAAAGATAGAGACTTGATATTTTGTGTGCATACATCACTAATCAAGATCTTTCAAATGTCACCAAGATCAATGACCTTGTGACCTTGACTATGACCTTGATGCTAAAAAATATGTTTTTTTTTTAAATTTGTTGCCGCCGGGCGCATAATGTTTTACAAACACATCTTGTTTTCTTTCAGAATCCATTGACTATACGTGATGCTAAGGAAAAAATTGCTTCCACATTGGGTATATACCAATACTATGTTGAAGTTGTTAATCTAGAAGATGGAATTATTTATGAAAGCAATAGAGCAACTCAAAGCTTGCCAAAACCTTTACAAATTATGGTAGGCAACCCAGATAGAAAAATACCAAGTTATCTAATAACAACAGAACCCGACATGATTGAACAAGATGCAAACGATGAGGAGCCAAGACTGAAAATGTCATGTGGACACGCAATAAGTATGAAATGTTTTCGTTTTTAAACCAACATATTTTAACTTTTCATGATTTTCATTTTAAATACATTTCAAAGGAAGTTCAAATGGTATACCACCACTTACATGTACTTTAAGACGTTTCTATTAAAATTTGTTTAATTGTCTTGGACTACCAAACATGGTTTTAAATTGCATTGCACATATAACTATTCAGTAATTACACACAAAAAATAACCACACTTGTTTACTCAGCTGTAAATGTTTGCAAAAATGTCTTTGCAATTGAGGGAAAACAAAGTGAATTAACTGAATGATAACTAAAAAATTGGGTCAGGTTTAAATTTACATCTCTAAATATAAGTCCCTTTTCTATTGAAAATTGTACTTCTTTTTTTAAGCTCCAGACAATTTGTTCGGTCATATGAAGAACACATTAATGTGCGAAGTAAAGCCTGTAGTGTGTTGCCTTACAAATGGTTGTCATGCTGAGTGGGATATGCGAGAAATAGTACGAAAAGCCGACATGACAGACGATGAGCGAGTATTCTATGAATGCAAAATTTCCTTCAACACGGTCAACCAAAAAAGTGAAATCACCTCAGAATGCCCCGAATGCGGCCAATTTTGTCAGCGACAGATTGATGTCTTGCCCATTAGGTGTACGTCATGTTCTAAAAAGAAGGGTGTAGCCTTTGATTTCTGCTGGAACTGTAAATCACCCTGGATAACAAATCACCAGTGCAGCAAAAGAGAATTAGAGGCTTTTCAAAAAATTCTGAATGAAGCCCCACGTAAAAGAATTGATATGTCAAACATAGAGGGAGTGCCATCAAAAAGACTGTGTCCAAATGCATCTTGCAGATATCTTATTGAACACTTGCAGGCTTGTAAAACCATGACTTGCACTAAATGCAAGACTGTGTTTTGCTTTTCCTGTCTTAAAGTTGCCGTTAATGGTCAATTGCAATGTGGAAACTATAATCAACAGTGTATTGTAGCTCCAGTTCAAAATGTTTTTGAGGGGAATTAAGTTATAAGAGCAAAGCAATTGTATAAAATTTCCCAACTTAATGCTTTGGAAAAGTGTGTTCCTAATATTTTGTTACATATTTTGGACCCATTTGTTCAATTAGATTTTTGCTTATTTGCATAACTGCAAGTTTAATCAGGGGTGTTTGCGATAAAAATGCCTACTTTTACTTTAAGTACAAGACGTAATTGTTTCAAGTCTGTATACTGTGTATTCTGAGTTAAATCTTTTGAGCTGCGTGATTTTAAATGTTATTTTGACAAAAAATGTGCAATAAAAAAATAATTGCTAATATTTACTAAGCAAATTCACATCTGGCCATCTTCTTTCGTGAGGTATTTCAACACGTGGTATTATAATGATATTTTTTTCAATTATTCCGTGTTTAAAATCTTTTAAGCTAAGATTTTAAATCTTTCTGTTTTCTCAAGTAAAGGGAGTGAATAGATGTTATATGAGTGTTATAAGAACTTACAATAAAATGTAGCCATATCAGATATTTTTTGTTTTGATGATTTCAGGAGAGGGCTACAATTCCACAGGATCTCCGAAATGGTGCAAATATATTTTTAGATAAAGGTGACTGCAAACAAAATAGTGCATTTGCATTCAAATTGTTTAAAACAAGGATGATTTTCCCCAAGTCGTTTATACGCTAAAACAAGTCAAATAAATTAGTGTGTTTATTAATCGTCTTCCTCAGCAGTGATGAAAGAACTCACGTGATGGATTGAGAACTTGTGATTTTAATTAAAAACCGACGAAGGGCTTGATAAAGTTTTTTTTCGGTGTTGATAAACGCTGGTATGTTGTGGTTGCACTAAAGATCGATGAATAAACATATTTTATGTGAATTGCATTTCAAAAAGTGGTATTTATGCTTAAAATAAGGTAATTCCGAAATAGATCAGCTCCATAGATCCAAATTGTCATTGGCTGTCCAAAAGGGAAAAAAATGATGAAGGTCTGTAAACATGTCGGATAAATTCAAACTTTGATGTCAATATACACGAAAAATAATCCATATATGGATCATTCTGTATATTTTTTTTATCAATTCGTGTCTTGCATAACTGCATTTTTAAGTTCTGGTAAATAATGCTAATAATATAGCCACTTACTGATAATCTGAGCCAAATTGGAGAAGGTGAATCACTCCCGCATTTGCACCATACCGGAGATCCTAGCCCCCCCAAAAAAAATAATTTGGAGAGGGCTACATTATTGCTGCTTAGTGTTTATCCCTATGCACATAGTTACTGTATATGTATTAGAAAAAATATTTGAATGAAAAGTATAAGATTGGACAATGACTATGTGCGAAATAAATACAATAGCTGTATAAGGTCTTCTTGGATACGCATATCTCTCTTTTGTACTAAGACCCGCCTATTCTCTTGCCATAAAAGAACACATTCTCACAAACCTGGCCGAATTCAGCTGTGATAGGGTCTAAAAGATCAAAGATAATGCAGTATTCCTTATAATTAAAATGTGTCTGAACTACTGAAACTAGTCAAATGGCGTCGTATTTATTCCCTCATGTTTGAAAACTACCAAGATCGTTGTAGATTAAATATAATTCGTCGTGGAAAAAGGGGCCCTAGATAGCAGATAAGACATATCATCCTTTTTTTTTGTGCTATATACTCTGTAAAAAACTGATTTTATACAGATCATTAAAAAAGTGAGCACATTATTTCAAATACACAGATGAGATTGAGAAGCATATTAATTGAAGGATAAGTTCGACAATTTAGATTTTTTTCTTCATATTTTTTTGGCTTCAACCTTTTCGAATGTTTTCGAGAAATATTTATTTTACATATAATGATTGCTTCTGAGATTTTGTGATATGATGTCATCAAGCTTTTAATGTGCACTTTAATATTTTTCTTATTTTTGTTGACACGTATATTTATAGTAACATAACCAGAAAGACAAAGACCCCTTATTTGACAAATATTCAAAAAGTTATGAATAATTTTGTAAAATCCAGGTTGTTGACAGGTCTAACGTGTCTATTTCCTACACGTAAGGCTTGGTACATTTAAAAAAAAATAGTATTCTAGTGACAGGATGCAACAATATATGATCTGCTGATTCTTCTTTTTGCTATTATTTTTGGTGAATTTAGAGCATTTGCATTCCCTTTCGTCGTTTATTTTAAAATGAAACGTTTTTTAAATTGATCACATTAGAGACACAATGTCTCTTAAACTCAGAGACTCACGGCTAACAAAGATAAACCTAAGAAATATACTATTCCTTAAAAATAATGACACATGTACCTATGTAAAGATGGATAAATTAGTCATTAATCGCTCTGGGATTATATCCCATAGTATATACGATTAAAGACGTACATTATTAGAGTTGTAAATTATACTTTTTATAGAAGCTTTGTTTATTAAGAAGAGTTTGGAGTTTAAACAATGAACTAGTATCAAGGACAATAATCAATCTTTTACTCACGGTCAAAGTGTACATCATTCCCATATGGATCCGGTTAGTCTCCTTCTCATTTCGAATGTACATTACATATACGTGAAGATGCATACATATCGATATTGTTGACAGATTGTTGTCTTTTTTTAAAAATATAAGATTTTGATATTTTTTCCTTTCTTTTCATATATAATTTTAGCCCAGCTCTAACCTCATCTTTGCACAAAGGGAAAATTATGAACAAACAAAAAAATATTTATTAAGCTTGAGCCTATGAATATCAACGTTAATTAACGTTGGTTCCGCTCCATGACATGGGCCTGATAAATATGAATACCCCGAGACTAGTCGTTTCTAATGCAAAGAATAAATCTAATGTATGGATTTCTTCTGGCCGTCAACGTACGACGGACGTCGACTTCAGAAAGGTGACACAGGTTAACCATTAGTCTTCATGTATAACAAATCTTAGAATGTGTATCACGGTGATCCAACTTCAAAGCTCTGAATCAGTTTATGAACAATTTTGGTTTTTATATTATTTCTCCGATATAGTTTTGTAATGGATATTTCAAGTTTCTTTTTCCAGTAATCTATAAGGACTTGGACTTGACGTATCTGTTTTCAAGGAATTCTACTTAGGGTATCATACCATTGACCTCTTCCTTTTGTGAAAGATATACATGTATATGCATTAAGATACTAGATTATAAAAGATAATTTATTAAATCAATAATTATACATCAATTGAAACATGTGAAATGAACTATTAAATTTGATACACTTCATTTTTTTTTATAACAAACAAAAAAAAATTCCAACTTTGCCTTTGACATGTGATTTGAAACCGATCTTAGTGAATTAAAGATGACTATGAATTGAACACAAAGATACATATCATACACTACGAACGCACGTGTGCACACAAGCATACACAGGGAAAAGTAGCTCGCAGGAATTTCATACGAAATTCGCACGAATATCATGCAAATTCTTCGCATGAGGAGATGAAAACAAATCACATGCTATTTGCATGAAAATGTCATGCAATTTTTACATGAAAATCGCATGAATATTATGCTATAAAAATTCGCAGGAAATTCATGTGAAAAAAGAACTCAGGTTTCCTATCAATATCATGCAAAGACAGACATATTTTTGTACCCTAGAAATAATTATCAAGTTTTTTTTTATTATTTTTGAGTGTCCCAAAACTCAATCCATTAATTTTATCTTTCGAATTCTTCCTTGTAAACAGGATTTTTGCTTCTTCACAATGAATTTTACTTGGATAATTCCATGAATTCTATATCTCCTCTTTCCTTACTTTGTCAGTTAATCCAGATACAAGAAATGAATGATTATACAAAAAGTTACTTTGAATTTTATGAAGTTTACATGTGGAACTTATCACATGATTTAATTTGATTTTCAGATGAATTTCATGCAAAAAGCAAAACGCAATAAAATCATGCGAGCCACTTTCCTTGTGTATACACGCATATATACTTACATTGTATACAGAGAGAGAGAGAGAGAGAGAGAGAGAGAGAGAGAGAGAGAGGGGTAATGAAATGTAATATATATTAATTGCACTGGAGCACTTTTGTCGTTTGTATTAGTTTTTACATTATTGCAGATTATGACATCGCCTTACATAAATATCACTTATGAGGCTTTATTTTATGATAAAACAGAATATAAGCATCACTTTGAAGAACTTCCGTCAATCCCACTTTTCGAACATAACTGTCATCCCGACATTCCCACTTTCCACTCTGTATTTTCTTGACATAGGCGTAGTAATGACCACCTGTTAATCCTCCAATATGGACAATTACACCGTATAATTTGTATTTTAAAAACTCTGGCTTTTTTACTTTCTGTAAATATAAATTGTGTTACCCCATTAACACATGTATAAAAAGATAATAACGTTATCATATACAGACATAAAGGAAGAAATGACTTACGGAGAGATGAATAGAATTTGAAAGCCCTGCAAAATTCTCCCAAAACTTTGGATTTCTATGAACCCTTTCAAAGCGCTCCCTGTTCTGTAATTAAAATTGTAAAATTAAATATTAAGAAAGAATATTTGAACCTTCTTTTGAGAAAATATTACATTCCCTCCATTCCAGCATCAAATATATATTTATTTTGAAATGCTATGTAATAATGCATGAAAGATGGAGAACATCTGATGATAGAGAAACAGAAAGATTCATTTTAATTAAGGAAGGTTTCATTTTAGCTGATGTTAACACAATAATTATTTAATACAACCTCGGATATCATTCCAAGCTGCAAAACTAAGACATCTGGATACTTTTTTATCTGTATCTCTTTTCGTACAGTATGATGTTCTATTCCAAAGAAGGAAAGAAAAAATATTTAAGATGTTTCTTGTTCATGTATAATATGTGAAGCTTCATAGATACTAATTGCATGGTGTATACGTACTACAAAATGAACAAGGGAATATATCGGTCAGTGTTTCACTTGCTAGAAACTGATACAAACATTCGCCTATTTTTGGATCCTGCACAAGAAATAGAAATTGTTAACAACAGTCTTTTTTACCATTTTAATGTTTGAAAAATGAGACGAACACAGAATCTCAGTCTACATGTACTTACATTGTTTTCCACGGTGGGTAATGGCAGTGAGAAAAAACTGCTTTCACCGTGATACTCCTTCTAAATTAAGTTTTTTAAAAGAAGTCAATAAGCAACGTACTTAAGCAGAGTATGAAATCAAAAATTTCGAGTTTATTTGCTTTGGATTTTATTTAGTTATCAACCACATAAATATTAATTTACATTCACTTCCTTAAAGTACAGAAAAAAAGTTTATGCATAAGATTAAATTAAATTACGTACCTTTTTGCATTTGCAGCAGGTGTATTGGTCGTGTAGTTCACCTCTAAAAATGCCAGTTGGATCAATCACACTTCCTTAATATTTAAAACAAGGCAAATTTAATATTTACTTAACTTTGGGTAATTTTTTTTAACGTTGTCGTTTTGGAAAAAATCAATTTTGAATTGAATGTAATTACTGTATTGTTTCATTTCCTTTTCGTTCTCTGAAATGGTACATGTTTGTACAGTTGATAAAAATGACAGTGATACATCTGATCAAAATAAATATCCCAAATTTAATTTTAAAAATTATCGAAAAGAAAATCAAAGTCTGTTGAAACCTTCTTTCTTTTCCTTCTGAGCTTCCTCTGCAATTCCACTCAGCACACTTGTGAGGAATGAAAGACTATCATGCTGTGCATACTCCAAAAATAAAGTGTCACTGAAATGATTGTGACAAGCAGATTTAAATGAAATTAAATGAATTTCATAAATGATGAGAAAACCCAAAATAATTAATAAAAGGTACATAGTTTCAATTTTAAACCTATTTCCGTTAATCTGTCTTTGTGAACCATACATGTATATATGTTACAGTGAATATGGTAATCAGGAATTTCATGTACGAGGGGTTATCAAAAAATTCGTTGAGGCTACAAAATTAGAACTATGTTGTCTAAGCTTGCAAAATTTACAAGGAACATAAAACAACACAAGATAAAGAAATGTTGAAAATTTTAGCTTGATACGTTTATTATTTCCCAAATTATTATAAAATAAAAACGACATTATATGATCAACCGGCGCCGTCGCCGCTTTGTTACAATGCACTTTGAAAAATTACGCACTTTGAAAAAAATTTTCAAAGTGCGTTAAAATTTGGGACCAAGCTAACGCACTTTGAAAATTTTTTTTTTTCAAAGTGCGTTAATATCGACCATATTAACGCACTTTGAAAACAAATGTAAAGACTGATTAATATTTTTTCAAATAATCGGTATGATAAATAACAGATCCTGGTTTGATAACTTTTTTATGATAAAGTCACTGTAGGACCTGAGATATTGACGTTTTAAATATTTAAGGTGTTGATAAAATAGAAAGGAAAATTAAAGGGTCTTGATAAAAAAAGTGACGATTGTTTAAGTTCATTTTCGTTTCTTCCTTTTTTTTTAAATTCTATTCTTCGATAAGTAGATGTAAAGGTGTATAGAGGGCACTGCTTCAAGCAACGCAGCATTAATCATAATAAAAAGGGGCCAATTTGATTGTTCAAAACTATGAAAATTCTTTCTCTCTCAAACGTTTTACTGTACTTAAAATTTTCTAGTTTTCATCTGTTTTAATTAACTCATTTATTATTGAAAATTTTCAACGTCATAACAGTTAGGTAAAATACATAATTATATAAATGCTTTGAGTATAGCATAGACATCGAGACTGGGCGAAGTGCCAGGGGAGGTGATGGAGGGCTAAGCCCCCCACTTATTTTGGAAAGATATATATACATCGTATAAACATTGAAAATGCAGCGTACCCTTTTTAAGTTTATTGCTCCCCTCCCCCGTTTGTACGTTACCGACACCTAGTATGTTTTTGAAAGATAAAGATTTGGACTTAGGGATCTTATACCCGTCTTCTCCTCTTTTCGACGGGAGTAAAATCAATTCATTTTTGAGGTTAGGGTTAGGCTTAGTTTTTTGAAAGATAAATAACAAATAAAATCTTTCCATGACTAAAATATGATTTTTTTTTCAAAGTGCATTAAGTGTCTCAATGGTAAAATATATTGATGTAGACTCTTAACGCACTTTGAAAAATTTTTTAAAAGTGCGTTGAGTTGGTCACAAATTTAACGCACTTTGAAAAAAATTTTCAAAGTGCGTTGATTTTGTCCCAATTTTAACGCACTTTGAAAATTTTTTTTCAAAGTGCGTAATTTTTTCAAAGTGCGTTGCCACACCGCTTATAGTTTCATGCCGAAAATGTCATTATTTTTCAATGTCTGCCTATTCTACCTCGTACATCTATTTTGATGAGATTCCCTTTAACAGAGTGAGGACTTCAACCCCTCTATTTTTATTTATGACTTTACAATGTCATGAACAGCAGCTTTCAATGCATTTATTATTGCAAATGAATATATACATTGGGAGAGATCCTCGCTTGATTGTGCCAGCATATTTTGTTTGGAGTTCAATATAGGTAAAACACATGACCAACATCATTATTTGACCTGATAGATTTTTTAAACCTTGAATACAAATCCACATAAACTTTGCATCCCGTTTCTCTCTGAATCTATTTTGGCATTAAATAAAGTAATCTGGATGCAATTTTTTTTCTCCGTAGCTATGGCAATGTTGGAACATGAAACCCATCCCCCTTTTAACGTCATTTTCAAGGCAAATATTCGTTTGGATACTCCATGTATAATTTACGATAAAATTTCCTAGAACTTCCAGAATGAGGTAAAAATTCCATATTTTATGGAACATACGTGTCCCAACAAATACCTAAATAAACGGGATTTTTGGATGTCAAATGTTAATATCAAAATAGTTTATCTTTGTTAAACTCAAGTCGGAAAGAAGTTGTTTTCGAGGTTGCGCCGCCTGGACATACTGTTGCTTACAAAAACTTTACTAATTTATTTAAACATAAACGTATGATTTGTGGTTTATTCTATAGATAGAACAGATGATGATAACTAAATATTTTTAAAATTCATTGATGTACCTAAAGCGGTTTTAATTTTATGGCGCTAGTCCACGAACTTTTTGATAGCCCTCGTACATGTATGTCCTAAATTTTACGCAATACACGAAATTCTTACTGGGCTTAGGGAATTCACGTATTTACTGAATTAAATTAGGAAATACACATATCTAATGACTTCATCAAACCTTTCTACACGTATTTACTGTGTTTTGGTGAAATAATTTCAAACATGAATCATAACATATGAACAGTTGCACGGTATACTGTAAACCAACTTTTATTCGCGTATGAGAAATTTTCGCGAGGTTTGCGAGAGCCTTGTCATCGCCAACTGGTCCTTAAAGTCTCTTTTCCTATTAAAAACAGTACCAGAAAGGCTTGATCCCGAAAATTAATCCTCGCGAACTAGTTTACTTCATGTAAATAGCGAAATAAATTTGTCACGAATAAAAGTTGGTTTACAGTATTCAATATTCATATCAGTTAGCATATTATGTTAATGAAAAATATTTGAAATCAACCACTTTTTATTTAAATATTTAAAAAAAATCAGTTTCTCTGAATATTAACCCAAAATATCCACATAATGAGGCCGTGCTGAAATGTGTTGTCTATAACACAACACACTTTAACGAAGTTATGTTTATTCTTTTATACTTTTTTATCTGAAAACTAAATTTGTTTTCTGGCACTTTTTATTTTATTACAATGTAGATATTCATGCAATGCTACTTTGCATTAATTGACAGTAAATTTAAAACTCTCAAGCATCTTATTTGCAAAGAAAACAATTTTAATGCTGTCTCGTGAAAAATGCAAAAAAAATCTTATAAAATACATTAAATGTAACGAAATTAAACTCAGTAATTCAAGATGAAACTTAATTTTAAGGAATTGTCCACCCTCACATTTATAATGGTCCAAAATATGGAGGAAAAAAAACATTTATTTTCAAAAATTAAGTTTGAATTTATTAATAATTGCAATCTATGTCTATATTACCATAATTTTAAAGATGTAAGACTCAAATAAACAGAAGTAACACATATATCACCTTTGAAAAATGGTACACTTTTGATAAATTTTATTTAAAAAAAACTATAATTGAAATACATAATTCTAATTTTAAAAACTCCAAATTAATTGCTTCTTCTACCGGAAAGGAGTTGATCTCTATTAAGAGTGTTAATAAAATGCTTTTTAAAATATATTTGAATTGTGAGTATCAGGAAATAGGAAATCTATTTTACATTAGAAGTACCGTAAAGAAAATGCCTAAATGAAGATACACGATAAGGAATTATCACTCTGAGCAATATTTTTGTAAGATTGATAATTAATTAAATTAAAAAAATATGTACCTACATGTATAAAAATCTTTTACTTAATATTTTTCATCACACCTGAATAGCATTCGTCCTAGATAGTTCTGTTTAAGTTGTGAATTTCAATTATTTAATAAAGGTTTTTGTAAAAAAAAAATCTTTGACATCAGAGGAGGATGAAAATACCTAAAAGCATTCGCTCTTAAATGGAAATTTTGAAAGACAGTGCACTGTGTCTCGCCAAGAATTCAAAATCATTGCATAAAGTCAGCTTTGTAAAAACAATTCTCATCAAATGGTGCTTAAAAACATACATACTAATATTTGTATACGTACTGAACATTTTAAAGGAAATGTATAGACATCCAGCTTATATAGTTTAGTACAAATGTGTAAAATCGGCTAAAATTTTCAGTAAATACATGAATTCCCTAGCTATTCAGTAATTACATGCATTTCCTAAACGACCAGTAAATACATGTTTTTACTGTATGGTTTAGGAAATACATGAAATACCTGATTTACATATTTTCCGTATTCAAATTTCAAAAATATTTTCCCACATATATAACAGAATTCAATAACAGTTTTCTACTTTCAAAACGTTTTCCCTAAAATGTCATTGTATTATATTTCATAAATATACTTTTGGTCGTATAATTGCCATTAAAAATAGACAGTGTAGAGCACTTAATAGTTAGAATAACAATGACTTTTCTTTGAAATGAAACTCGTATGTGTCCTGATTATATATTGGTTTGAATTATTTTTTGATCTTGCTTTAACCAGCTTCTACACTTTAGATATCTTGTGATTAATAGTTGCTCATGATAACGAAAGGCCAATCTTAGGTACACACGTATGTACATGTAGTGTACTCACATGCTTGCAAATTCAGCTTGAAATCGAATAAGCCAATCTTCGATGTCAGTTTTCGATGAGCTCTCAGTTAGCACTCGCCAAAGAATTTCACAAAGAGTAAATGTCCAATTTTCCTCCTGAAAATATTGCATAGCACATATAATGCAATGTACGACTATAATCATTTACAATACGAGCAATTACAATAATTTAATACTGATTAATGAACATTTCTAAAACATATTTTTAAGGAAAAACAATCAAAGTGAAGTTTAAATTCCAATTCATGTAAAAAAAAAATTATAAAATAATAACGATCAGAACATTATGATGAGTTATTATATAATACTTATTAAATTATCAAAAAAATTGATGAATTTTTATTAGTCGCAGAAATACAAAATGGTCCTTTTCAGTTGATAAAAATATCAATGACAAAACGTTGCCTCGATGTTTCCCTCCAGCTAGGAAGGTACATTAGAAACGCGTATAAAAGTTTTAAAAAAATATAATGTGTTTCGTACAAAGCTTACTTATAAAACAATGTATTCGTCTGGCCACAAAATGTAGGTTTTCGTTTTGAGTATACATTTCTGCATTCCTGGCGATTTACTTTAAATTTAACAATACGCAAAGCAGTTCCATAAACACTTGTTGTTTAGACAGCATTAGAATACATTTACGTAAACATTGTCAACTGGATCTTTTAGTAGAAACATTTACCCTTTGTTTATTCATGTCTCTGATTTTCGTGAAGAAACTTGGAGTCTCTGCTAGAACCTAAAAAATACACGAAGTTTTTTATCATGAAGATGTCCATGTGGAAAATAATTGCAGGTATCATTTTCAATGAAAGTATCAACATAAACATACACACACACACGAGAGAGAGAGAGAGAGAGAGAGAGAGAGACCTGAAACACGCTGTTTTTGTAGCAAGTTAAACCTAGATTTGGTAATCCATTTTGTTTGACCTGAAAGGGAAGGAAATCAACTGCTGATCAATTTAATGCGAGATTTACCTGTGTGACTCATTTTCTTAAAAGGCTACACTATCAGACAGATTTCAAGGTTTCTTATATAACTTACACTCTGTTCCTCAACCTTTGAGCATTGGAATGAATAGGTCATAACCTTTCTTCCATATTCCCGCACACCATTGGAACTCGCTTCTCTTTTATATAGAATAACTGCAGATTGCTGGTTTTCTTTGGAAGCTTCAATGCAGACATATGGATTAAATTCTTAGGATTCAAAGCCCATAAATTAACGAGAAGGGATTTTTTTTTTAAGAATTGGGTACAAGTATTGCACTTCACAGAAAGAAAAAAAACTTGGGGAATTCATTTAAATGCATTTTAGAAATAGCACTCGGGTTTTAAGGCCGAAATCGGGTTTGATAAGTTGTCAACTTCTCTAGCTCCTCGAAATCTAATAGGAATTAACGAGATTGGATAAAGAAGCGACCCATTACTGCACACTGATACTATTAAAATGATATCGATATAAATACCCGGAAATTCCCAATAACTTTTATGGATGTGCAAGCAACAAATAACTCATCAAGACTTCAGAGCTAAGATGGCATTGCTTTTTTTATAACACTATCAAAAATATATATTTTATAATGAAGGTATACACTGATTGAAAACATTATCAACCACGGTAACACCGCAGTAATGATATGCAAAGTGATATATTGTAAGATGACTTTTAAGAGAAATAAGATTCAAAGACATAATCAATAATTTATTCATACGAGTATTTATATGATTTTTATTGTTGTTGTTTCATATAATATGGTATTTGCATATTGAAAACATATTGAAATTTGATAGGGAAATCATACAAATTAAAAGATCAATCCCCTCTCCCTATATATCTCTGCATGTACATAATATTTGTATATATGATTAGACTTCAATATTTTTCCATTAAAAAATGTCAATTCTTATACAGCATCTACCAAACCTCACATTTTACGTTGTTCCAGTGACCTTGTAAGAATGGCATGGCACATTTATCTATTCTCGTACGAGCTTTTTGTTAAAATCATTCCCCTTTAAAGGCGTGATGACCGTGACAAGAAACAAACAAAAGGATGGTTGAAGTAACAGAAAGTGACATAGTCAAAATAATCTTAGCTCTTACAATTGTGATATGTAGTCTTGACGACCTGATAGGTTTTCATTTTCTTTTGTAAAGAAATGTATAAGTTAGGCAGTTTGTAAGTGAAATTATACATTTGAAGAGAAAGAAAATTACATACCCTTAGACCCTATATGTTTTTCTTCCATCTAGTAAAAGGCAAAAAAAAAAATTTAATTGAGACATAAAGAAAAAGTAATTGTTGCTGTCTGCTTACCCTTCATCAATTAAATATCTTGTTGCTACGTTAGTTTTTTGCATTTTTATTCTGCGAATCTATTACGTTTTATAAAGCTACCTGTAATTTATTATCCAAATCATTAGGAAGGGTTGTTTTGGGTGTAAAGAAAAGTTCCACACAGTCTCTTGAGGGGCAAGTAGCTATCCCGGTCCCCTTGCTTTTTTCTAGCAGTTTCGTAAAGCAACTTTTGCAAATTGTATGATTGCATCTTCGTATCTGCCAAACCTGTTCAATCTGTTCAATCATAACATAGCATTGTTTAAATCATGTTAAATTAAATAACATCTCAACATTTTCACGCAGATTAAGGTTTTAAAAGGATGCATAAGTTACACAGACTATGTCATTTTTGAATGAGGTATTTACATGTAATCATAAAACAACAAAAAAAACCCAATAATGAATATTTATACCAAATTAAGTAGATGTAATTTACGATTTAAAAAAATGAGTACTATGCGTCTTTATATTCTTCATCGAATATGAGGTCGTGTAGCCACTGGCTTTTCAACATGTACTTGAAAGAAAATATCAAATCTATGTAACATCTTACAACTATTTATTGCACACAAATTTACACATTGCATTTTTTGGTCTAAAATATGTTCATTGATAATCAATCTGGAAAGATTCTGTTCCACAAACTTCATTTTTAAAATTGACTATTAGGTTTATAATCTGCATATTAGAGTAGTGCAAAATCTAATAGAAGGAATGATTAGAGTTTCGTTAAAATGGATGAGGAATTAATGCTATAGACATAAAGCAATCTACTTTAAATTGCATAAATGAAAATAAATTTCCTTCCGTATCTTTATCCAGAACTAAATGCCATTTTGAAATATTTATTTTGTACCTCTGGGTCCAAAAAAAAATTAATAAAAATTCAAATATTTACATTCACATACCTATCTAGTCCATTATTTGTACGAAATATATTTATTTAGCATCCCTAACAGTGTAAACTTTAAGTCGTCAAACAGGGGCCGTATGGACAATCATTACAAACATACATCAGATACTTGCGTGGTGTGATATATTGGTAAAATGAAATATGTCTTGCCTTGCTTCCTATCTGGTCCCCTGAACATACACAACAGTCACTCCTTGGTTTCATTTGTTGACTGATAAATAAAGTATCCTTAAAGAAAATAATAAAACTAAGTAAATTTAGTAGCTAAAATACGTAAGTAATTAAACATTTATATACTGGTTTCAGTGCCTCTGATCACGTGCGAATTAGAAACAATAAGCATGCATATGTTTAAATGATATACTAGCTTGTTCGATTACTCAACATCATATATAAATTATTAATAAAAGGGACAACAGACAAATAGAAAGCACTGGCGGTGGCCATTATTTAGGGATTCATATTTATCGACGAAGTTTTATCAATTTAAAAATAGTTACATTCATTCATATGCCGCCTCTATATACCTCAGTGAACTTAAAATAAAAGACATCTTAGAGTGTGCCATATCTGTTTCATATATGGATGTTTTAACGATAAGGGTCAACTAAGAACTAAATTTCAGGTTTCCCATCATCAATTTTCTTATTTATGTACTAACATTCCGCTATCACATTCATACTTAAGACCATGCTCTTAGTACGATTAATTTTTATAAGCCTAGGCAGGTTACTGATAGATAAGTTGAAGTTGTGGCCCCTCCCTACCCCAAGCGGCCAATATTTCAACAATTTAGAATTTAAATTACACAAGAATGCTTCCACATGTTTCATTTTTTCTGATTCTTGAGAAGATTTTTTCGTACATATTTCAAAGTAAATCTATGATTCCCTATTGTGGCCCCAGCCTTTCTCCTCGGGCCATGATTTCAAAAATTTAGAATCTACACTACCTCAGAATGCTTCCACATAAAGTTTCTTCTTTTCAGGCCTAGTGGTTCTTGAGAAGATTTTTAAAGATTTTCCAATGTAAAAATTTCATTCCCTTTTGTGGTCCAATATCCCCTGGAGCCATGATTTCAACAATTTTGAATCCACACTACCTCAGAATGCTACCTCATTAAGTTTCAACTTTTCTGGCCAAGTGTGTCTTGAGAAGATTTTTAACGATTTTTCAATTTAAAACTATCATTCCCTGTTGTGGTCCCATCCTATCCCCTTGGGCCTTGATTTCAACGATTTAGAATCTACACTCCCCCAGGATGCTTCCACATAAGTTACATCTTTTCTGGTTCAGTGTTTCTTGAGATTTTTACAGATTTGTTTTACCTCTTTACTTTGATTTTAAATTTTGATTCCCTGTTTTGGCCCTAACCTTGCCCTGGGGGCCCTGATGCGAACAATCTAGAATCTACGTTAAGTCTGGAAGATTCCACAAACGTTTCATCTTTTCTGGCCTAGTGGTTCTTGAGAAGAAGATTTTTAAAGATTTTTTAAATGAATGTAAAACTATCATTCTCTATTGTGGTCCCGTCGTATCCCCTGGGGCCATAACTGCAACAATTTAGTAAACGCTATCACAGTATGCTTCAATACAAGTTTCATCTTTTTTGGCTCAATATTTCTTGAGATTTTAAAAATGTTTTCATTTATAATTCAATGTTAAATTATCTCGGTTCCCTATTGTGGCCTCAACCTAGCCTTGGGTGCTCTGATGTAAACAATTTAGAATCTTCTTTACGTCTAGAGGCTTCTACAAAAGTTTTAATTTTTTTATCCAGTGGTTCTTGAGTAGCAGATTTTTTAATGACCAACCCTATTTTGGGGTTTTCTTGATTATCTCCTCTTGGAATGAGATTTGGCCCTTTACTGTATGAATGTAGAAGCTCCTTCACCCAGGAATGCATTTTTTTGTTAAAAGTGACCTAGTGGTTTTTGAGAAGTTAAAAATGTGAAAAGTTTACAGACAAACGGACAGACAGAAAGCTAGACAGACGGAAGGACGCCAGACATCGGGTGATCAGAAAAGCCCACTTGAACTTTCAGTTTAGGTGATTGTAAAAAAAAGTCCCTGTCTTGAAAATTGTAGAGGGAATTATCCGGACAAAGAGGGTACCCTATAAACAATAACATGCAAAAAATAATAATAATTAGTTCAACAGCTACTATTTTTCTCATTTATAAATAAAAATAAAAAAAAACCAGCAGTATGAATATCTCTGATATATGTCTAATTGATCTAACAAATTAAAACTTGCTATCGTAAAGACTTTGGGGAGTTATCCGGACAAGTTGGTTACAATATAATTATGCAAAATTTTACAAAACAATGAGAAAGCTCAACTACAGGTATTTTTTCGCATAGATAATTTAAAATCAAAATCCAAGAAAAGTGCAATTTCTGCAATCTCCAATTAATCTCCAAAATAAGAATTTTCTAACTAGATAATTGTAGGATGACGAAGGGGTGCCCCTTATGCAACATTTAAATTCAACAGCAAGCAGTTTTCGCATAAATTATCAAAATTAAAAATCAATTAATATAAATGTACATATCTCTTATATGTGAACAATGGATCTGCAAAGTATAAAAGGTGTCTATCTTGAAAACTGTAGGGGGAGTTATCCGGCCAAAAGGGTTCCCTATATGCAATTGGTTCAATAGCTTGTATTTTTCTTGTGAATTATCACAAAATGCAAAATTTAAGGATTATGCACATCTTATGCACGACATAAATGTCCTATGATCTGCAAACTGGGAACTTCCTATGTTTTAAACTGTAGGAGGAGTTATCCAGACAAATGGGGTGCAATAATTTGTTAAAAAATCATCATTCGTTAATTCTTCAAGTTCAACTGCTGGGATGTTTAGCATAGACTATAAAAAAAATCAAATCGAAGTAATATGCACATTTCTGATGTGTGTACAATTGATCTTCAAATCAAAAATATACCATCCTTGATAATTTTAGGCCTGCAGTAGTTATCCGGACACGATGGATAAGTCACCCGGACAAAAGATGTACTCTTTTGGCAGCCGTCCGCCAGCCCGACATTTTGACCATTACAATAACCGGATTTTTCTTCGGAAAACCCGAATAAAAAGTTACATCACAATATGTACATAGATGTATATATTTTTCTTTTTTCAGTGATATCCAAATTATTTAATTTTTCTATACGAATAATATTCTAAAGATTTTCAAAACTTTTCAAATCTACCCAGTAAATTCAAATGGCAAAGTAGTTCATTTTTTTCCATAATAGAACAAACTTTAAAGGCAAATGATACATACTTCTGAAACCAATGAAAATAGGAATAAAAGTCATGATATTAATGTAAAATAAACATTTTTACTGCATAGATTTTTTCATTTAAAATTTTAGAATAATGTCTTACAATGTGGTAAAAAAAAAATGTATAGATTTATAAGAGTGATTGCAGAAAGGTTCAATTTTTAACATCTAAGAAAAAAAAACAATTTCTTAATATTTCAGACATTTGAGATGTGCATAAGTTACAACTAAAATATGACCCAAAATAACTAATCAATGCATTCATTTTTTTGGTCTATTATGATATGTCTTTAAAAGATTATTTTCTCAAATAACATACATGGATTGAATGATATGTTTAAAAAAAAGAAAAACAAAAATAAATGTTGTTCAGTCCTGGCAAGACTGTTTTCTAACCTTTTCTGTGTATAAGCGCTTTGCCAAGAATTCTGAGGATGAACTATCAATAAAGCTGTCGCACTTTATAATTTGGCATGGAAAAATACGCTGAGCACAATCCTTGCACGAGGCATGGCCACATTTCATTTCTTTCACCGCCTTTCAAAAGAACATCAAACCTCAACTAATTATTGATATCAGTCTAATTTAAAAAAAGAGACAACTCTTTTTAAATTCAAGACTTTTTAATATTAAAATTTATATCTTTTATATTTTATCGAGTAGTATTTTTTTATTTAAAACAAACCTCTTTTCTTAAACAGCAAGCACACTTTAATTTTTCAATCTATCAAAAGAATGAATTAAAAAAGTCATGACATGTACCAAAAATATTTAATGGCAATAAGTCTTGATATTTGAATTGGATGGGAGTAAGCGAAAAAGCCAAAACAATCAAACCTTTCACCTTCGTATGTGGGACTTCGCTTAATAAAGGTGTTAGCTTCAGTATATAAGTGTGGCAAATTATTGCATGGTAGTTTTTATGAAGAAATATCATTTTTATCGTTTTTTGAAATAATTTCCTTTTTTGTAGGTTCTTTCATCTTACTTTTTTAGCTCCTTCCATGCCCGAGGTTAGTACGTTAGGCACATTATTTAGAAATGTAAATTTAGAACTTACATGTATTCCTTTACTTATAAAACTTTTATTCGAGGTCAACATTGCAAGTACGTACATGTACGAATGAAAATCATGCATGAATTGATAACATGATGAACGAAGTACTTTCACCACGTTTGTAATATGGGTGAGCAGAAAAAAAGATTACGGAGCTCATCTAGGACACTAAAATGATTCAAACTTTAACATGCTAAATATTTTTTGAACTATCAAGGACTCTTTTAAAAGCCAACAATACTAGTGTATCAAAGAAACACATTTACCATAGAGCTGCGTTCATCCTCTTCTCTATTTCCTTTATAATTTTCTATACACTGGCATCCTAAAACTGGACATTTTAGAATCATCAATTGAAGTGTTATGCAGAGGGATAAACAGGAATCACAAAACCTGTGTCCACAGTCAATTTCCTCCAGGATTGCCTATATTAAAAATTAACTAGATTTATTGTAAATTAACAAGACGTTTACATGTACTAACAGAATGTACAGACGTTTGTCATAATTTAACGGCAAAGCTCCAAAAACGGCAACACTCCTGCGCTAAGCGTATAGTAAGCAAGCTACTATACGATTAGTATACATTTCTGATTCTTGGGATGATGCATATCTATTTTTAGCTTCTGGTTACCCATACTTCCGTTTTGTTCACGTATGCCTCCGGAATACTTTATATAGTGTTATAATCATAATAGAAAAACGTAAACATTTTTACTGTCAGTACAGTGATAGATAGTCGTTCATTTGTTTGGCATGCTTAGACCAATTAGGAAGACTCCACTAAAAGAAATTACCACCCGGTTAAATACAAATAAACCTTGGTAAGTGTCTAAAAGAATTGTTCAAATATGTCTCTACCAGGAAGGTTACCATAGACACATAGTGAAAAGAGAGTTCGTTAAATGGAGTTGACTCGTGAAAGGCGGTTAGCATGGTGCCGAGGAAAGCTTCATTGGCGTGTGAATGGTCAGCGGTGGAGAGTTATTTTTCCTGATGAAAGTCAAGTCGTTTGGGTCAATACAGGTTGTATTAATGGCACCCAGTGGATGATGCGGAGTCTCCCGATTGTGCCCCACCCCTTGATATGATATATTATGTTGTAACCGTTGCTTTGATTTGGGAATGCAAAATTACGGGTTTGACACAATTACAACCATAAATGGCTCTGTGAAAAGAACTTTGGTGGCGATAAATTATAGCACACGTCTGTAATTAATAAATGGAGCATAGTTCCAATGAATATAAAAAAATATTGCAAATTTCATATCTAAAAAGACAAAAACAATCGATCATTTTAATCTCACCTCCGTCTTTTTGCAAAGGACACAAGGTGTAGATCCACTTACTGGTTTTAAATACGATGGAACCTATAGAATGTCATATTAAATTAAAAATAAAGGAATGTGTGCATAATTATGGTGATTACTATTAATTACATAAAGTCAATATATATTGTTTTGAATACTAACGTATAATTAAAACAAATATCCCTGACTGCAATAGGCAAAATTAAACACGACACGTATTCGAACAAACCAAAATGGATAAAGGAAGAGCAAGATATTTGAATAAGTGGACTTTAAGAAAGGCTAATTTGTGGATCAAGAAGTAAGTTTATTTGATCTCTAAGATGTCATAGAAAAGAAAAAAAATGTTTTACTTACTAATAACCCATCATTTTCACAGTTTCTGATAAATCGTTTTGCATTCCCAAGGCTTCCACATGATAAACACTTATTACAATGCAATTTATCATCTTTTTCAGTTCTAACCAAGAATTTAAGACACCGTAAACACCAACCATGGGAACACTGAGAGAACTTTATAACAGCCTATAAATATATTTATTTATACCTTTTATACTTATTAATCTGTCAGTGTATTTTATTTTAATCAGTGATACGTCTGCTTTCCAAACACCACTAAACATTCAATACAGTCAATTCAATTGTCTAATGTAAAACCATGCCATTCATATATATATTTGTCATTAGCGGCGTTTGTGTGTTGGATTATTTGTAAAACGAAAAACATAAAAATGGCGACACTTTGAGGTGATTTTGGCTTTTCCATAGACGAGTTTCCTTACAAGCTGATGTTGTTATATTCTGTTATACCTAAATACAGTTTTCATGTCTCCTAACTTATTTGATATTATGGTCGAAAAAATGGCATTGTTAGGACATACAACCTATTTCAATACCGATTGTTACGATGTATGGCCATGTTTTTCAAGATAAATTTGACGACTGACTATGTACCTTTTACTTGACCAATACGTACAAAAAATGTAATGCTCTCGGCGGATGACAATGTGACATGTCAACGGGCATGCTTACTCTTCTACTGGTCTCATCGCTGGAAATTTCAGGGGACAATGCTTCATGCCCTTTTCACCGACTTGTAGCATTCTTTGTTGTTGTTTTTGTTGTTGTTTTTTTTTTTCTTTTATATTTTATGTATTGAATGACTGCATTGACCAGTTATTTTATTTTAAATGAATTATTTTCTTTCTTGCAAGAAAATATAGTAGCATGCTTTATGAAATGTAAAATTTCATTTATTTTTCGTCTTTACACCTTATAACGACTATTGTTTTTGGACCAACTTTTAAAATGCTACTTATGTGTAATTATTGGTTCTTTATATTATCAATAATGTTTAACGAAGGTTGTCTTTGTTATATTATCATCCCTTTTGTAATAGCCAGACTTACAGCAGCAGCAGAAGAATAAAAATAAAAAATATTGCAGGTTCATGATTGTAAGATTTTATCTTATCAATAATAAACTAATCAATCCTTTATGAACTTCAGTCTGGTGCAAAGTATTAAAAATCTAAAATTCACAGGCATTAAAACACAGAAAATTATATTCAACGATAAATTATCTAGTATAATGCATACCTTTGTTTGACAATAACTGCAATTTAATCTTTCTCCGTATGAAGGGCAAAGTAACTGTTAATAAAAATTAGGACATTTCAGAACATATACATATGTATATTGCATAGTCATAATAAATAAATCAATATGCATTTAACAGACGTATAAATTTCATACTGGTGAACACATCTATTCAAATGATGTAGTACATAAAATGTACTTTTTGGAAAGGGGGGTGATGATCAAGTGCTATATGAACAAATAAAAATCCCTTCTTACATGGTTCATTCTGTCTGCTTCCGTATATTTACTACTACGTCCTTCTAAAGTATCCCTCTTGCATGTATTTGAACAGTCATTTGGAATTTCCAGAACTTTTAACGTGTTTTCATTTTTCTTAGTAAGCTCTGTTTGTATAGAAAATCATTCTCAAACTTAGTGTATTTTTTTTTATTTTTATGTGATTTAAATAGGCATTAAAATAAACAAAGCAACATTGTTTTTCTTACCTTCAAAGTAGTTGATATTATTCTGAAATCAAAACAAAACATATGTTGAATTCTTTAAGGTAACATTACTATTAAGGTTTTATAATATGTAAAGGAAAAATGTTAATATTAGTACTCGTAAGATCAAACATACCATATGTATACACCTGTACATTTTACAAGTAGCCAATCAACACTTATGTACATGTATTTGAAACTAGTCAAATGAATGGGTGTTTTGGAACCAAGGTGATATTTAAGTTTCTAAACAAAAGCCAGAATTAACTTATTCGTCATTTTCTTAAGCAGTGTTTGATTTTTGTCAAGATTGAAATTCATTCGCAATTATTCAAATCAATCAAAGATAATTCTCATAAACCAAAAACGATCCTTCAAGTCATAAATTAGCCTCAGACAAGCCCAAGCCTATTCTTGGCTATACATCCGATTCCTCAATCCTCACTTTTATTTAGATCTTCTTGAAAGGTTCTTGGAAATTTGCAAATTCTTTTAAATATATAGTAGACTTTAAAAATATGTTATTTACCTTCAGAATTCCTGGATCGTCAAGTACAGCTTTCAAACACAGAGCAGGAACCCGTTGCGAGCAAAGTGAAACGCTACACGTAGCAAGTCCGTACTCGTTTGAATTGCCGTATATTTTCATCGTGCAAGGTTTACATGCATTATGATTGCAGATAGCCAATTCAATAAAAACCTATTTTTAATAAAAACAAAAAAATTTACGCATAAGTTAACATATTCAAATATTCATATTGTATATTACTCTGAGTCTCGGAATCCTACCACCGGTAATATTCTCAAGCTACATTTTAAATTGAATGATGTCCACTTTTTTTATCCAATTGTTCAAATTGAGAAATCACTTTTCCAGTTATTTATTACGGAACCCAGGTGAAAAGGTTATAGCTATTCCCATTTTTAAAAATCTCAATTCCACATATTCCCACTTGCAAATAACGATAGATGTTTAGATTTACCTGTATTTTGTATATTTAAAGACAGAAAATAATGAATACATCTATGAAAAAGTATGATTTATTTTGGATTTTTGAAATAACAAGCAAATTCAAAGAATTGTGGTCCCCCGCTTTCGGTGACTTTTTGGGTGAGATGTCATTTGTTTACGACATTTAGTGTCTATTATGAATGCCCTATCATAAGTCATATATTTAGAAATTATCACTGAACTCCAAGGTCAAGGTCAAAGGGTTAACGTTCTTAAAGCCCTAGCACTTACCATTCAAAAGTTATGGTCAAGGTTAAAATTTTCTCATAAGTAAAAAAATCTCCAAGGTCAAAAGGTCAAGGTTGTTAGTATCAAATGAAAGGTCTTGCCACAAAAAATACATATGTGAAATATGAAAGCCCTGGTATCTACTGTTCAAAAGTTGTGGCCAAGGTTAAAGTTTTTGAAAAGTAGGTCAAACTTCAAGGTCAAGATCCAAGGGGCAAAGTTCTTGGTATTCAATGAAAGGTCTTTTCACAAGAATTGTATATATGAAGTATGAAAGACCTAGCCCTTAACATTCAAAAGTTATGGTCAAAGTTAAAGTTTTTCATAAGTACGGAAATCTCCAAGGTCAAAAGGTCAAAGTTGTTGGTATCCCAAAAAAGGTCTTGCTACAAAGAATACATATGTGAAATATGAAAGTCCTAGTGCCTACCATTCAAAAGTTATGGCCAAAGTAAAAGTTTGGAATTTTTGTGTAAAAGTGGGTCAAACTCCAAGGTCAAGGCCAAAAGGTCCAATTTGGTGGTACCCAAACAAAGGTCTTGTAACAAGGAATACACATATGAAATATGAAAGTCATAGCTCCACTGAATCAAAAGTTATGGGCAAGGTTAAAGTTTTTGTGACGGACGGACAGACTGACGGACAGACGGACGGACGGACAGACGAATGAGATTTAATGTCCCCTCGCTTTCGCGAAAGCGGGGGACAATAAAAAGATCTTACAACAAATAGCAACTTAGTACCTAAATTTAAGAACATAGTTAATTATTTGTTTACACAAAATTCCACTTACTCCCACGTGAAATTTCACCTTTTTCTACCCGATTTTCAGAAAATGGGAATAGCTTGCATAAACCGGTGAAAATTCATGTTGTTTGAATAATTGCCTTGTTATTGAAGATTTACGTGTAGAATATTTTCCTGTTTAGTAATTCGGGACTATTGCAGAAAAAAACACAACAACCCGCTTTAATGGGTTATGTAATATTCTTCTTAAATGGTTGAAACCGTTAGTTCCATATTAACAAATAATTAAATAATTTTTATATTGGTTACAGCACTGTCTGTTTGAATATTTACAATAAGTATCGTAATCTAGTCCTGTTTTCTTGATATGTACGTCATGGTATACCATGCTGATGAAAAAGCAGACTGCTTATGAAGCGGTTCATAAAAGTGGCCTTGGCAGTGAAAAATGTTCTTGCTAGTTGAACCTAAATGGATGATTATGGAAAGGGATTTTCAACATTCAGTAGTTGTAAATATAATAACATAAATAAATTCATTTAATCATGAATTCAAGCTGTTTATCTTAATTGAAAAGGAAGTCTTGAAAGGGGAAAAATGCGCTTCACATATACACACAATGATCGTAGCTATGTAACACACTTTTCTCATTGACATTTATTCTAAATAATTCTTAAGTGAAATACATTTATTACACTCATCACGGACATGACTCCTTTTATCGAAAGATAATACAAAAATTCTTCAAATACTGTAAAATCACTTATTTTTGTGGAGTTAAATTTTCGTGATTTGAGGAAAAAAATGTTTGTAGGGATTTACATGTATATTAGTGGTAAAAGAGGTCAAGCATGGTATTGATTACAATTTTACAGATTGTCAGACTCTTCAAATCTCAAAAACAAAGAAAATTAAACTAGCTCGGAAATATGTGTATAATGTTTGTTTTTTTTTTTTGTAAAAGTGAGAAAAAGATGATTTTGTTGACCTCATCTCTCAACATACGATACATAGATCCACTAAATAAAAAATACCGTTTTCATCTTTTCGTGCCATAGAACTTTATATATTTTTCGAAACTTAGGAAAATATTATTTCATTTAACATTTTAAGAAATGATGCTCATATGTAATTTTAAATCATGAAGGATATAGAGGTAACGAACAGTATAAAATACCAACTTCCAAATCATCAGAGGTGGGATCAGGTGCCATGGAGGAGTGAGCATCCCCTGCCGACCCATTAAAAATAAGAAATGCACACTTAAGATAAAAAAAAGTTTTAAAATATGCAAATACTTGTACCGTAGCATTTGTTTATTCATAACCTTAGGACACATTAATGATATAATATATCCAGACTTTGTTCAACGATAATCGTTGGATATGCTTACAAATGACTACATGGCCCTCTTCAGAAAAATACCAATCTTTTTATGACTCACCTATAAGTTTGACATAGAGTTTTTGCCTAAAATTTAACTCCCAAAAAAACCGATTTATAGTCGATTATATACGGTAGTCATTTTGTTAGCAAAACATCCAAAAAGTTACAATTTATTTCTGCAAAAAAAAAAAAATTACTTCGACACTCTTACTGTTCAACATTTGCAATAATTCTATGAAGAATCAGTACTCTTGCCATATGTTCTCAACGATTAAATTAGCTTCTATAAAACGTGAAATCAGTAGTTGAGCGATTTTTGTACAAGAAGGATATGGAAATAACGAACAGTATTCAATCTCAACGTCCATTAAACAAATATACAAAATAAGAGTAGAGCAAACACGGACCTCCGAAATATCAGAGGTGGGATCAGGTGCCATGGAGGAGTGAGCATCCCCTGCCGACCGGTCACACCCGCCGCGTGCTCGTTGTCATAATCAGGAAATAACGGAAAAAATCCGTGGTCAATTTAGTGTATAAATAATGGACTAACAATTGGTATGAAAAACGTCAGTCAGCATTTCATTCAATGACAAATTGTATTTGCTGACAAGGTCATTGTATCGACCATAGAATTTACGAAATGATGACTTTAAACGAGACTGTTGATATTCTTGTTTCATCAACTTGCTTGTCAATAATTTACCTCGTTTAAGAAATTGTTCATACGTAGAGCACGCCCTTGCGTATCGAATCAACTGAGATATAAATACTCATTTGTTAGACTCGACACATTATGTATAGAAATATTTTTGAAAAAATAACGATCTATATTTACACTGTTCTGTAAGTTGTTTTCCTTACTCAGAAAATGTTCTGATCATGCTTACATCGTGCCTTACGAAGTCAATTACAATATTCTGGTAACCTTTCCTTCAATTAGTTGATAAACTGAAAGACTTAAGAAAAAACTATCTAAGTTTGTTAGTTTCATGATATGATCAAACATCTGACTTGCATGCCAAAGGTGTTTATGTATAAAATTATCACGCAAGACAATTTCTTATCATCATCGTGAAACCAAAAAATCTTACAGTTTTTCCTTTTTTAAATGCTGTTCATTTTGAAATTTCACGAGCTCTATGTACCGCGTTGCGTAGTTTATCTATATGCAGTATAAAACAAGAGGCCCAGGGGCCACAGCGCTCACCTGAGCACATCGGGGTTGAATTTACTCCCTCCCCCCTTCCAGGCGTTCATCATTTGAACAAACTTAGAATCTACACTACCTGAGGATGATTCCATATAAATACCCCGGGTATCACTAATCATAGCTTTGAAGTACTTGAAAAGAAGATTTTAAAAGGTTTCCCTATATATCCCTATGTAAAACCTGGGTCGGCCATTTTGGCCCCACCCTAGCCCGGGGGTTCATGATTTGAACAAACTTGAATCTACACTACCTAAGGATGATTCCACTTGAGTTTCATCTTTCCTAGCCCAGTGGTTCTTGAGAAGATTTTTAAAGATTTTTCTTATATATTCCTATGTAAAACTAGGGTCGGCCATTTTGGCCCCATCCTTGTCCCGGGGGTCACGATTTGAACAAATTTGAATCTAGACTATCTGAGGATGATTCCACATGAGTTTCCTCTTTCCTGTCCTAGTAGTTCTTGAGAAGAAGATTTTTAAAGATTTTTCTTATATATTCCCATGTAAAACTAGGGTCGGCCATTTTGGCCCCATCCTTGTCCCGGGGGTCATGATTTGAACAAACTTTAATCTACACTATCTAAAGATGATTCCACATGAGTTTCATCTTTCCTGGCCCAGTGGTTCTGGAGAAGAAGATTTTTAAAGATTTTTCCTATATATTCCTATGTAAAACTTGGGTCGGCCATTTTGGCCCAACCCTTGCCTAGGGGTCATGATTTGAACAAACTTGAATCTAAACTACCTGAGGATGATTCCACATGAGTTTCCTCTTTCCTGTCCTAGTGGTTCTTGAGAAGATTTTTAAAGATTTTTTCTTATATATTCCTAGTATGTAAAACCTGGGTCGGCCATTTTGGCCCCATCCTTGCCCCGGGGGTCATGATTTGAACAAACTTGAATCTACACTACCTGAGGATGATTCCACATGAGTTTCCTCTTTCCTAGCCCAGTGGTTCTGTAGAAGAAGATTTTTAAAGATTTTTCCTATATATTCCTATGTACATGTAAGACTTGGGTTGGCCATTTTGGCCCCACCCTTGCCCCTGGGGTCATGATTTGAACAAACTTGAATCTACACTACCTGAGGATGCTTCCACATGAATTTCATCTTTCCTAACCCAGTGGTTCTGGAGAAGAAGATTTTTAAAGATTTTCCCTATATATTCCTATGTAAAACTTGGGTCGGCCATTTGGCCCCACCCTTGCCCCGGGGGTCATGATTTGAACATACTTGAATCTACACTACCTGAGGATGCTTTCACATGAGTTTCATCTTTCCTGGCCCAGCGGTTCTGGAGAAGAAGATTTTTTAAAAATGCCATTGATTTTAACAAATTCATGATTATCTCCCCTTGGAAGAGGGCTTGGCCCTTTATTTGAACAAACTTGAGTCCTCTTCACCTAAGGATACTTTGTGCCAAGTTTGGTTGAAATTGGCCCAGTGGTTCTTGAGAAGAAGATGAAAATGTGAAAAGTTTACAACGACAACGACTACGACAACGACAACGACAGACAACGGACAAATTTTGATCAGAAAAGCTCACTTGAGCCTTTGGCTCAGGTGAGCTAATAAAATCAATTGCTTTAACAACGACAACGACTACGACAACGACAACGACAGACAACGGACAAATTTTGATCAGAAAAGCTCACTTCAGCCTCTGGCTCAGGTGAGCTAATAAAATTAATTGCTTTAACAATTCCATATTTTTCAAGGTTTTATTGATCATTATCCTTTAAAACTAACCTCCTCCGAGTCACAAGATGAACATTTTCCTATTCCTTTTGGAATTTGAAGGTACATTGCTACCTATAAAAAAAGTTTATAAATATGATTTAAAAATAAAATGTCGTGCAGAAAAAAAATGAATCTTACTTCTAACCCAATTAAATTTGCCTTACTCTAAATTGCCTCACCTTACAACCTAGAAGTAGTCATATAAAATGTTCATTAAACTTATCGTTACTTTAGCAATGTACCAAAAATGCAGGATATGAAATTGGAAAGATGCTCTGATATACTTGTTAAATTTCAAGGAAAAACAAACAGACAAACAGACGAAAAGAGGAAAAAATATATACCCCCGAAATTTCTTTTTGTATATGCCTGGGATAACAATGCAATAATTAAGTTGTGTATGTCCCTTTACTAACGAAAACTATTTTGCGTTTTTTTTTTTCTTATATGCAACACGAAATTGGATGAATTTTTCATGGAGTAGATGATCATAGGATTTTTTTGTGAATGCAAATAGTACACCTTACCTTACCTTTATTCCGTAAGGTATAGGTAAGTTTCAAGTTTGAAGACCAAAACAAAAAAGATCTTTTAAGGTAGGATTCTTCTCTGATTTCTGACTAGATGAAATATTCAAAGTATATTTGCTTATATGTCATATATATTGAGGTGTAAGGAATTTAACAGACCATATTTTTCTTTCCTAATCAGAAATGTACAACTTTAAATAGAAATGGTAAACTGCGTTTGAAAACTATAGCAGGGACTATATTTTTGGCGGAATGGTGGCGTATGAAAATATCTTCTTTTCTGCCTCTCAAAATTATTATAAAACAATGAATTTAACTATAATTTTTACACAATCGAAGACTTGGAGAAATTCTCAAATGTAAGTTAAATTAATGACGAGGGACTAAACTTTCAAAATATATCAAATAAATATGATTTTTCAAACAAACTAGAACTATGTTAGCTTTTAAACGCTTCCTATCAAAGTGCAAATTTGAGCCAAAAATCCATTAAAAGTATTTTTTCTCTCTTAGTAAACGATCAAAACTTTTTGTTTTTGTATCATTTTGTACACTTCTAAGACTACTTTATTATATGTGAAAATAAGAAAAAGTTAAATATAGGAAGCATATTAAAATAACTAATATATCCTTAAAAAAAATAAGAAAAACAGAGAAAATTCGGATTAGACAATATCCAGTTAAATGAAATTATTTATGTAAATTTGGTAATATCATGCTATAGACCCGATATAGGAATATGTTTTTATGCAAAAAGAACAATCATTAAACTTTTGAAACAGAAGTAGGTATCACATGATTGGCAACAGTATTTTCTTATTCTTAATGTCAAGGAAAAAGATAATGACCTTGACCTGACCTTGCCTCTAATATAAAACGGTCAAATTTAATTTCACTGATACTATCACTTACTGATATTGTATTCTTGATTCTGTGAAAATTTCAAAAAAATTTAAATATTAGAAATATGAGAAGAATCCTACCTTAAGGGAATTGTTTTTTATGCCCTCTTTACATACATATATTGTTTATGGATCGATCGCTGATTGTATATCATTCATTTTAGTATACATGTACTCTTAAGAAAAAAAAACATATACATGTATAATACATATAGATTTTTTTTTACCTCAAATAAAAAACAGTTTTTAAAAGCAATATCGTGAAGTCATGCATGTTAACCGGATCATAATATGACATTAATAAAAGTGACAAGTTCAGATCGCTTCAATGTTCAAAATGCCGTAATTTGATTTAGAATATGCACTGATTCTGGCACATTTTCATTGAGGCTGTTGAAAAAGTTGAGTGTTAAAGATAAGATTAACACATTCGAAAGCTGGCATTACTAGAATGCATACATGTAACTCTACTATCATTATTTTTACTACATATTCCTTAAAGGAAATGTGACTTTTTGATGTAATCTTTTTATTTAAGTAGAAACGTTGTTTTTCTATACATCTAGGACTCCTGCCAAACGGAATAAAGAAAATCTAGTTTGTCGTCTATATTCTGGCCAATCTAATCTAAAAAAAATTCTCTCCATCATGTACTTTGAAGCTTTTCTACAAATTCGATATGTGCAGGTTTTTGATACTTTTAACAAGTGGAGGAACAGACAGTCATCCAAAGGAATAAAAAATCTTAAAAGGAAAACAAATACTTACGGCTATTGGATCTCCTTTAATTGCCATATTCATTGCGTTAAGGCACGTGGTAGGAATTTCCTTGTCACAGAAAGATTGGTGACACTTTTTCATCTCCATTGGTAGGTCGATATACCTGGTCTGTCTTCTATTTTCAACTTCTAGAATATACTTTTCAAAGCAGGA